TTCTGCAAGATCTGGCGAGGCTGTGGTGATGCCTGGGTTTCTGGAGCTTGCTGTGGTGTATTGTGACCTCGCTGTAGAATCTGTGGAGGAGCGGGAGCAACTTGAGGTGCTTGAGCGGCCGGGCTGGACCGCGTTGGTAATTCATTGTTCGATACTTGGGTTGCCCTTGGCATCTGATGACCGGGTTGAGGCCTCTGCTGAATACTGATCGGCGCTTGAGCCAAGTCTCCTGGCCGCACGGCTCGTCCTGTCTCATGCTGGGTCGGGGGCATCTGCTGCGGGTAGGGCATCTGAGCTTGCTGTGGACGTGCAGACTGGGGTGCTTGCTGTTTCATTTGAGGCATTACGAATGGACCTGAAGCTTGAGCTAACTGCTGCGGTGCCGGGCCGGGACTGGGTCTCTTGGGTTGCGACCTCATGGCGGCCTCCACCTCCTCCAAGCTCATCATCTTCTTAGTGGGTACACCGCTGGAACTCCGTTGCTGAGAGGGCCCCACCTCACGGCTGCTTTGTTTTGATCCATAGTCTTTCGCGAATTTTTGGGGCCCTGTGCCCCATAGACTAGCATCTACTTGCAATTCTGGTATGTATCCTGGATTCTTGTATGCCTCATATCCTGTCCTGAAAGCCTTTGACGCATGCTTAGGAGGGCTTGAGGAAGCGACTGGAGGGTTTGATGGCGGTTGTTGACGATTGAATCGTAGTGCTTCTTCGTTAATCGCATCGGTGACCTTTGAGGTACTGCCATAGAAGTCGAAGTCTTTGCCAATGGATTTGGTGGTAGCCCCGCCGCCACCGAAGGTATCGTCATTAAAGTCATCGTCCGCCTCTTGCAGTTGGTCACCCAGACCATCATAGGTATCATCAAAATCAATACTGTGATCGTAAGCTAAGCCATGCATCTCAATGGCAAACAGCCTACATACGCGTCGTCGTCTTCTTGCCCCAAACCCTGGTTCTGAGAGATGCTGGCAAATGGATCTGGAGCAGACCCGAACCCCGGAGCTTGAGCAGGATGCCCACGATCCTGAGGGCCACGGGGATCGAAACCGAAGAAAGACATTGGATTTTGCGACTCCTCACCAGACACGAAAGGCAGTCCAGGTACAAGTGATTGAAGGCAATATGAGATAAGGAGAAGCTTTTAGTGCAGGATAATTACAATACACAGGCAAAAGGCTTGAAAGACAGACCGAGGGAAAGAGGACGAAAAGAGAGTTTGTTTGAGAGAGTTGTTTGTGTAAGGTGGATGTACGTGGAGTTTGGATGTGGATCGTATCACACTTTAGTCAAGCTTTAGGCGGCACCAGCGGGTCTTCCGGTATCGGTAAAACCTTTCTCCCGTTCTCTGACGCTAAACCTTATCGTTAGCGTGCATTCTGCAAAGTCCTGAAATGAGACTCGTCACCCCTTGCGTTTGTGAAGACCACTTTTCTCTCATATTTGGATATTCAACTCTTCTTTAGACATACTTCTCACCAGCTCCTTGGTCAACTAATCCAACCACTATTCTCCTCCTCCCTTAGGACATTCAGCGACCTCCCTCATGTACTTCGAGAGTACAATGCACACTCGTCTTTGTTTGACATAATCATTCGCTTGCAGACACAGATCTCTGCAATCAATCTTGCAGTGGAAGTCATTAACAGCTTCAGGCAGTGAAAGAGTGGAGACAAGATTAAAGGCGTTCAATTGGCAAAGAGATCCAACCAGGAGTCATCTTCGCCCAAGGGCAAACTGTCTGTAGAGATGGCGGCTGGCACGTCGAGGATACTGCGTTATGTCTTGTTTGCTTTCTTCGTGGGTGTCGCTAATGGAAAATCAGTCTTGCCCAGGCTGACAGTGCCATAGGGTCTTATGATCCTTTATTTCATATCTTCCTCGTCAATACCCAAACCGGAAATGCCTGGTGGGTCGAATTTCGAGAGGTGGAAGAGCAAGAAAGACAAAAGTAATGCTTCGGTAGGGAAAAGCCCCGCAGGTCCTCCCTCATCAGGGGAGAAAGATCTTGCTGCGGAATCTGGCTCGTCCAAGCTAACGGGGAAGCTCGAAACATCATCTGGCCTTTCGACAGGAGCAAAGATGAATGCTACATTTGTCTCGTTGACCAGAAACTCGGATCTATGGGATATTGCAGACTCGATTCGTAATGTTGAAGATCGGTTCAATCGAAATTACCACTACGACTGGGTTTTCCTCAATGACCAGCCCTTCGACGAGACGTTCAAGAAGGTCACTACCGCCATGGTTTCTGGCACTGCGCGATATGGCTTGATTGGCAAGGAGCATTGGTCATTCCCAGATTTCATTGATCAAGACAAAGCCAAAGCGGTTCGAGAAGACATGGCAGAGCGAAAGATCATCTATGGAGACTCTATAAGCTACAGGCACATGTGTCGATTTGAATCGGGCTTCTTCTTTCGCCAGCCTTTGATGAATGAGTATGAGTGGTACTGGCGTGTAGAGCCAAGTATCAAGCTATTCTGCGATATTGGCTTCGACCCGTTCGTGTTCATGGCAGAGAACAAGAAGAAATACAGCTTCGTCATCAGTTTGTTTGAGTACGCCGAGACCATTCCTACGATCTGGGACAGTGCAAAGAAATTCATGAAATTACATCCAGAGCACATTGCTGAAGGCAATGCTGTGGACTGGTTGAGCGATGACGGCGGAGAGTCTTACAACCATTGCCATTTCGTAAGTTGTTTTCATCGAGCATCTAAATCTTCCCAACTAATGTATGTAATTAGTGGTCCAACTTTGAAATTGGTAACCTCAATTGGCTGCGATCGAAAGCCTACCTCGAATTCTTTGAAGTCTTGGACCAAGATGGCGGCTTCTTCTACGAGAGATGGGGTGATGCCCCTGTGCATTCCATTGCCGCCGGTCTCTTATTGAAAAAGGAGGAAATACACTTCTTCGACGACATTGGATACTGGCACGTTCCATTTACACATTGTCCGACATCTGAACAGAAAAGACTGGAGAACAAATGCCATTGCAACCCGAAAGACAACTTTGACTGGAAAGGATATTCATGTAAGTCCCTCGCATAAGAATTCGAACCACTGTGCTACTCCATTTGGAGTATTGACAATCTCTATAGGTACAACAAAGTGGTTCGAAAAGAATGAATTGAAATACCCCGAGGGCTGGGAAGATCAAAAAGACTAAACTTTCAGGAGAAATTTGGAGAACCTAGGGTGTATTCTACAAATTCATGATGTGAGGCGTCACGACTGGCTTGCTGGGCGCTGGAGCAGCCCTAACGTTGGGCTGGGGGCTTCCAAGGGGGCTGCGAGCGAAGCATTTGGCATAGCTTCGGCGTAAAGGGATCCTGTATGATAAAGAGGCAAATTGCTACAAACAAGAAATCTCTAATCGCTCCCATCTCATCTCGTCGCCTTTACCAGGCATGACTTCAGTCGCTGGTGAGCATCATGTTATTTGCTACAACTATCAGTATTCTATATGACGACGATGTCATGACGGGACATCACCCAATGTCCTCTTCTGACCGCTGCTGAAGCCAATGCTATTGACAACCTCATCACTGGAACTCTCCAAACTCCCCGTCATCGAATCCAAGCTCCGCTGCAGTCTTTTCAACAGGCTCAAACCCCCTACTTCTCCTCTTCTCGGCCCTTACATCCTGCGCGCTCCGCGGAGGTGCCAGCATCGGCATCGCTCCCCCATCTCCATTCACCAGCGATTCGGGCGGCGGTATTGTAGAAAACGATGCAGTTGTCGCCCCTCCACTCCTTTCCGCCCCTGCATCATCATCTCCAGCTTTCCTTCTCCCTTTCCTCCCAATATCAACCACGATGGTCTGTCCCTCCTTCAACCCGTAATCCTTCTTCACCTCGGCCTCAGCCTTCGCCTTCGCCGCACTCTTCTTCTCGGACGGCGTCTCCAGCCCCAAAACCTTCCTACTCTCCTGCAAACATATCCCAAAATCAATCGCCTCCCCTCTCTCCTCAAAGCCAATCCCCAACGTAGCTTTCATGCCCCCATCGCCCACCACCCTGATCGCAAAGAAGCGGCTGCTATCCAGCACCGCTTCTACAGCCCCGGCATCCGTATACGGTGCTTTGGCAAACAATTCTCCCGTTGAGGGATCTTCGAGTAGGATTTCCGTGCTGAGAGATTCCCCCGCGTCCTTGGGGAGGGGTACAGCGGTTTCGATGACGCGGAGGCGGCCGGTGAAGATTTGGCGTTTGTTGTCGTCTGCGGTCCAGGTGGAGGCGGTGTAGCCTTTGTTGGAGGTCAGGGGCGGAATGTTATAGATGTGGACGGTGGAGGCGATGAAGAGGACGCGCTGGATTGCGTCGGCGGGGAGGGGGGTGGGGGCGGAGGATGCCATTGGGAGAGTAAAAGTTTGGGGATTTGCCGGGGAAGTGAAACGGCGGGGAGAAAAAAAGCCTTTCGCAATGGATCTTCGGGAAGATAGAAACCCCGGCTTTAACACCAAATAGACCATGGTGGAAGACTGAAACGGTGGCAATCGGAGCAGGATCGAGGAACAATGATAGTGTTTGCTGGTAAAATGACATATGTAGTCTTGGTCCAACACCAGGACCTAGTTCTTCTCCATCCAGTGTCCCAGCAAGATATCCCGGCAGCATAGGACCTGATTTCCTTTCCCAAGTCATCCCATTTTCTAAAAGCGTCTTTAAGATGGTTATTCAACAATTCAATTTACCAAGCTCGACGCCCTGGGCCTTTGGAACAGATGGGTCTCACTTCCAAAGATATAACCTGGACTATCGAAGGGGGACTTCTCCTCGCACTGGTAATAAGTCGATTGTTCAATTTGGCGTAAGTATTGACAAATTATCCTAGGTTTCACTATGAGGAGATCTACGCGAGGAGTTCTTGCTATGAATATGGTTCTGTCTATATCACATGACCCTGATTCTGGGTTAACTTGCGGAGTAGTGCTCACCTGGTCCGATGAGCAAACAGCATTCATTAGCGAGGAACTCAAAGGGTATTACGCAATGGCTGGATATCCTCTACTTCTGCCAATTTTGTTTACAGCCTATCAACGACGGCTACTGCATGAGGAGGGAAAGCGTATATGGGAGAGACTTCTAGAGGTTGAAACAATGAGTGGCCAGACTGGGGTGCCAGTCATGCATGCCAAGTTACTACATGCTCTACCAACAAGTAGAAACTTCGACAGAATGACTAAAGGCGTACTCGAAGTCGTCCAGCTAGCTGCCGCCTGGGTGAACTATACGGAAGTTCTCCTTTCAGCAATAGAGGCCATTCAAGAGAGCATGCGGCACATCAATACCACAACTCCGCATGCACGATTGGACTATGTAGAAAAAGCTGAATCGGTTATGGTAGAATACCTGGAATTTATCTCTCAAAGATGCAAAGTCATGCTCTCGGAGCTCCAGTATTATTATAAGCGAGGACAAGCACAGATGACTGCTGTGAGCATTGCATTTGCGTCTATATTCGACCCTGACGTACTGATGAAACACTCCAGCTCTATAATTATATCGCCAAAAGTGATGCCCAATCTACCTTAGATATCTCCACAAGTTCTCGCCAGATCGCCGCAGCCTCGAGGCGTGATAGTTCGGCAATGAAAGGCATAGCGCTTCTGACCATGTTTTTCTTACCCGGTACTTATGCTGCAGTAAGTTTGACTCACGCCTATCCCTCGAACATTGCCCTCCATTTGTCTCGTAGCACTGAAGAGGAGACGCGAATGAACAGACTTTCCTAGCCATGCCGCTGTTTGATTTCAGCAACCCCTCCGGAGCCCCGACAGTAAAGTCTGGTTTCTGGATCTACTGGGCGATAACGATTCCCCTTACAACTATCGTCCTTGTGGCCTATCTTACATATCTTGTGCGGATCCAACGTAGAGATCGGCTTGAGGATCACAAGATCGTACGCCGCTTGAATGAAGATGAAAAGGGCCGATCAACACATGCTGTACATTCTGCGGATGCAATCAGGATGAGGTAGGGAAGTGCATTAACTTTCGCCCCGTCGCGGTCATTGTCGCGGTTACCCGTATATAGGTGATAACCCTCCATCTCCGGGCCGTGTTTCAGCTGGCAGGGGACAGTGCATTAATCGGTGACGCTATCGTTCCGGACAGATCTCGTGGTAAAGGCGCAGTGCAGCAGCTCGACGATGCCGTTGGCCGCAGAAGTCGTAGGCACTGGAAACCTCGATCCCTAACTCAAATCTCGATCGATGGGCGAGGCGTGCGGGAGACGAGGTTCACATAGCGTGTGGTCTGAGAAGAAGAGAGTTCGGGCAGGGTGTTACTCAAGGACGAATGCAATGAGAAAACAGCGAGGGATGTAGAAATCATTCTCTTAGTGTTCCGTCAAATGAAGCCTTTCCCAATGAAGGATTAGCGCGGCCGCCTTACCGGGCTCGGTGATTCACGTGGGTCGGAAAAGGCGGCGCTCACCCTAGACCCGATAAGGGGTGAGGTTGGGGCAGATTTCTGCAACCAATGATGTCCGCCACGAGTCATGTAGCCCTAGCCGAGCTGCAAGGAACAATTACGATCACTCTTCCACGTTATACTTGAAAGCGGATGACTTCGTATCGATACAACGGCGACTTGGAGTTGATCAGGTACACCCGCTGGACTTTTGCACCACGTTGACCTCATCACAGTTTTCCCACAATGCTCACCCCACCTCCAGAAGAAAATACAGCAATCCCTCCATCCTCCGACCCCAATAATGGCAGTCCATCTTTCAAGTACCTGCTCCAGGCCCTATAGCAACTCGGCCTTACTAACAAGCAACCAGCCTTGTCAGCACCTACAAGAACATTCTCTCCACCGACCTTCTCATCACAAAACCTATCGCCGCTATCGAATCCTTAATATCCCTTCTTTCCGCATCACCGCCCTCGACAATCTCTGAAACCCTCTCCCTCCTAGAATCTGCTACCTCTGAGCTAAAAGATTCGGTTCCAAATTCCATCGCCCTCTCCGCTGGCACCGATCTGTTTCAACGATATCTGATATCCACCTTACAGCAAGGGTCTGCCCAGTCTGCGAAGAGCAAGGGTAAGAGGAGTTCATCAGGAGGTGATGGAGACTTCAGGGCAATAAGAGCGCATCTACTGGCAAACGGCCGGTTGTTTGCACAGAGAGCAAACGAATCAAGGGGTCAGATTGCAAAAGTTGCACGGAAGTTCGTGCGGGATGGGTGTACGGTGCTTACGTGTGGGAGGAGCAGAGTCGTGGCTGCGGTTTTGGGTGCGGCTGCGGAAGATGGAGCGAAGTTTAGGGTCGTCTATGCACAGGACTCTAACGATGGGCTATCTAAGAATTCCGCGGACATTGTTACGGAATTGTGGAGAAAAGACATACCCGTTGCTACGATAACATTTGCCGCGCTGGCCGCTTCGCTACCGTATGTCACATTTGCGCTTGTTGGGGCTGAGAGCGTGGTAGAGAATGGAGGGATCGTCTCTGGCATGGGGACCAATCAGATGGGGCTATTAGCCAAGAGTGTTGGGAAGCCATTTTATGTGGTTGCTGAAAGCCACAAATTCGTCAGGGTTCACCCCTTGAGTGGAGATGATCTGCCGCTTGGACAGAAGGTGCTTGACTTCTCGACCCAGAGCAGAGAGGAAGAGAAGGAGCATGAGGAGGGAAAGAGGAAAGCTGGAGATGAGGTGGTGGACTTCACACCGCCTAATTTGATCACAGCTATAGTGACGGAGAGTGGCGTGCAGACTCCGAGTGCTGTGAGTGAGGAGTTGATCAAGATATGGTTCTGAAATTCACGACACCTGAGGTTGATACTGTTCAACTGGGATGAGGATTTGCAGGGCAAGAGTCGGGTGATACCCTCTGCTTTCCTCGAATAGCTGTAAAACTTGGGATATTTTCCCGCATTTGAAGCTCTTCATTAAATACATAAAGGGAATGAACATCAAATTCTGTTTACTGCTTCGAGGAGAATTATCATCACAAGCATACTTATATGTATAGTTGCGGTTACCGAAGTAGCCCTCGAGATATCACGGCTGCTGGGGCCCTAGCGGGAGTAACCGCGTTGAGTTCAATGACGTCGCGTCTCTCCGCCGATGTGGGTCTGCTTTTCTCCGACCACAACACTTGGCGTATAATTTCTCGTGCTTCACCAAAATCCAAGGACTGAACCATTGTGTCCTCACGATCAACAATGTCCTTCATCACCAGAATCGCTCTCCGCTCAAGAGCCTCGCCACTCCGCCTCGCACCGATCAGCACCCGCCCCTTGCACGTAACCAGCGCTCGAGCAGTACTGAGCGAGTCGGACCATGGTGGGCGTTCGTCCAAGTCTTTCTTTGAAGCTTCCGTGCTTTCTCTTCCAGAAAAGTGTGGAGGGATGTGTGCTGATCGTCAATTGCAGACCATGACGCAGAGGACCGCAAAGCCAAAATCGACCACCACAAGGATGATCAATTGAACAAGCAAAAGGATGGGAAGGGCCATTGGAAGAGAGAGTTAGGTAGTAACTCGGAGTCTGCCGTACGTACTCTGGACACTCTTTGGCGCAATTGGAACCAAGATCAGAGCACGGACCGAGCAATAGGATGCTGACGAGTTGGGAAATGACAGGTCAAAGCGGATAGGGAGGAGATTACAGATGCGGAACATGATGTTGAGAGCCTACAGAAGGAGACAAGCGAGGCTATGGAGGATGACCACGAGCATGCAAAGAAGTGAAGAGATGAAGGCGGAGAATTTGAATCGTGTCAAGTTGAAACATCTCACTTGAACCCTTTCAGAGAGGGGATCCATTATGGGCTGCTGATATGAAGGCAGCATTTCCGTCGGATTTCATGCCGTAACATTGATGGTTCTTCGTGTATCATACAAAGCCTGCTTCTATAACGACGTGCAGATACATACATTGCTGCTCTAAATATCCTTAGTACACCCGTAATAACGCCAAAGCCCCGGCTCCATTTTCAATCAGCTAATTGATCCTTCGTTAGACCCTCTGCCAGCCCCTCGTCCCAAAGCGGCCCCAACCACGCAGCGCCAAAGATAATATATGGAAATGACCCCTTCGCTAGCTCTTCAGAATGACTATCAACAAAACAAGCACAACGATTAGTATTATGATGACTGTCAATTGTTTATTGTCCTTTGCCCTCCTCGCCACGTTCCCCAGCTGTCGCCTCGCCCCATCCAGTCTCGACTGATGGCGATCCATGATCTGTTCCGAGTCGTCAAGCATACCGATCTGATCTTCCAGTTCATTACCAATCTGTATGCTGAGATCTCTCTGTCGTCCGATACTGTCTCCCAGCCTGTCCAGATCTTCGTCCTGTCTCCTCAGCACCTGTGAGTGGTATTGATGTATCTGTTGATTATCCAGCTGACTCTGATCTGGCGGCCCTCCTGGCTCTGGTTCATCTCTATACGGAAATAGCGCTGCTCTGTTCGCCTCTTCTTGCGGATCTGACGGTGCATCTGTAAACCTGACGGATTTATCTGGCCTAGGGGAGTCGGCTGCAGAGCGTTTGAGGAAAGAGGACGAGGAAGGGTTTCGAGGTCGAATTTTCTTCGCGGCAGCAAAATCGGGAGAGAGGGCTGGGTCATTGGGTTGGGAGACGGATGGTTTGGAGGTCGTGGGGAAACCGCGGAACTGGGATGTCAGATCGTCGAATTGCTTCCGGAGGTCGGCAGCTCTTGGGCACGTCAGTAATCATGTTTCCTCTTCTGGGACTCAATCGGACGCACGAATCATCGTTTCCCTCTGATTTCTCCAGCGCCTCGACGCCCTCGCGCATCTGATCCAATGATCTGGAGATGTGTCCATCTTGGGAGTTGGGCTCGAGATTTAGGGAGATGGCCCGCTGCCGTTCGAGTAATGACAACTTAATGTGATCAGCGAGCAGGTACAATTGTGATGGGTTCGCCATGTCAGAATAACCGTGGTAACGATCTTGAATGAGGTTGAAAGCAGTTAGGCCGCTTAGTTACTAAGTACTTGTATAAGGTAGGTCGGCCGCGAAAGCCAAAATGCCAAGACTCGATCTTAGCGCTAGGCCCTGGCGGCTGAACCCGGCCGGCAAGCAAGCGTCCGAGCGAAGTGAAGTACCCAAAGTAAGGGACATTGTCATTTCTCTGCGTTTCAGCATGGAGACGTTGCGACCTTAAAGGTCCTAAGTGGCCTGCTCACACACTGCAGATTTCTTCCATAGCTATCTATCAATCATGTCGACTGAACGATCCAATGTACCGCTTCCCTGGAAATCTGTCCTTCCCCCAAGACCTCAGAGACCCCAGCTCAACCCTGTCGATCTGAGAGCCTTAGAATATGTCAGTTCCTACGACCCCAACCTCATGTGTGCAATCTGTTACTGTCCATTCGTCAATGCTGTCAGACTACCCTGCGAGCATGTCTTCTGCCTACGCTGTGTCAACGATGCCATGAAGATATCCGGTATTGGCTTTAGGCCATCATCAGTGAATTGCCCGTCCTGCCGCAGGATGATACACACAAGTGAAATAACTTCAATGCCTAAGATTTTGCATCGCATGCTGGATGATTTGATGGTCAGATGCCCTCTGAAAGACGAGGGATGCAACGAACAAGTTCAGAGATGTGAAGTGCAGCAGCACGTCGACAAAAAGTGCGCATATTCGGAAGTGGAATGTCCCGCGGAAGATTGTATGCTTTCTATACGACGGAAGGACGTGGAGAAGCAACGATGCTTACATGTCATGCTGCAATGCGAGGACTGCAACCAACTCTTCATGGAGCGGGACCTTGACTCTCATCGTACCCTTCACTGCGAGGCTGGTCGAACGTCATGTCCCGATTGCAGTGCTCAGGTACTGCTTCGTGATATCGGCCAACACGTTGAACGCTGTCCTGATGCTATCTACCCATGCGCGGCAGCAGAATACGGCTGTGACTTTTTTGCTCGGCGCGCCACTCTGGACCAACATTCGAGGGCCTGTGCATTGGCAAAACTCGTTCCATTCTTGCAGACACAAAATGAGCGTCTTGGTGCCCACGAAGCTGCCCTAAAGCGCCTCCGTTACAGGAACTCCATCCTTGAAACATCATTCTCAACCCTTCAAGAAACTCTTAGTCCCTCTGCAGACCTTGTCGAGGCTCCTTCGTCTTCAGCTTCGGCCTCTGACACCGGTCCATTCGACTCTACAGCCCATCATCTTTTGTGCCTCCAAGAATCGCTTCGTGAGGAAGTCAGCCGCGTATCCGCTGCCCTGTCTGAACTCGATGCTCGGACAACGATGACTGTCATGAACGAGAGTCTGCGTGTCAAAGAAGATACCTCACACATGAATGCTGCGATCGGGGCCATGCGTTTGCAACTCCATTGGCTTGTGAGCGCGAGACTGCAGAATCAGCAAAGGGTGGCTATGGCAAGGAGCCAGACCGGAGGAGATCTTGACGCAGGTACTAGTACTTCGTCAAGGTCACAAGGTCCGAGTGGAGGTGTTGAATTGCCCATCCGAAGGCTGAGTGACTTGACGCGGCAAGAGACCAAGCTCTGAGGGTCGTGCTGGCGATGCGTAGAACTGTGTTTTTAGTGTCTAGAGCTTCTTGGGACCTCTACACTAGATAAAACAGCACAGATATCTCTACGGTAGTATTATTTATAAATTCATGCATGCACCTCAGATTTCGGTAAAACTTACTCGAAAATAAAGATCTATTATCATTGTTGTGATTTGATTGGTTACCGGCTGGCTGATGACCCGTCCCTGCAGATTGTCTGATCGTCTGACTTCAGCTTCGCGTGGTACCTCGGGCTTATACCTATTGCGGGAAGGATTCTCCCGATATGACGTCCTTTCCACGCAGCCTCGTGGAAGTTGCACGTAGATGCGGTGTGGGTGACCATGGCTCGGATTCGCGAAAGTCCGACCGGTTCCTGTTGTCGAATATAGAGTCTGGACAGTGTTGGGTCGAAAGCTGAGCGACAAGGCATGGGGCTCTGCAGGATCCAACCACTAAATGTCGCTGTTGAACTCACAGCCTTGGTGAGTCAGAATACATAAGCCGCATTAACATGGGTGGGGGGGACTTGGAGAGCTGATTCTGGAATCATAAGAATGCGGCAATCCTCTCGGTTTCAAACATCGGATCATATGCGCAGTGCGCTTTCGCCATCTTATACTTCTATAACATCCGCCAAACATCCTTTCCTTGACTCCTGTTACGAGTTGCTCAAGCTTCTTGTCCCATCATGAATGCATCGGTCAACACCAGCGCTGCAGCACCGGGCAACGCCAGCGTTGCAGAGTTCCTCACAATGGCAGCACACCAAGCGCATGGCAACTATGGAAATTTGACACTACTGTGGTTCAACGCGACGGTCGGGGCCATTTTCATAGACCCAAGCATTACAAACGTCTCTGTTCTCAACCCGGCAATTGGAGATCTGTTCGCCCCAGACATCTTTAGTGTTCCTCAAGCGTGTGCATACCCTATAAGTGGTATGAGAGATGATCCATGTTTTTTTCTTCTTTTCTGTGACTGCTGACGATCTGATTGCAGGTCAGTATGGCTTCCTCAATCGACTATTGTACTACTGCTTGATACTCTTTGCTGTCTTTGCGGCATCTAATTCATAACTTTGTTGGGTACGTTCATTCATTGTTGCCGATCACTGTCGAGTCTTGAGTCGCCGATTCCGCGACGCTACCATTGCCCCCCCAGTTTCGTGTCTCTGATGGTTCACAAAACACCCTCAGCGAAGAGATACTGACTTCATCAATGCATAGGCAGCTTTAGGTGGGCCCTGTCTTAGCCTAGTTTTTTGCTAATGGACTTGCTCAAACGTGCAATTAGGCATTGCTATGTCGTACTCAGCCGGCGCCTGCTTGCACGCTTTTGCTCTGTTCGCGTAAGAGTCCAATAGTACTTTCTGCGTCTGCTACTTAGCTGATAGTCCACTGTAGGCGTTACAAATACGACTGGCCAGATAACGACACTACGGCATGGTATAGTACGATGGCACCAAAGTACTACGGGGACATCGATCTGCAGGGGATATTTCCAATCCATGTTGCTGGCTGTATAGCTCTGCCCCCGATCCTGAACTGGTCTTATCTTTTAAGGGGGTCCAAGGGAGCGAAACCGGTGGTCATATTATGGGGAGCTATGATGTTCGCAGCAGTAATCCCGAGCTTGATCTTTAGCGTGAGAGGATTTTCCCCTTTCGAGGTGACTAATGAGGTTACTTATTGTCCCACAAACGCAGCTATCAACTGCACTTTCGATGAACTTTACAACGATGGATATGGAATCTATTCTTCGACGACCTACGATCGCTGTCAATGCAACGACACTTGCGGTGCCGTAGTTCCTAACGGCTCTCCATTCAGAAAAGGCCAAAGCTTGCAAGCAGTCCTGACGTCTGATCGATCGAATAACTTAGGCGAGAAGTCATCCGTTTACTACGCATTTGTTGTAAATGCGCTTTTCCTCCTGTTCATCCTATCACACGGCATTCTAGGCCTCATAGAAGCATCGTGGAGTCAACAACATATACGAGACACCATCTTCCGACGGCTCAGTGGGGCCACCCGACGCAGCTCACGAGAAAGTCTATCCTCAAAAATACGGCACCACATGGGGAAATGTATAGCAGGTTTTCTCTTTGCTTCTGCTATAGTAGTGACGGTCTTGTGTCCGCCTGTCTTCATCAGTTCAGTGATCATCAACGAGATCGTGACATGGAGCTGGCCAGTCGCGTAAGTATCGTCCAATTCAGAGTCCTAGAGTCCGTCATTGATTTCCACGTTTAGGGAGGATTATGACGCCGTGGGACAGGTAGGAACCGCTGAAAAACAAGCCAAAAGACTCTGCTAAGATATAAAAGTGGGGTCCATGGGTTGCCGCAGCCTTTGCAATCATTGCGGCTACTGTCCAGGCGATAAGTGAAGCCTGGCAAGATCGAAAATCAACCAAGTCTCAAGTGGCGGTGTCCGCTAGTGTAAAGGAAAAACGAGGTTCCTTTAGAGATCTATGGATGGACGTCCGTGTAACGCTCCAAGACTTCAAGTACTGGATTGTTCAGGGCTCGCTCCACGAGCCATTGAAACCACCGAAGGAATCTGGTGGGAAAGTTGACGCCAAAATGCCTGCCAAAAAGCCTCATAGGATGTTCAAAGAAGTCCAAGTCTCAAGCTTCCATTGCGACAAATGCAGGAAATTGGCCGGGTCGGTCAAGTATCAATGTACCGATTGTGACCAGGGCTATTGCACGAACTGTTGGCCTCGAACGCAGAAGCGCGGCGCACGCCTCGAGGATACTGCCGAGCAGCCGTCTAATTCCAAACACCTATCGATACATAGAGGCAACCTAGATCCGCTTCACTCGGCCCTCTCTTCCCCAGAGATATCTCCAACGCAGACGCCAACGGAGGATGTGCCTCTCCGACATATCGAAGAAGGCAGAGTCGCCCTCTTACCAAACATCTCGCCATCGCTCTCTTGACTGTGTATGTAGACTCTAGGGCTTTTTGGGACTCCACGCTATGTGAATAGGCAGACTCGGGGTAGTGAATTCAGAGGCACGGATATATCTACGGTACTAATAATGAACTTATGTATGCATCCGCTCCTCCGCTTTCAGCGAAATGTGCTCCGAATACCGAGGTACGGACAATGCTTCCAAGAAGTCAACCACTAGCAGCATGCTCACTGATCAGCACTCGCCACAACTTAGGATGTGATGCGCATGGATTATTAAGGCTAGTCGCCAAGTCAACTAATGCAAGCTCTATCTATTCGTTGTCGCTGCACCCAACAAGGAGTATCAGTCGGGGCTGCTGCAAAGAAAAGCAACGCATGCTTCCGACAAGCAATATCAGTCGGGGCTAAAAATTCAAATCGCAAGCTGAAACAAAAAGAGTGTCTTTGGCAAAAAATGGCCTCCAAACGCATGCTAAGGCTCCACGCTGCAACCAACCGACAAGGAGTGTTATGAGTCGGGGCTAATAATCAGATCGCAAGCAAAATTAGGAAAAGGAGTGTCTTGTCGGATATCAAATCCCCAAACGCCGGTCCGTGCAGCCGTTTTCAAATATCCGTCTCACCCCACCCGCATCTCCTTTCCATCACTGCCCTCCACACCTTTCATGCACGTTCTACCATTTTCAATCACGACGTTGACGTTTTGCCACCTTTTCTTTTCCTTTTCCTTTTCCTTTTTCTGTTTTCGGTGGTGAATTAGAACTAGATTCTCGTCGCCTAGCCTTGCCTTTCCCTTTATTGGCTGGATCGTCGCTGGTGGTCTCTCCAGGAGGTGGCGGAGACCCTGCGGACTCACTCCTAGCGTAGTCATCATCATCGGTGAATTGTCCGATATAGTCTGGAGTCTCTGGAATTGTCTCCTTCCCTTTGCCTTTTCCGCTTGACGCCTTGCTGCTGCTTTCACTGGGGGGTGCACTGGGGGATGCACTGAGGAGTGCACGAGCTGTCATGAGTTCGAATCCGTAACTTCCTTCAATATCGATCAGCTGGCTTGGACCTGGCGCGGTGCGCTGACTTGAACTTGAAGCGGTTGCCGTCAATGATAATGCTCCAAGACTTGAAGTCATCGCTGGAACGAGGCCGCTTTGAGAAGCGCTGTTACAGATGTAAGCATTTCCTCCTTTCCCTCAATAGAACATAAATCAACTTACATTTTTGTATTGGGCCGAGCTTTCAGTCCAAGAACTTCTACCTCGTATTTACTAATCCACTGCTCGCTCAAAGCTTTGAAAAATGGTTTGTACTTTGGATCATTAGCCACCAAAGCTACATTCTGGGTGTCCTGAAGATTTGGGTCTGCAAAGATCACGGAGAGGCGTATTGCGCGAACAGCCCTCCAGTTGTAATAGTGGCTGAAAACTTTTCTGGTATCCTGTTCTCTCAACTTTTCGTTGTCGCGATTTGTGCCCCAATTGACTACACCGTAATGGGCACAGGCCTGGTAGCCCTCAATGGAATTCGCGTTCACTTGATATGCCCTAAGCGTAGAATCAAGAACCAACGGTGGCCTCCCTATGCTGCAGTGCAGCAAAAAAGAGTTGATTCAGCAGTATTCTAGTCCAAAGAACCAAGATCGGACTTACAAACCAACAAGGTCTTCGGCTCTAACTTTGGCTGCGGGGTCAACAGCTCGAAGTTGCTGTAACCAACCATCAACGTGGCGGCACCATTCTTCCTTCACTGTGTCTTTCACTGTGTCGGTCATGCTTCGGAGTGCGATTGTGAGCTCATCTGCGGGGTCATCGAATCTTTCGAGACTTAAAAATCTTGCGTTCGACCGAGTGCCGTAAAAAACCATGCGCATTATGCCCACGACTTCCTCCCGAACCAATTGCCTTCCAAAAGACTCGTACCACGTGTGGCAAACATACATGGAGAAGATGTGTAAAAGAGTCGTGAGTTTGACAACTCTGGGCGCTAATCTGATCTTCAGAAATGTCTCATATCTTGATGTCATAGGGATGGCTGGAAGTATTGGAAGCTGTTCCTTCTTGCCGTTCGGCCATGTTAGGTAGGGTTGGTCTTGCCCGACGCCATCGGACCCTATAAATGAATACCAATCGACGGTTCCGCGGTTCTCTCCGATACCAAGTGGCTCCTGTCCACCACCTGCCGCCGCTTGTCGGTTATTTGAAGACCCTGCTTCTGACGTGAGCTTGGAAGCTATATTGACCGGCATTTTGGCCGACATTTGGGGCTAAGATGTCGTTTGAATCAGATGGACAAAGTGTCGGTCTCCAGAAAAGGAGCTGGAATAGGGTAAGGATGTGCAGCTGTTTGATAAGGAGTGAGTCTGCTTTCTGCAAAGAGTGTCTTATGAAGTGTGTGTGTGTGTGCAGAGAGAGTTTTATGAGGAGTATGTGTATACAGAGAGTGTCTCATGAGGAGTGTGTGCAGGGGTAAAAGTATGCTCAAGGTGTCTTGGGAGGATCTTAGGAGGAGTGTGTGGGTAGATGGAAGAATAAGTTGAAGGTGTGTTATGAGAAGAAGGACTGCAGAAGGGGGGGAGAAGCCTTTTATAGAGAAAACACCGATTTGCTGCCTTACTATTTTGTCTATTCTACCCCTGACGCTTTTTGGAGGGAGTATATCTTGTTTGAAGTGTGTAGGAGGTAAAACTTCTTCGGCGGAGGTGGTCGATAAAGGCGGAACGTTTGAGCTGCCCAATTGTACCAGTTTTGTTTCGGATGCTTGGTCAATTGTTTGACGGAAATGGCGCCGCGATTTGGTCACCTTGATTCCAAACGTTTCAGCGCTTCATGCCTATTTCTAAACTCTTGGCATGTACTGCATCAGCGCCAAATGTTTTAATCGTAACGTTTCGAGGCTATGCCGCGCTCTCTACGCCGAGGTTCCGATGCACTTTGGAGACAGTGTCTATGGGTGGCAGATCTACTCCAACCACGCTGCGACACCGCGTCTGTGTCTTCGCATTGACGCCCACGGCTGAGGCACAAGGAACGCTGTCACAGCGGCCGGGGATGGAAAAATCAAACATAAGGTAGTGGTATCGTTGAGGAGATCGTGGCGAATGACTGTTGGGCGACAATTTTGAAACAGGAAAACCTTCGAGGCCGAGCTTTTGTACGCTCGGTTTCATGCATCTTTGCCTGATGTGCTCATGGATGCTGTCACAGGAGCAGCCCCAGATGGGCATACATTAGGCAGCGGTATGGTTTCGAGGACCAGTAGCGAACCATCTCGGCATGTCAGGGCAATTTTTGCGGCAGGCTTTTGTACGCCGGCAGCCGCACATACTTTTCAGACCCACATTACAAACATGCAGACCCACTCTAGGCTGGGACACCCTCTCCTTCGGCAACAGCTTTGCCTCATTTCCGTCGCCAGGGAAACTGAGAAACACTCCTGCAAGTTCGGAGGCTCAAACACCTCAGCTCTCAGATACAGACCCACTCTAGGCTTCGAAACTTTCTCTGTCACCAATCATAATACCGCATCTCTGTCATCTGGGAGCCTGAGACACGCTCTTGCAACGTCAGAGACTCGAATACACCTCAGGTCTCAAACAGTGATGTCTCTCTGAGCATGCAGCCTCCCATTTGGACGCCTCTGCCTTCGAAAAAGGGCGAGTTCCATGGCTGCACTGTCTCAGAATCCTTGTACTCTGAACATCGTGCAAGTGCCGAGGGAACTATGGAGGGGATGGTGAGGCAGTATGTCTGTCTTTCTCTTATGAAAGCTGGACTCCTTCCCTCCATCTTCTGTTTTTCTCTTCATACTCCTCATCGAACAAGTTCAGCACGCTCTTTCATTTGTTCCCGCACTCCTCATGATACAACATCAGCACGTTCTCTCACCTACCCACACACCCCTCATAAGACACCTTCGAAAAATCCTTCTGTCAGTTGTTGCTCTCCTCAATAAAAAAATTAGCACGTTCTTTCATCTGTTGATTCTCTCCCCCAAAAGCCACCTTCGACACAAATCACACCCTCTCATTATCAAAGTTCCGCACATCATCCTCTTTGACCAATTCCTTTCCCTGAAGACCGGCAATTCATCCATCTTATTCAAACGATATCTCTGCCAACATGCCGAAAAAGCCCGGATATGTGCCGTCCGCGGGCGGTCAAACTATCTCCACTAACCGGCTCGAACGTATCTTCGTTGCCAACAATCGGTTCGATCTTAGGGGAAGGCCTCTAGTTCAACCCGAGGTCTTTGGGATAATCAGCATCATGTGCGACCTAGACGACTCTCCCCCCTTGACCAAGTTGTTGGAACATTTCGACAACCCCAAAGATCCATTGACAATCAAAATCAGAGCTTTGGTCGAGCAAGACGATCAACACCAACAAGACCTAAAGGACGAAGTCGGAAACCTACTTGAGACATGGAGGGCAAAAGACGAGGCAAATGGCGGGAATGCTACAGATAGAATGGAGATTCTCGAGGGGCTGTAAGTCCAGACATGATTCTACCAACTGTTACATCGCTGAATTCTTCTTTTTGCTGGATCATAGGCTAAAGAGACTGCCAATGCGGTTCTTTGTCATGCCTGAATGGAACCAAAAAAGAATCCGGTTTGAACAGCTCTGCATCCTATACCCTTTATACCATTTTTGCCGCGACGACAAAGACAACCACATAAGCGAATTTGTGGCCATACAAGTTGCCCGAATTTATGTGTTCAAAGTCGAGGCCGGTTCAATTCGTGTATTCGAGTTATTAGCAACACCAGAAAAAGATATCACCAAAGCGGTGGCTGAGGTTATGATGGACAGAGCAATTCTGCTTCACTTTGCTAACATGGCTCATGGAATGCATGTGCGATATACACAAGACAAGGGGTTTCCATTACCTAAGCTTAGTCTACCCCCGTAAGATGATCCATGTTCTATTGGCGCAGAGGAGAATATGCTTACAAGTTGATCCAAAAGCGATCCTATTGCAGCTGTCACCGAAACAATGAGGTCCTCCACCTTAACAGCAACCGCTTCAGCTTCGGGCCAGCCTACCCGAGGAGGTCCGCATCGCTCAGACATCCATGATCTTCTGTCAGGTCCCTCCACGGAAGAGCAAGGCAGGGAAGAAGAGAAAGGGTCAAGCGAAGAAGAGGAAGAGTCAAGCGAAGAAGAGGAGGAACAGGAAGGGCGAAGGGAAAAGGCAAAACAGCCATTCTATCCCCACAATGTTCTGTCCACCCCCAGTCCAAGCGGAAGCAAGGAGCCAGACAGCACCATCCAGGGCAAGGGCAAGGCGAGGGCATATGAGTCTAGTTCTGAGTCACCAGGAGACACATCTGGGAAGGGGAAAGGAAAGGCTCCAAAAAAAAACCGTCGTAGTGGAAAATAGTGAGATGAGGGAGATACGGGTGGGTCGAGACGAAGATGTGAAAACGGATACACGGACCGGCGTTAGGGCATTTGATATCCGACAAAGACACTCCTTTTCCTAAATTTACTTACAATTTAACTATCAGCCTCAATTTATAACACTTCTTGTCGATTACAGCGTGAAGCCTTAGTATACGTGCAACGACTATACTTTATCAAAAACACTCCTTTTATTTCAGCTTGCGATTTGAATTTTTAGCCCCGACTAATATTGCTTGTCGGGTATAGCGTTAATAGAGTATCATGCATTGCTGGCATTTCTTGCCAAGACATGATTCTAGTTTCAGTCGACATATATGCTTGTCACCTCCACCCAGGACACAACTCCCTCTACCAATATCAAACGATTGTAACGATTCAAAGTATCAATTCAAAGTATCAAAGGAAAAAGCTTCGGCCTCCCACGGCACATCTCACCCTCGCCCTCTGATGTAACAATATCTAGACTAAAGTTGGTACAATTGAGCATCTGAAACGTTCCACCTTTGTCGACCACCTCTGCCTAGAGCACATACCCCTCTATCGATCTCAAACAACTGTAACAATTCAAAGTGTCAAAGAAAGTAGCTTCAATCTCCCACGGCATATCTCACCCTCGCCCTCTAATGTAACAATCTCGAAACTAAAATTGGTAGAATTGAGCAGCTGAAACGTTGCACCTTTATTGACTACCTCCGCCGTAGATATTTTGCCTATCACACATCTAAAATAAAACATACTCCCTCAAAAAGGTTAGAGAAAGAATGGACATATCTGCCTTTTTCCATAAATGGGGCCTTTCTCTTCATCTGCTGTTTTCCTTCTCACAGCATATCTTCAGTTCATTCCTCTATCTGCCCACAAGTTCCTCACAAGAACACACTTCTCATAAGACACCTGCAATACATTCTTTTATCTGCTCACACACAGACACTCCCCATAAGACATCTTTCGTACATTCTTTCATCGGCTCACAGATTGTTGATAAGACACCTTCAGTATAATCCTTCATCTGCTGATTCTCTTCCCAAAAGTCTTCCTCGCCCTCTCCATTCTGAGATCCACGTATCATTATCCTTGATCGACCCATTTCCTGGTGACGGACACTTCATCTATCGTATTCGAGAGCAAAAACCTCGGCACCATAATGGGACCCATAGTTACAACGCGAGAGGCAACGCAGCAGCTCATATGGTCGTTAGTACAAGTGTCGAGCGGCGCTGGGGAACAGCTACCAGCGCTCCCAGAGGTCCCTTTGATGACGTCTGACATGCCATTGCTTTCCGTCTCTCACATGCCTGTTCCCATATTCTCCATCGCCTTCGCTAGCTACTGGTGGGTTCGGCCTGATGGAAGATTATTGACTTTGGAAGAGCTCGAAGGCATATTGCACATCTTCTACCCCGACCAGATCTTCCACGAGCAACACCGTCTTCGACTATTCGACCGATTGGAGAGCTCTGATGCTGAAAACACGACACGGGTACTCAACTTTCTGGACGAGCAGAAGAAACAAGACTTAAAAAGACTGGCCGAAATCTGTTTCCAACACTTTCTCAAGGTGACTCCCGGCGCCCAGAGTAGAGCGCAGAATCTCATTGGATTGTAAGTCGGGATGTGATTTTGTGGAAAGATGTTTGCTGACTTGTCGTTTTGCTGCCTTGCAGTGAAGGGAGGCTGAATGTCTTGTGGTGGATGCGGTCGATGTACGCTTTTGGGTACAGGAAGCGACCGACCATCGACGGTGAAGAGTGTCGGGATGACCAACTTTACCTCATTCACTGGCTCTGTAATGAGTGCACGGACGACGAAGGCGACCTACCGACCGAGTGGGATGTTGTAACAATGGTTGGCCACCATTACAACATCGACATTCGCATTGACCAGAGATTCGAGCCCTACGTAATCCTGGCAGATCCAGCCAACTGGGCCTCCAGGATGGTGAGTAATGCATTGAGGGATGACAAACACGCAACACACTTTGGACGCAAGGCTGATCTTCTACATCGGGAGTGTACCAAATTGGGACTCTTGATGAACCCAGCTTTAATACCAGAGGAGGTCGAATGAGTAGTGTGGAAGAAGACAGTGAGACTCGGGGGATGCGAGTGAGACGGATTATTTGATTTGCAAACGTATGCACGGGCCAGCGTTGAGGGTCTTGTTTTTCTGATTTTCGGCAAAGACACTCTTTTCATGTCTCAATTTGGCTTGCGATCTAATTGTTAGCCCCGACTAATATTGCTTGTTGGGTACAGTGCAAAAGTACTTATCATGCGTTGCTGGCATCTCTCGCCAAGACACACTTTTAGAGTAATAGTTTTCATTTTTACATGCATGCCACCTCCGCCGAGAACATATTCCCTTCTACCAATTTTAAATAAATTCAATGGTTTACATAATTAAATGATGGACTTCGGCCTCCCAAGCCACATCACACTCTCGTCTGATGCAACAAGCTCGGTGGCAATGGAAGCGCAAGACGAAGGCCATGGCTTGCAGCGGGATATTTCGATGACCTCGAACGGATTGATTAGACGTGGTAGGCGCTCGCCTAGTGCGCAGATAAGCGATCGGCTGCTGCCAGGCGCATTACATTCTCCATACCACAGCCATCAAGCATCATTGCGTGAGCACGTGAGCAAGCACCTGTTTGTTACCCTCTGAGCACACCGCCTGGACTTCCTAGGCCTACGCTCATCACGATGGACTTGGAAGTTCGACTAGCTACGACAGAATCGACTGCTAGCTCGTTGCGAGTAAATGAGGAAATCAATCATAGCAAGGGAGAGGTAGGGGTAGAGACCTGTGAAAGCCCGATACTTGTCGTATCAGGAAGCCTCTGAAAGAGAAAAACAAGACAGTCGCTGCCCTGGTCATGAATGGGTTAGAGAAGAATGATCCGGAATGCATGCACATGTGTAAACGATCAAAGTCCTTCAGTATTTGTGCTTGAATCTCTTGACTAAAGCATTACTGTATTGCATTCGTGTTTGTCCTGCTAGGATCCTTCAAATACGTATCTAAGGTACGATTTATACCTGTCTGCTACCTGGCGAGGCTAGTATGCGCGTTACACGCTTCTTGTCTCGGCACTCTCATGCAGGATCCGCACCTTGCACGTGCTAATAACACTTTGCCATCAGCCTAATATTTACACCTTCCGCTCTCCTTTGTCGTTCTGCTATTTCACTGTGAGTGTATGACTCACGTTGTGTTGGTGCATGAGTAACGACCAACGCAACTCATACAGTCAACCTGATCGTCACAGCTGTACCGCTCTGCCGTGTCTTCCAATCAAATCCCCTCCCAAGTGTATGGTTCACACTCCACAGAAGCAACATACCTCTTAAAGTCATACCCTAGACATCGCATTTCCACCGCTCTTCATCTTACTATCACCCACCATGTCTCTCGAATCTCCACCCGACGAGATTCTCCTCCAGGTGCTCAAAGACCTAAACCCACCTGGCGCCTGGGATGATTTGGCGGCATATAGCCTTGCAGACGAAACGCTTCACCCCCCGCACTCCTACCAGACGCCCGGTTGGAAACCCTCAAGATGCGTATCGTATACCGAGTTCAATCGTTCCTGCCAGTACTGGGCAGCGCTGCGAAAGGCAGACCTGGTTATGCAGGGGATTTCGGCTAGCAGTCATCATATGCGTGAAGTATCTTGGGACATATTGGTCCTGCGTGCCATGGGCACATCGCTTCTGTCTTCAACGACGCAGGCTTCGGCTGGTTGTCTGACGTGGAAATTAATTTCGCGGGCAGTGGATGAACGTGAAGAGTTTTACGGCCGCTTGTTGGAGCCTATCTTTGAAGACGAAGAGGAAGAGATGAGGAAGAGAGCACGTGGAGAGCTATGGTGGGGTTTCCTCCGAGATCCTAGGATAACTGGGTGGCTAACGTCTGGACGCAAGATGACGCGGAAGGAGACCATGGCTTCGATCTCTTACCTGAACCACCGATTCTGGTAGCAACATCAGTGCAGCGACTGTTTCATTATGATTTTTTCTGTTGCCGTCCTCTGGCGATAAGTCAAACGAGCAAAGCTTTTCAATGGGCTACCAGAACGGCAGCAGACACCTTACGGATTGAATGGATGTGTTCGTGCAGGAGCTGGCAGCGAAGCCTTGTCTATCGAAAGCCCGCTTCGGTTCGATCCAAACGAAGGCTTTGATTGAGGGAGAGAGCGCCTAATACTTTGCTCAAACGTGTCGGGGCAAATGCTGTAACAACAGGCAATCTTCCCACATTCCCTTGTTCTATCCAAAAACACAGTGCATGGTTCTCCAGAGCCTTCAGTCTAGATTCAACTGATTCACTGTACACAGTCTTTTCTTCGTCTTTCTTATTCTGATACCAACTCTCCACCTCCCACGCTCCCCCGTGACGTTCTCATGTAAACCTGCATCAGCGTTTGTCTATTAGTGAAGTCCCATCGCGACTACTCGTCGAATAGAAGTAAGCAAAGCCTCATTCCATCCTCACCGGGATTTGCAGGATGCACACATTAGGGCGTTGGAGGGATGAGATCAATTACGACAGAGTCAATTCGAGCTGAGAAGACAAGTGCGAAATTTTCGATGAAGGGCCACTAGATTTGCTCTTCGTCTCGGGGAAGCTTCTGTACCCAGGAGACATTCAATTCCTTTCTGTCTTGACTGCTATAATTCCCGCAGATTCGACAAGTTGGAGCTGGATTGGACTGAGCGGTTGCGTTGTTGCCAGTGATCGAATACAACTTTCTCCTCGCAGGTATCCTTCCTCTCACCTGCTCGCAACGGAATCCCAGCCTACACCGTCACCGCAAGGACTTGAGGTGGCAGCTGCTCTGGCGTCTCGAGTACCACCAACCACCTCACGAGCCACTTATCCTTTCCAAACCCGATGTGACCGTCTCTCACGAGTTTTCCGGGACGTCGAATAATATGCCTGCACCGCATTGCTCGACGTGTGTGATTGTATCCGACATAAAGCCAACTCAATGGATCGAAGTGCTCCGCTGCTTCTTTCGCAACAATATCGCTTGTAATCGTACGCATTCCTCCCTGGAAGACCTGTCTGAATGAAACACCGGTGGCCAAGGTCTTGCTGGATCCCCAACTGCTACGGTGGTAAACCCGTTCCAGCTTACGCATCATGCCCGTCTTTTCGACGTAAGCCAGACTGAATTCATTCACTGCATGGAGTATGAGGCCTTTTTTCTTTTCTTCGGTGATGAATCGAGAGTGGCTTTGTGCCAAGCTGACTGATAGAGCATGGAACAAGCGGGGAACCTTGGAGAAGTTTACGATATCGAAATGAGCGCTTAGCAGCCTGTCATGCCAGGCGCTGTCTTCCTGACAATTCGACTCCATGTCAAAGGGTTGGAATGCAGCTGGAGGATACAGATGTCTTAAGATCCGTAGTAGAAGCTCCTTTGGCAACTTCTCGATCGTGCCACTATCGCCTGGCATTTTGAAGGATCAAGAAAAGGAACAGCGGACGAGAGTGAGTTTACAGACAAGTTCTGGACGTGCGAAAGCCGGATTTATATTGACATCCTGGACGGGGGGTGATGATCGGGCCGCGGACGAAATCTGAATGCGAATGAGCAATTGCGCGACGGATGTCGAACAACCCGGAGTACTGTGTACTTGGCTGAGACAAGGACGGTATGGCAGACGAAAACGACTAGACAGAAAATTTTGAAGTACGAATGGTTCATCCTTCCCTTCAGTTGAGCCGGGGGTGTGACAGGTACCCAAGGGGGCTTCCGGGGAATGCCAACAGTTTTAGAATATCGAAAGATTTCGATCTCTTGGCATCTGCGTCGGATCGCCCTCCACCTATCTATAGTAATCACGCAGTAATAACGCCGGGGCCGGTGACAAGTGACCATGTCAAGCGTTTCAAGGATTTATGAATACGCCAAACAAGAACTGCGCAAAAAGCGTCAAAGTTCATTCAGATCTCAATTTACATTGCAACAGGTTTGGGGGGAGGAACCCGACGCAGATGCCATTTTATCGACATTTTTTTGAACACGCTAAGTATGTATAAAGCTTCCTACTCAGTCTGACTGTCTCGTACCATTATCACCTTACTTCAAAACGTACCATGCCATTACTTCCACCACTATTACTTTGTACCATTGCGTAGAGACCTCGAAAATATCAAAACGGTACCAAACATAGGGCAACAAATTGTCATTGGTCCCTTGCACGGCTAACTGTGTACAAAGAATCTGAGGCACTGTGAGGAACAATCAGTAGCTGCCGCACAAGGTGTCCGTGTGAAAGGATACTCACCTCTGCTGGCCCCAGGAGGAGACCATAACACTGGTTCGCAACCAAAGTATTACCATTCGAATTCGGGCTCGTCGTTTCGTGGAACAACGTGCACTGCTCTGGGTCGCCGTTGACAGTGCCCATACCCCTTGTGGGTCCGCTGAAGTCGAGCTGTTCCTGGAGGGTGGTAGCTCGGCTGAGGGAGTAGGATAAGATTTGCATGGAGTTGTTGTCGAAGTTGGTTGTTTGTACGTTGTAAAGCAGCGGTGTAGTGAAGTTGATGCCGGTCCCATTTTGGTTGCAGTTCAAGCCGTCCGAGACGGTGATGATCATGTTGGAAGCTTGGGGGTTTGATGCTGAGGTATTCTGGGCGAGAGTGCCGGCACTCAATGCCAAAAAGATGGAATTCACAAAGGTGAGGGAATGCATGGCGGACTTGAGTTGTACGGCAGATGTAGATCTTGAAAATTAAGAGATTGAATGGAGAGATGGTTGTGTCTGTCGAGACTGAGAAGGTTTTATCATGGTTTATGTAGACAGCTTCCCCGTCACTCTTCGGACAAAAAAAGGAAGACAGCCTACCTGAGACTAGACCTCGTCCACAAATCGAACTCTTTCAAGGAGTCATGTTCGTCAACCATGGCCCTCAACGCGAGTGTTTGTTCTTCCATTGACGATAGAGAGGGTCGGTCAATTTCTTGAAGTAGCTAATAAAGCATCTTTCTTCGGACAATATTAAGACGTGACAATATTAAGGGCATGCCATACTAAGAGGTGTGGAACAGACCCGATAAAGATAAAGCAAAACAAGGTTAACAAACTTAGTTTCTTGCTCCTTTATCCTGGTGCAAGCAGATTAGCCGCCACAAGCGCGCGCCGAACATCGAAGTGGCACGACTAGGTTACATATTTCTCCATCCTCAACAATCGTGGTTACAAGCAACGTTGCTGTTTGATGCGCTCTTCAATGAAGCCCGCCTGAAAATAGTCAAAGCCATCTACCCTTCTGGGACATTTCCAAGCTTAAGCTCAGAAGCCCCAAGCTACTAGCTAAGGTAGCCGGCTGGGATAATCAAGTACTGAAAGCTGACGTAGATCTAATGAAGCTCTCTAACATGGGACCCCATTCAAAGCATAAAGCGACGCGGTTTATGCAAAGCATGCACGCTTGATGGCTTTGGAGCGACACGAATATTTGGAGACATTGGACTGACTATATATTCGATGGCCCATCAGGATATGGCGAGGTGTTCTGGAGTCCTACGAAGGAAACGTCAGACTGGTACGAAGTTTCCAACTGGGTATTTTCCAGCGAGTCTTTGGACGTTTGTGGAGCGCGACCTCGAGTATCAGCCAGAAATGCCTGAGGGCATCTGTATGCATTGATTGCACTTCGCATGCGTTATCAATTTAATAGTGGGCTGTCCTTTAGCTAAATTTCTGAGCTGTCCCGGAAAGGTATCTGATAGACGACGAGAAACATGATCATGGAAGCATGCAGCAGGGCATCTTTAGAGTACGCATCAAACCCGATGCGCCTGTCTCGAATCAGTCTACAGTGGGTTATCTCTCAGCGAATCCCCGGGCCTTCCTAAATACGATGTCGACAATTGGCAAGAGCCGTTTTCAACGAAGCACGCAACGCTGCACTTTTATAGACAAAATCTACTCCACATGTTTAATCCGGGAGCCGGTTGATTTTTTTATCTGCAAGATGCAAGAAGCACGTACGGGAGTAGGAACATGATTTTCACAGGTCCAGGATTTGCGTTGAATAAGAGATCACGTTTCTTCCAGTAAATTCTGTTTAAAACATGACACTATTACAATCATTTGCTCTGCGACCATCTCACAAACCCCATCTCCACCACGCAAACAAACACCGCTAGCAGTTAAACATCCACTTTATCTCCTCTCTCTCAATGTTTTTCCTCATCAACCGAGAAGCAAATTTCACAAAACTCGCCAAGCATCATCCATCAACAAAGCCTATCAATCCATGAGCTGTGGACCTTCCATTTCAGCAAACATGAACACATCGACTCCACCAACTGGCTCAACAGCGGCGGCCCTGTTTGAATCTACTGGCCCCCGACTTCCCCCACCAATGGGTCGCGGACCTGGCAACCGGGTTGTCTCTCGAAGGAGCAGAACGCAACAGGTTCCAATTTTAATGAGACGATCGTGCAGCCCTGACGCGACATACGTGCCGGAACCACACCAAGTTCCGATCGGCATTTGGTCCGGAGTTGAAGACGAACAATATACGAAGCAGCCTGACGAGCCCATGGCGGAGTTTGACGCGGAAGTGCCTATCCACAGCGGGAAAGATAGCGAGGAGGCATTGATGGTTTTGACGAAGAGACGAGCGGAGATCAGGGATGCACGCAGCGTCTCCAGCGTGCGATTGCTCTTTACAGTTTACGAGCTGGTGTTCAGGAATGGAGGAAATGAGGAGAGCAACGTGGGGAAGAAGACGAGAAAATGCGAACGTTCCCCCAGCCTGAAATGAGGTCGCGCGGTACTATTACAAGCCCGGATTTGATCAGAGCGTCAAAGAATTGGGAAGGCGACTTGATTCCATCCCCATCAACGCACCGATCCCTCGCATCTCAGAATACCATATGGACACGCACAATCTCAACCCTGCCTCCACATTCCCAGCATCCCATCATCCCTCCGCCACAGCTTCGCTCGGCACACCCTCGCGATCCAACCCACTCCCGTAAACCACCGCACCGCACCCCGCAACCCAACCCCATACGTATCCGTCCCCCAGCCCCTACGTACATACATACGCTGCCAAGCACGCTCCCACAAACCTTCCCAAGGCATCCGAACACCTCATTGCCGCAAGATCGCAAAGTCCTCTACCGGCAAAGCCAAAGATATACATCATAATAACCATTCCGACCGACTCCTTTCGCACGCTCTGCAACCGATAGCACAGCCAGCCAGGTAGGTACCTATTCAGCACGGCCATCTAAACCGGTCTGTCGGGAGGGAGTTCAAAGGACGATGGATCCGTTGGGCGGATAGGTGCGGGAGCGGGAAGAATGATGTCTGCCGATTGCGGTGTTCGCGTTTGTTAAGTGAGGGATGGATGTTTGGTCTGGATGGTGAAGAGGGCGGATGTGATTTGTTTTCTTGTGCACTACTTGCTGAATGAATGAATGAATGAGACGAGAGAGTGGGGGAGGGAGGGGGGGAGGATTGGAGTTGGGAGAGTCGTTGTTGTAAAAGATCTGCAGGGATCTATATGACTGCCAATTCATGGCGGCTGTTGTCTACAGAGAGATCGGGGTGGTATCTTGGAGTATGGAAACGGAAAGGATAGCACGTGAGGTTGTTATCCAACCGCACAGCACGAGAACGCCGTTTGCCATGGCATCGCATTGGATTTATCATCGCTCTAGAGTTTCGATTCCTCCGTTTACATCACATGTTCGATCTCGTTCATGTAAAGCTTGACGTGCGAGTCCATCTTCAGATACTGGTCGTGAGCCGAGTGGATCTCGTCCTCGATATTCTCTTTTAGGTCGGCCATCTGACGTTATCTGATTAGTGGATGCGCTCATGACCGCCCGGATATTCAACATACCTTCTTCTCCGTCTGCTCAATCCTGACCCTCCTCTTCTCCATCTCCCGTCCCTTATCCACCCGCTCCTCCGTAAGTCGGCGGTGTACGCTCCTCAGCTCCTCCATCTTCTCCTTCGCCGACTGCGCCTTCTCCCGGCTCCCGTTCCTCACCGTCTCCGTTCGCTCCAGCCATCTTTTCAAGTGCCGTTGCAGCACCGCTTCCGTTCGCTCGACTTCTCGCACGTTGTTGCCCCGTTCCGAGAGGGCGTCCCGTCGTTTGGCGGCTTTGAGGTTTTCTTCGTCTTCTTTGTGTAGCTCGTTTGAGATTTCTTCCAGGATCTTGGTGCAAGAGACGACGTCGTTCGTTACTACGCCGAATGTGTCGGTGCTGGTCTGGAGGGCTCTTGTTCGCTTCTCTAGCGAGTCGATCTGTGATCTGTCCCGTCCCAGGTTCTCGGACAGCTCCGTCAGATTCGCCTGTAAAGCAGCCGGCGACTGTAAAACGTATGGTCGTAGCTTCTCAGACTCTTGCCTCACTCCGAGACATCTCTCCGTCTTCTCCTCCAGCACGCCCGTCAGCCTGCCCTTCTCGCCTCGTACTCTCTCCAACCGCTCCGCCACTCGCTCTTGGCCCTTCTTGAGCTCTAACAACCGCTGCTTCAGCTCGTCGTTGCGCTTCGTTTTCTCCTTGACCTGTTGATCCATTGACTTGCGCTCCCGCCTCATCTCGTCAAGCCGTGACTCCATGTCTTGATTCTCAAGATAGAGCGTCTCAATGCGGGATTTGGTTCTTTCGGCCTTGTTGAAGTGCTCGTCGATAGTAGCGGTCTGCGACTCTCGGAAACGGACGAAGTTGATGACGTAGGAGAAGATCTTGACGAGGCGGTCGTGCGTAGGTTTGAGCAGGTCATTGAAGGAAAAATCTGCAATGCCGCACTGCAGACCCGTTAGCCCACTACACATACAGTACCCAGTGTGCAGTCCTACCTCGACCAGCAACTTCCGTAGCGACACGTAAAAGCCCATCAAATTCCTCGTATCCGGCGGCACGATCTCCATATGTTCCCCGCAAACATCCTCCGCAGCAGCACGCATGGCCGGCTCCACCGTCTCCCGCGTTGTGTTCATGAGTAATTCCGCAAACCATTCGAAGATCTTCTGTATCTGCTGCGGGTTGGGTTTCTGCAGGTCCTCCAGTGAGAACTGGACGCCGATGTCGCTGATGCATCCGACGATTTCTCGGTCGGGCTGGTATCGCGCCGTTAGCGACTGCAGTGTGGGATCATGGAGGCATTGCGACATACCAGGCGCATCATGACGTCGGGGTCAATTTGTTGTTGTTTCCCTCGGCCGCCAGTTGGCTGGCTTTGGGAGCGGAATTGCTGGCTCATGCGGGCGCTGTTGTAGTCCATTTGGGCTGCGTAAAGGCTTTGCGACAGGAGCTTGTAAGGAAAGAGCAAAGCTCGAAAATGAGGTGGGTGTGTTTGGTGTTCTGCGTTTGCGCAAAATGTAAACAAAGGCCTTGGACCCTCGGAAGTAAGAAGTGGCAGGGTCTCTAGCGTTAAAGCTTAAAGCTCACATACATTTGACCAATCATATCAATGTACCGAATTTACAATTCACAAAACCACATGGGCGTCTGTTGTATTAGTATTGCCTGTATATCCGATTCTAATACTTTACCCACGAATTGGTTCTAATGATGAAACCAAGAACATACATAGAACTACAGAATGTCCACATTGCAGCCTCGCTCACAAAAAAAAAATGCAGCTTTCTCGACCAACGAACAACAACCCAGTCAAAGTCTTTGAAAGAAAGACCTACCGCTCAATAGACATCTGTACACCAAGCAAGCCGCAACCGTTCATCCCCGTCTCAAACACCCGTCCACCATAGCTAGATCTCCGCTCTTCCTCGGACCATTTCCCAAGCCTCAACTCTCATCCTCCTCTACTAGAATCCGACGTCGCATATCCCATCAACAAATCTGATTGTTTGTTTGAATGCCAAATGCCACGCTCCGTATGTCACATTGAACCGATCGATCTGCGGCAGCGATCGGGGGGAGTCGAAGCCGTTTGGGAGGAAATAGAAAAGGTCGTTGAGACAGGCTGATGTGTTCGGGCTGCACCTTTCAAGTACTGAGCCATGTTCTAGTACCGAACATGTCATTTGTGTACCACGAAATGTCTTCTAAATCAATCAATATACACAGCGTTCTATTACCTACCTAGTTCAATCCATCGCAGTTGACATTCGCAAACTCACAAGGGATGCTTGCTTGGTTGCTCGGTGGCGAAAAACGAAGAAGGAATGAAAAGGTCGATGACGGGACCTCAACTCGCCACGCGTTCCCGCGCACCGATCGACCCCGCCAAAAACAAAAATATTCGATCAATGAACAAAATAACAAGCAAGCGAAGAAAGGAAAAAAAGGTTCAGTGAGGTCTTGCCCAGATTCGAACTGGGGTTGCCGGAATATTGGCCACATCAAAATCCGGAGTGATAACCACTACACTACAAAACCTAGTTTTTCAGCGACTTTATTTACTCCTATGTCTTTATATATCTTTGCCTTTCCATCTCGGCTGCATCTTCTCGTCTCGAACTCCTAGCGCCATCCACAACTTCCACATTCACCCGTACTTTTCGCGCTCAATTTGCGAGAAAAAAAATTCGATGTTACGCTACCGTCAAATCATCATACGCACTCTCCTCCGTGACCCTTCCCCAACTCCTGCCATCCCTCCGGTTTCCTAACCTGCCCGTACCGCGTCCAAGCGCTCATGTTCCAGAGCTCCGCGATCTCGAAATCCGTCAGCCCCACCCTTTTCATCCCCAGGATACGACCCCGCAGCCACTCCTGCCGTCTCTCCAGCGCCGCCCGCCTCGCCAATGAATCATCGCGCGATAAGCTACCGACGCTTTGCGCGCTGTCCGGAGCCGACGCGGGTTTCCGCGGCCAAAAGGACCACCCGATCCCGCTGAATGACAAGATTACCTTCGGAGTAGCGGGTTTCTCCGGCCAGGACGGAGCGCTCTCACCCGCATTGTCGCGCTTCATGGCGGGCTTGGCCTCGACGATTGTGACGTTGGGGACAACGATCCGGAAAGCATCGTCATGCAACGCGCATGCGCAATGAAGGGCATTGAGCGCTATGTTATGATGTTTTTGATCCCGTCGCTGCCCCGCTCCTACGCCGTAGGTGATGAGGGAGTGCAAGCGTTGCGGGTCGGCGAAGCTGAAATCGAAGACCTTGAAGGACATTTGTGTGCATGCCCCATCAGAAGTGGCTGGACCCCAAGCAAAGCACTTTTGGTACTGCACGTTTCGTGGGTAGGTCTCCTGATTCTCAGTCGTATGGGGGAATTGGAGGCCGCCCAGTGCTGTCTCTTGTGGAATTGCACGGCGGTGGAGAGGACTAGATGGATGGGTGCCACCCATGTGCTGGTCGAGGGACGTGACACGCTTCCCTTGGACAAGGCGGCAAGGTCGTAGGATTGCATTTTCACCGAATTCTTCAGAGGTTGCAGAGACGTTTATCGAGATCTTTTGATTATATGATCTACAGGGTTCATAGTAAATCGCTTCTGGGATATCGTAAATGTAGAGCTCGGATATTGGTTCCTCAAAATCTGTGGTCTGCCAAACAATGGCGGCTCGAATACTCCCATCTTTAACAGTGGTTGGTGCGACCGCGACATTTTTATAGACCGAATTTGGTCGAGGGCGGGACAAAAGCGCTGTGCCCGTGAAGTAGTGATTGCCTCTTTCAGAACCATTTGATAGAGATCTTGACTGCGAATAGCTGGCGTATTGAGACCGCTTTTCGGAGGGGTCGACTTCCATTATAACATGTATATTGCCGGTTTTCGTCTGCTCAGCCAGGAAGCGAGGCTCTGCGTGTTTGCGGAGGCCTTCTGAGAAACAAACATGGCGAAGCTGCACCATATTAGCATCGTAGTGCCAAAGTTCTAACGAAAAGTGGGTGATGCACATACTCCTCCGTTCGGCGGAAAAGGTGTCAAAACATTCCAAGACTGGTCGCCACTCGGGAGGGGCTCAGGAGGTCCATCGACTCCTGGGATTGTGAATCTGTCAGGTGATATGCCAGGTACTTTCTCCAAAGGTTTCAACATTGTCAATGAGAACCGGGAATCAGACTTCGAAAAGGCTTTGCGAGCAGTCAATGAGTAAAGCCCAGCAGTATCGCCGATCTCTATCTTTAGTACCCATTCCGCGTGACGTCTGACTTCGGCTACACCCATGATACGCAGTGCGCCTTGGCCTCCAACATTGTGAATGGAGCCAGCATACCATGGAAGGTCAGCCGAATCGAAGCGGTAGATAACCAATGTGTTTTTCAAGCGATTCCCTGTACTTTGGGCCGAGTCTTGTAGCTGGAAGGCCAGAAATCCATTTTGAGTACCCGTCCTCGTGGCAGCAACAAAAGCGGGCCTCGTCAGTGTCGAAGATGGCGACGGTATTGAGAACTCCAAGTTTCGCGTTCGGAACCGGGTACGCCAGGCGTCTGGGTGCTGGGAAGTCGCAGGTAGGTCGCTGTCACAATCCAGATTCTTCAGAAGATCTCGATGGCTAATTTTACCCCCTGGTGATGCATCCAACGGTGGCGTTTTCTCTTCGACGCCGAGAACTGAGGCTAGTACCCAAGTATTGGACAAAATCCTCGTCCGCCAACCTTTGCAAGTGTGCCTAGCAGCATCGAGCGCTGCCGGTGACAGGTATGATAGTATCAGGTCTGACACCTCCGAAGGCAATTTGAACAGGAGACCATTAGTGCCGCGCGAAAGGGTATCTCCATGACCCTCTGCATGGTAGCAATGGGCATCGCTTGCGCTGTCAGTCTCCGCAGAGTCCCAATTCATCGAAGCGTTGTTCACTCGACATCGGGCATTGTTCCCGAAGCGGTTACCATGACAGGGGCACCCGTCTAGGCAATTGTTATCATTAGCGGGCCGGCCGAGTGTTGGGGCTTCCGTGTTCAATTCACACGTCTCTGAGATGTAATCCTCAACCGAGGCTGGAAAGGAAGGGTGAAAAGCATCAACTAAAGGAGAGAAATCTGAGCCACTCCGTCCTGCACGATCAAATAATCTCGCCCTGCTCTGCGCCACGGGCTTGTGGAATCCCCGAACCGACATCACCGCAAATATATCTGGGGAGGAAAGAAGATAAAGTCACTTAACGAAGTCACTAAATGTTTTGAGAGTTTTCCTTTAGCGACTACGCGATCGGGTATAAGAGCACCTTAGGCTGCAGCCATTGAAGCTGAATAAGCACGAAGGCTACAGCAATGGGCTTCTTCATACGTGTCTTGATGCCAATTCATCACATGATTCGTTTCGTGTTCTCGAAAGCAATTCAATATGACAGAGCTTTGAACTTTCTGGCTCAGCCTTACAGACTGACTGCAGGTGGCTGAATAAGGATTAGGTTGGTAGCCAATAATGAATGGGTGGGGTTAAGATTTAAAGTAAAGTAGAGTAAGATGAATCCAAGGGCATGGCAGGGTCGCAAGCGAAGGCTCAAGAGTCAAAACGAAGACGCAGGGATGCCAAGCTGCCAAGCTGCCAAGCTGCCAAGCTACCAAGCCTGTCATCACCTTAAAAAAAGAAAGTTTGGATCTAAATTGACGGACCATGTTTGAGATACGGAGACCATCATACCGGGTTAGGGTAAATGTAGGGTAGCTGGGAAAAAGGTTGGCAGAATGTGCCATTTACTCGTAGCATTGCGCTGCCAAACCCCCATTTTTAACTTGGATTGATTACAGATTATTGAAGTAAAGTAATGTACTGTAGTGATGAAGCACAATTCATCATCTCTATCAAGACATCGTCGATCACGAACTGTATGCAGTAACAATCAACTGTGATAGCGCTAGGTATGTCCGTAAGTGCATGTCGCTTCGAATCACTATGGATGATTGTGTTGTGTATACGAGCAATGTTGATATGCAGAAACGCTCTCACGTTTTTCCATGTGACTTGTGGGTTATTTCGGCAAAACGTGCTGAATTAAATAAAGCTTCACTCCACTCGTGCTACTCTCCCAGACCGATACGGGCATCGGGAGCCCGCCAGGAAAATAGTCATGTAATGCCGAGAGACTAACAAGCCATCCCGCGCGCTGGGAATTTCCGACGCATTGTGACGACAGGTCACAGATGGATGGCAGTCGTTGGCAGGAGGAATCATTGTTGGGCGAAATGCGATTTGCCAACATGCAACTCGATGAAAGAGGATGGGGACCGAGGGGGAAGGTTGCATCGGCTTGGCAGAGATTTTGGATGTGCGACTGCGGATGTCATCGAGTGGTGTGATGCTCAGTAGTAGCCAATATAAATGAGGAGATTAATGGCTCCGCGGTAGATCAACATCCAACTTTTGATTGAAGACAAGGGTGGAGCAATCTCCATTATTATCACTTTATTCTCCACAAAAACCTTCAACCAGCGTAGATAAAAAGATAAAAGGAGGGCACTAAACAAATTCGGCCTTGGCGTCACGGAATTATGCCCGCTCTTCCCAACATTTAGGCCACTGGCTTCCCAAGTTCCCAAGCGTTAGCTAACCTTCTTATACCTTGTAATACCTTGCAGCTGCTTGCAGAATGCAGAATGCTTGTTAGTTCCCTACCTCTGACTTAATTCTTAGCGCGAACCAGCCCGAGGGCTTGGTTTAGCGCTGTCCAGCAAAAAGTACCGTAGTCGTCTCAATATCCCCACCTACTACTTGTACTCTTTCATTACTACTAAACTTCGAGCATCAGGAGCATCAGGAGCATCAGCATACTAAAACCCATCCTTCTGGATTCCTTCGGAACAAACACGCCTTGAAACCAACGTACCTGATACTCTTCATGATAGAACCTCATTAGTCTTCGCAGATCCATCCTTCGAGTGGGGGAAGTTGTTACTCCTCCATTATAGATGGGATTCACCACCCGTGAAGCCTCCCATTTGACTATCACTATCATTTAGCACTTCAATTGAGCATTGGACCAGCATAGAACCTCACGGTTCAACAGCCCTCGACAAGAATGAATTTCACGGGCCGAGGTGGTTCGGGAGGACCTGAGGACAAGCAGCCCAGAGGCTTGGCCAAGTTCATGAGAAGAGCAAGCCTGGTCTTGAGGAGGGACAAATCTAAAAGGCAGTCCATGTCCAGTCCCTCGGAACTTGCGCCTGTGAGCGACCCGGTCATCCCAGTGGAGTCGAGCTCGACTCCAACAAGAAGGTAAGCAAGTTTCGACACCTGGTCCCAGCCTCGGTTTCAGAACCTGGTCTAACTCAAACACAGCCCTCCTGTCACAGCACCAGCAGTGACCAAGGCCGACACCACGCCGACTCTATCCGTCCCTGCTGGCATCTCCCAAATCATCAAGGAAAACAGACCCATTCCCGCTGCCAGCAAAACAAGAGGCGCCATGACGGCCAAAGAGAACCACACTATCCAAGAAGAGAAAGCTCGCGCTCTTTTCGCCAAGTATGGCTTGACATTAGAGCCTGGAGAGTGGACTGTGCCGGCCACAGTGGGGTTGCCTAGAGTGGAGAAGCAGGTCCGCATGAGGATCCATCGCACCTGCCATCGGTGCCAGACTACATTCGGCGCGGACAGGGTCTGCAGCAATTGTCAGCACACCCGTTGCAAGAAATGCCCTCGCTTCCCGAGCTCCAAGTCCCAGGTACCAAAGGGCAAAGGACTCGCCGCCGACGACGGGCTAGAGAAGAAGACTGGTGCTCTCACCATGGTACACCGCGCAAGTGGGAAAGAGATGACCAGGAGAGCACCGACGCAGCGTGTGCGCAGGACGTGCCATCAATGCGAGACACTCTTCCAGGGCAAGGCTACTCAATGCGAGAATTGCAAGCATTTGCGTTGCCCCACATGCCCACGCGACCCGTACGTCAACACATTCCAAGCATCCGAACTTCATCGCTGACTCCCCCCAGACCCAAATCCGACAAGCACCTCGAGGGTTATCCAGGCGACACCGAAGAGACCTTTCCCTTGGCCAAAAGAGAAATGAGGAGCATACGGACCCACGTGAGATGGAATTGCGAGAAGTGCGAAACGCTGTTCCAGGATACGGAGAAGACTTGCGGTCACTGCGGGCATGAAAAGTGTGATGAGTGCCCCCGTCAGCCTCCAAAGACAGTCAAACGGACACTAGACGACGAGGCTGTGAAGAGTGTGGAAGAGCGGATGAAAACTTTGGATGTGTCTCCCCAGGCATCAGCTGCCTGACACGCGAGCGATAGATGAGATTTTCTTTACGACTACGGTGATATAATTTTTGCTGCTTGCCTACCTCTAATGCTTAACGATACGGATGTGAGCGATTTTGCTTATGATAGCGGCCTATGTTTTCTGTTGTAGCGTTTACCCTGAACGCTTCCATTCTCCACTCCAGCTACAACTCGATCTGACTTCCTTCACCACTGATTGAAAAACATGTCATACCCACATAACTATACGATCGCATCGACAAACCGTCTACCATGAGATTGCTGCCTTCATTTCACGTGATAATTTTACGACCTTCCTTCTCCTCACTTTCTCCATGTCGGTCACCCCGGAATACCTCCAACGGATCTCGCGTCGCTTTGCCAGGACACCCCTGCCCCGCCCTGCGAAACAGCCTCTCAAGTCGGGGACCGTCCCCAAAAAAACCACTTTCACTTTCCCCATCCCCAGTAACTTTGACTTTTGCCACGGCGGGTCGTAAGAGGCTCAAGCCGTGGGGGCGGGAAGCCGTCACCTGTCTGTGGACCCTGGACCCCCCATTCCCAAACTCCACTCGCTTTCTCAAAGTTTCATTGTATGTAGATGACACTCGACGACTGGCCCGCCACCGTTTTTTCATTGGATCCGACCGGGGACGAAGGTTCGAGCTTGCACCGATTGGCTTTTTCCCCCATCTTGGGTTGGAAATCGAGACGATCTGGATCCGTGTCATCATGTAAGTGTAACCCCCCCAGCCACCAAGATTTGACACATCTGGTACCGCCACTGGTGCATCGATCCGGGACCATGGCTCTGGACGGGATACGAATACCCTGACGGCTCGGGGTTGGGAATTTTAGACGCCAAGTACGCTTGGCCTGATCCGGAGGCATCTTCTTACTTTACCTGACTTTACTTACCCGGAAAAAGTGTTGGATATTTGTCATGCTAAACGTCATTTGATGAAAGTCTGGCAGAGGGTCATTTTGATGCCCGGAATTTTAAAGTTTGTAGTAGATCTGTATTGTCGACACGTTGAAACAGATGGCAACGACGCGATACCTGTCAAGACGCCGCTACTGCAGTGTGTGCATGAGACTTTTTTTGATCGGGCTGTCAAGAAGGGGATGGTGGGGGGGGTGAGTGGAGTGGAGAGTGATGATGTAAGGAAGGTAAGGTGCTTACCGCCGGAATAGGGTAGCAATCTGCTAAGCAGTAACCGGTAAGGTAAGGTGAGTATCGATTTCCGAGCCCTAGGGTAAGGATGAGGCGGCTCGGTAGCCGGGCCGATGGAGAACGAACGGCACGCTGGGGACATTTGCTTGAGCATCTTCTCGATCGATACCACGCACTTTGGCCTTGAAGCGAGGCTGGCGAGATGGTGAGGACATCTTCTGGCTAAGTAGGTATACATCTAACTCCGGGCCATCTTTGGGAGGAATCTCGACTCCACCGCGTGGCAGGCATCGCGCCTAGAACCCGAATTCCCCGCTCCCCCTATGTCAAGCCTCGAATCACTCAAGCCACTTCGTCACAAAGGAAAAGGAAGAGAAAAAAAAAAGGGTCGGGCCAAAGGGGACGCCGATGATTAACTCGCGAGACGCGGAATTGTGTAAAACGTCCCCTCCCCCCCTTTCCCCTCCTTCCCATCGGTGATCCCTTTCGCCGGGTCCTTCGGGGATCCACAAGCACGCATCCGTCTCCCGCGCTGTTGGGGAAAGAACACGAAAAAAAATAAAAAATAAAAAATAAAAAAAATGGGGGCGTTCGTCCGGCATGACACACACGGGTGCGCTGGCCACGCAGCTCCCTCGCACGAGGGCGTCCTAGGCCCGATGGGGAAATTCATCGACGATGCACGTCGCGATCACATGTGACAGCTGCAGCTAGGCGGTGGGGGAAAATCTTGGAGGCGGAGTTAGGGCCCTTGGCGGTTCCAAACCTCGCCCCCCTCATGTCACATCGTCGCAGAGGTGGGGCAATCGCCGGGGATGGATGGCGAGTGGAGAGAGAGAGTTCTTTTCTGACGGAGACGAGGCGGTCCGAACGATCGGGTTTGAGATTTCTGCGGATGGAGGGAGCTACGTCGTACCGCGATGCGAATTTGATTCGGAGCCGTCTGGGAGAATCGCGTTGCTGTGTTTGGGAATGCGTCAATCGCACGGCTCGATGATCGGCGCGACTGTCGGATGGAATCGAATAGGGTCCTCGGGGCTTTTTCGAACAGTCATCGTGATCGTGGCAGCGAGCGCTTCTTATCACGTACCTAGTCAACGGGACACTCTTCTGGTAGTCTACGCCCTTTTCTACGTGGCATGGCTCGTAGCGTCTTCCCGAACATCCTTTTTCCACGACCGAGTAATCACCCCCTGCGCCTGATCTCCATACGCAAAATCGAGATCGGAACCCCGCTGTCAAAATCCCCTACTTTGGAAAGATAGTCCACCTAGGCGCTCGATATCGATCCCGCACCTCGTATCGAGTGCGGAAGAATCAACAAACGAGCGGAATGAAGCCGAAGCCAGCTTTCGTCTCTCCCTTGTTCTCAGGCAGACGTAGACTAGCTACTGCACCTCAGCCTCCTCGTTCCCCGCCCGTCTCGGAGACCCATGGTTACCCCCCATCCGAGACCCCTAGCCCGGGCTCCTTCGACGCTAGCGCGAGGGTGGAAAATCCAGTGAGGTGTGCAGAATTAGGCACTATACAAAAAACCAACGCAAAGTGTACGGAGGTCGGTGATTGAACCGTCCTGGAGGCCAAGATTCCACTGCCTATCTCCGACATTGGGAAATTGATTCTCGAATGTTAATAGGTAATGAATGACAGCTCTATCAGAGCTGAAAGGTAGTTGACAGGTGTGTGTGTGTGCGATCTTCCTCAGCGCCAAGGATCCCAACGGTTTGGGCACACGCTAACTGTGTTTAGCGCCGTCTGGGGCTTTTACGGTGCTGCCCTCCGTGACGGAGGCACTTATGAATGCAGGATCCGGCGTTGGAGGACGCTACTTATGGGAAGTGGATGCGATACGATGGCTATATCTCGCTGGAAAAGCCTATTCTATGCTCACCCAGTCGACTTTGGATTCCCTGAAAGCACCAACTTTCCGCACCGATTACGTAGTTTGGCAGTACTGTTAGCCTACCATGAGGGGCTCGACGTCTCTCGCCGTTGTGAAGGAGCAACGTACCAGGCCGTCTTCCGAAATGACTGCTCCCCATTGGACGGGTAGCAAGTGGGCCTCGGTATCGCCCGGAGGACGATGAGAAGCGACGCTAATCACACCACTGTGGGTAGACGTTATCGGTACTGCTTGTTTCCCGCCGGGATACCGTCTCAAAAGGCCTAGGGCGACAAGAGCGATGGTCACAGTCACGGCGAGAGAGAGGGCCATGATGATGCCTATAGGCGAGAAGCCCACACGGGAACTGTCCTCGGCCGGGTTTCGGCTCCCATCGTTGTTGTACATGGTTGTGCGGACCAGGAATATACTCTGCGGCCGCTCATTTGCAGCTTACAAGAGATGCAACAAGGCAGAGCTGCAACCAAGGCAGCACCATACGAACGCATTCTTTCGAGCTATATGTCGAAGGTTTTTAACACTGGGCACCCCGATATCTAGCGAGACTTTCATCTCGTGGGCTGAATCGACCTCATCGCGAGTAGGTCCCACGAGGAGCTGCATGCAGTAGTCACTACTACCGAGCAGCAGGGTTGAGAGGATGTTGATGAGTAGATGGAGCCAAAGATTGAGTCTCTTCGCCTTGGAGCAGTCCCCAAGGTACATGGCACCGATGCCAGTAACGGTACCATAGCTTGAGACCAGCCAGGCGGTCCAAGACGCGTTCGCTGCGAGAACGAAGAAAGCGATTGTTTGCTGGACGGCCAACGCTCGGGATCTGTCGGACCATTTCGTTCGAAAGGTTTGGGCTCGGCGATGATCTGGGTCGATTTCGGGAATCCATGGGCTGAATCGCTTGATCTTGGCAAATCTGGGTAATACTGAGGGAAGCTCATTGCTGCAGGATTGACCATTGGCGCGTGTGCATCACGGTTTGAAATGACAGAGAACTCACGAGTGAATGCCGAGTGTCGAGGCGAGAGTAATGATCGATGAAGGCACGGGCTCCAATGGTTGGAGCTCGTATTCGTGTAAGAGTGATGCTTCTTCAGATGTGGTAGAGTGAAATAATCTCGCTGCCATAATAATCACTAGGCTAGCTTAATAGAAGTTGGCTTTGTCTAAAAGCATGGGCTGCAGACGGACTGAACTTTATAGAAGACACTAGGTACCTAAGGTACCCTAAGGTATGCAGCCATCTCGTATGATTCAAAAATTACGGTACGAATCAATAATACCTTGAAGTAGACTCCAGTCATGTGCTCTTGACGCCCATTTTCAGCCTTCTCACTTCTGACGTTAAAGTACACAGCTGAGATGTAGATACAACCTAGCGAACGGTATCAGTCGGTAGTTTTCTGTACGGCTGCCTAGGGTGCATGGACTTCTACCAATGCTCTACCATGAGACTACTGGTATACGGGCCAAATCTGACTATCTGGACTGTTTACACGTTGAAAGTCAATTACATTGAGAAGGCTTCCCCACCTGAGTAGATAAATAAGCACGCATTATCTTCACCACATCTCAAGAAGAAACCCCCTTCTTCGGTATAGGCGATTTTGATTGACAAGGCTGTACATACTGTAGTTCTGGTCATGACTGCCGCACGGGAACACGGAGTCCCATCCTGCCGTGGTCGAAAGGGACGGAAAGAGGATTCGCGCTTCTCACGACGAATAACTGGTCTCCAAACGCATCCACACTGGTCTCATGGCCCGACAGTCCCCAATAAAGTATCTTGTCAGACAAGCCAGATTTTCCTTTCTCTTCCACATGCCCTTATCATGATCAAAACAAAAACGAAAACGAGGCTGAAGGAACGTTCGATATGGTCAGGCTACCGTGGTCCCTTTCAGCCTGATGGAGTGCATTCGCTTGCCGAAAGCCAGGCAATTTCATCGCATCGGTAGATCATTGACGGTGACCACTACTTAACCGAATACTTGATACAATGTCTTCCTACGAGGCTGGCAAGCTGAAGCTTAAGCCTTTCGCAAACGATCAATCTGGCATGTTGCCATCTCCACCACAGGTGAAGCTAATGCGGACTGCATATTCATCATCCCACTGATTACATGCACCCCTTCGCCTCAGCCCTCCTGAGGAATGTCCTGCCCCGCGAGGGTTAGCGAATCAGCTTCCATCGCAGAACCCCCTCTGATAACACATTTGCGGCGGGGCACCAAGAATCAGCCAAACATGGCACAAAGTCTCCAATACTGAACGGTATCTCGTGTCGGGGACATAGCGCCATTGATGACACGTCATGTGGCAAGCCACCAAGAGGCAGGCATCCTCTGATCGATTCCCAATGCAGAGCGAGGCCATGTTTCAAGGCGATTTACCCGCAAACCTCAGCCTCTTTGAGGTTGGTCGGACACCTAATTCGTATGCTCCAGAATATGTAAGTCCAAACCCCCGGCTGGTCTTGGTCAAAAGCCCACCGACAATGCAGCTTCCGGGCAGTCTAACGTATTTTTTGCGCAATCTTGGACTTGAGATTCTTGCTTTCGACTCGAAATCAGAGCCAACGAAAGTGGTAGTCAAAAAATCTCTCTGGGTGGCATTCAGCCGCTGTCTAATCCACATCTTGCCTGTTACAGTGTCTTTGGTCCTGCTCCGACTCAACCTTGGGGGCTTCTACATCGGACATGGGTTCGCACAACAATCCAGCAGCGACCTAACGGACCAAGGAAATGACGTGAAACTTGCGTTGATACAGGTTGCAGCAAAGGTTCAGGTAAACACGCGTTGCAGGACCAGGAGAAGAAGAAAAGGGCTGATGGAGATAGGAGCTTCTCGTAATCTCAAGCTATGGTGTCATTATTTTCTCAGTCACCAGAGATAGATTGTTGCGTGAAGGCATCCCTTTAGGGCTTGCGACATCGGGATTTTCTTTCGCTCGTGTAGGCTACTTCTGGTCACCAGCGCTGTGGGGCGCTATCTCGGCCCTCGTCACTTCCCGCAGGATTCAAGACGTATGCCTTCTAAGCCTGGTTACTTTGGGAGGCCTCATAGCGGTAGCAGCAGGGCCTGCAAGCGCCATCCTAATGTTGCCTCGACCGACGGTATGGACCTTATCTCCAAGGTGTATTCCCATGTGGTTACTAGCTAATCCCGATTTGTTTGCTTTGCAGAATTGGCCCGAGTTTATTACAGATTTCTGGCTCAACGGAACAGCAGACGTTTACTGGCCCTCTGTCTTAACCTCTGACCATCTCGGTGGGCCTCGATGTTCAAGTGCCAAAGGCCTGGACACAATAGAATGTGTCGCAAAAGGCGTATCGAGTCTCGAGAGCTTCTATAACTATGACCGCACCCAGAGCAGTTATGAGATTTCCACACGAGAGTCACAATTTCCGAGGACCTTACAAGCAGTCCCAAGGCAAGCCGGTCTTAGTGCGGAGGCATGGTCTGTTGCTCCTCACGCAGTCACCTCTTTGCTCAAGAACGACCTTTGGTATGATCCGCATTGGTATCCTACCAATCTTCGCCCCAGGGGAGTCCGCTATGCGGAAACATACTCCCAGGCGGCAGCGGTGCGTACCGTCTGCACCCGCGAGGTTTTGACCTTTTCAAATGCAACTTTCAAGGTGTCTTTACCCAATCCTCCGGCATACGACCTCTGGGCTAAAGGAAACGACCGATCAGGAAAACACACAGACATCAAGCTGTCCAGACCACTTTGGGGACACCATAAGGGTGCTCATACCGAACAGATAGGACTCACAACGGTGTGGATCCCGGCCAATCCTGATATGGAATCCGTCACCACAGGCCTTGTAATTCTGGGCCCCCTTACCTCGACATCGGCCACCCACCGTTTCGGGATAGTGTGCTCTATCGACGGCCGATGGAACAAAGCGAAGCACGTGTTGACAGGAAGTGGAAACGCCGTTACAGCTTGGGGAAACATGGCTTATGACAACACCGGTAGCGATATCAGCGTCGTACAGAGTGGCCAGCGCAACAATGAGGCTATCCTGACCAAGGCTCTGCCAATCAATGACGGGAGCTGGAGACATATCACGGCTGAACAAGGATGGCTGGACGGCTTGACGCCTCTTATACCCCAATGGATGGATGAGGCCAAGACTGCACTGAGCAAATCCACCATGACTACAGCTCTCGCTAACCTATTCATCGCAGGTGATGTTAGGTTGAAAACAGACAATCTTACGGAAGGTGAGGGAAGAAATTGGATACTAAATATTGAGACGATCACATCAACTGCGATGGCAGATGCCATATCCCGCGTTGGCCTCGGGCAGCAGTATAACACTATTAAATATTACACCAGTTTTGGGACACAGTGCACAAGCATCCGAGGTGCCACGCCTCGGAAATGGTGCCCAGGCCCTCCACCCTACACTCAGTCTAGCCCGTTAAAGTTCCATGGCTATTTGACCGGTGAGTGTGTGAAAAGGACCAAGAGGCATCGCTAACAAATCTTCATATGACAGGCTACGCTTACAAAGCCTCGAGAGTTACAGATTATCTCTCCATCGTCGTCCTACTGCTTCACATGGTGGTCGCCTTGATCCATACGCTATACCTTCTCTTTACGCAGCTCAGCTCCGCCTCCTGGGATACGATGGAAGAATTCATCGTGCTTGCGCAGGTTTCTAGGACTGATACGAAAGACTTGAGAAATACCAGCGCGGGCATCAAGCGATTTTCAACAATGGCGCGGAATACCCGCGTGAAGACGTCTGGGCCTGGAGCTGGTGGAGGTGAAGAGAAGGTGGAGTTGCTAATTGGTGGAGAGGAACGGGAGAAGATGGGAAAAGTGGAGGAGGGGGAGGAGTATGGGAATGAGGACTGAATGCAGGGAGATTGACAATCTGCAATTCCATAACGCGTAATCCCATCGCCTAAGTTTAATCTACCCGAATCCTAATATAACAGTTCTAATTTCCTCCTCACCTTCGCCGCAATCTGGAGGAGAAGGAGATTGTTCTTCCCCAGAAATGCCAAGTGCCCGTCGCACCAGCTAGTGGCAGAGTCAGTCTTAATCGACATGCACGCCCGCCCGCGACAGGTAGTGTCCCGTACAGTATTCATACTCGGCCTCACTCGTCACAACCAGCTGTGCTACCTCAGCTCAGTCGACCAATCTCCTAGGCCGATGATGCCTGCGAATTGTAATCACTCCGGTCTCCTCTCCCCCCCAGCCCCGCCGTCCCAGCGGCGCTAGCAGCGATACAAAACTATTTGAGGTTAGTAATCTGAGCTGCGGAAAGCGGCGACGATATGATCGGGTTGGATATCCACACATAGTCCCTTTACGCGCACACTAGTCACTCTGCTTTTAATCCTTCTTCTTCTTCTACTACTACCAAGATATCCATCTCTCGTGCCCAAGCAGCGGGCGAATGAGCCAAGGCGTTGTCTCCTCAAGTCGGATCTGAGGCTCTCGTGTGAGCGTGTCGTCTTCACTTACCTAGATTGAGCTACTTGTTTGACACTTGTGCGCGTCAGGTCTTTCATGTCATGCTGGATGGGTCGCAGGGATTACGCCTGTGAGCGTACGTGACTTTGTGGGACGGTCGGTGGGCTGTTGGTAAGGGGCGGTTTGGTTGGTTGGTAAGGGTGATATTTGGGGTATGAGGGGTGGTAGTAGCATGGGAGGTGGGGAAGAAAGAGGAAAGGGTTGAGGAAGGAAGTGGTAGTGGTAGTAGTAGTAGTTGACTTCTACATTTAATACGAAGAAGACATGTTATCCATAGCTGGCCTATGCTATTCGTGGGAAGATTTGTGGTATTGATGGGAAGTTGCCCATGAGATGGGCGCCATTAGTACTATGAATAAGTATATTCCCAATGGGAGGTTATACTATTTATGGGTGAGATGTTTTATCCATAGGTAAATTCAACCCACCAATAACATGCAACGTCGATATAGCTCGTAATGAACACCAATCTCCTACAGTGGACAGAGTATCGACAGGATACCTGGAACAGGGGCTGTATCATGTGACCCACCAACAACCAGTTTCACTGTGGCTACTTACTTCCTTCAACTTTTTTCATCAAACTCATCATACCGGATTCGCTGCCGATCCGCCTTCTTGGCTTCGTCTCCGCGATGCAATTCTTTGAGATAGTCCTTAAACTCCCAAGACATGCGCACGATCTGCTGGATATGCGTCTTGCGCAGGGTAATCTTTCCATCCTCATCTGCGCCGTCGAAATCGGCTAGGGCAAATGCTGTTTGGAGCGCTGGGTGTCAGACCTGCAATCAGCCCTCCGCACCCCCGAGTGTGTATCAAAATGTGTGTAAAGTAAAAGCCACTCACCATTTCGAATTTCCCTCCCGTTCCACTTCAAGCCCGTCACTTCAAGTTCAGTCGTATAGAGTATCGTCTCTGCTGGAATATTCATGACATTCTTACGATCCCTCGCCAATTTGTCGAAAAATATCTTCCAGACTTTGAGTCGATCCTTTTGGATGAACTCGCGGTAATAGAGGGGAATATGGGAGACGAAAGCGTCGTCGAAGGAGCCAATGCGGTTAGTTGTTAGAAAGAGCATGCTTTGACAATTTTCAATTGCACGGAGGAAGCCTGTGAAACCTTTGTAAGCATTGTGATGGTGTTTGGGGTTAATATCTGTAGAGATGAAGGTGGTAAGAATCATAGGGATACCTGATACGAGGCTATTTCGAGTCAAGTCTTGATTCACGCGCCGTTCCATGTCGATGTCGGCTTCATCAATGAGGAGGATGGCGTTACACTGCTTCGCGCGCGTGAAATAGCGGTTGAGGCTTCTCTCCGCGTCCGAAGGCATATTGCCGATATCACTTGTAGCCAGGGCGAGGAGCGGACGCTTGGTGTATGCGGCGATGCCATTCTGGTTCTATCAGTACACTTCAGGGGGAGGTTGGGGTATGTCTGCAGGCAATACCTGCTGTGTAGGTTTTTCCGACGCCGGGCGTGCCGTGCAGCAGAAAGACCTTGCCTTCTCCTTTCCCAGCTACGAAGTCGGCTGTCCAGGGTTTGTGGGCCGGTTGACTGCTCGGGTCGGTTTCATTTTGGTAGTTTTTCGCCAATGCTTTGATCAATCGCCTTCGTTCGTCTTCCATGACTAGTGTATCCATCATCCCGGTATTGAATACGGGATCTGAAAAGCAGTATACATCTAGGCGTTATGCAAGCGAACGCCTTTGCTAGCATTGCTCCTCTTATAAGTTGCCCCAGTATAAAGGTAAGTCGTCAACCGGCCCACTGGGAAACTCTTACCCCAAGCTCGAGTTCTGAAAACATAAGCGTAAACATCTGGAGGACAGAGGAAGTATGGGTGGTCCGTAAGGGATTTCGTTGTTTCCGGGTAAGGGTCATTGTAAGTCGAAAAGCTGGAGGTTTTCGGGCGAATACCGCGTTGTTTAGACTTAAAGCACACATGAGAGGCATTCCGATACGCCGGATTTTGGAGTATCACCAAGCTCATCCAGGACAGGCCTGATTTCTTAGCATCTTCTGCACAGTAGACTTGGCTATCCACCATCGTCAGTCCTTTGATCTGACGTCTGTATAAGCCAGATACTCGGGGAAGACATGATCCCATTTCAAGAGATGCTCACGTATTTCTTAGGCCATGAATAGGTAGTCAGGGAAACTACAAAATCATACCCCAAAATATGAGATTCTTACAAAATCATACCCCTCACCAAAAAAATTGGGTATGAATTTGTAAGTTGCCAATCCTTGGGGTATGAATTTGGAAATTATCATTTCTTAGAATATAAAAATATAAGAGATTATTAACTTATAGATATATTTAACTCTATATCTATAAATTATTAGAGATATAGTTATAGTATATATAAGAGCCTTATTATATAATAAGGTAGAGTGTAGATAGACTATAAGACTAATATTTGATATTAACGTTATCTACGAGAAACAGATAGCAATTTCAGATTACTATAGTAACTTACAAAATCATACCCCTATTAATAATATCTTACAAATTCATACCTCATAGGGGTATGAATTTATAAGAATCCCATAGTAGAAAATAGAAAACACCATTGTATCAGCGCCAATAGGAATCGAATCTATTACGTATTAGATTCTTCTAATCTATAGTTTGGGGTATGACCATGTAATTTGCCCTGGTGTTAACATATAAAAAAATTGTAGATTGGAGCAGATGGTGAGTGGCCGTTGGATGATCTTGTAGAGAAATTTCCGAGCCGCTTTCAATCACAACAGGGCGAGAATGACAGCTGTAGAGTATTATACACCTGATTCTTGCTCTAGCAGTATTGTTATTTTCACATCTGGCGGACGCTGAAGTGGCGGGAACCGTGTCTAGGAATAAACATGTAACGATCAAGCATGGAGAAGCAACTGTCGAGTCCCGCAGAACTGTTCATGCCAAAGGAAAGCCGCACGCTAAAAACCACTAATCTCATTCAAGGTTTTGATACCCCGAGACTGTGGAACTGCGAAAAGCCGCTAATGCATGGGGGATGTGCTTGGTAATCAATGCTGCGCGCGAAAATGGGTGAGTGGCTTACGCTTAGTAATGGAACGAGCGCTACCACTAAGCTGCGTAGTCAGCAAGCTAACCCGAAGGGACTTAGTGAGAGCTAGGCAGGTCTGAGGGACTGAGGCAATGCCCTGCTGCGCTGGTCTTGTCCGCTTCTCCAAATACTCCCTATTCTATACCGACTGCCACCCGAATCGCGCGAGAGACGAGGCTACGAACATGGGTGAAGAAATTATGTCGATCGAATGCAGGCATAGCCCCAACCTGGCTGCCGGCTCTTCAGACAGTCGCGAAGCTAGTTCTTGCTGACGTTCAGCCTCTACGAATCGATTGGCTCTGCTTCCTTGAGGCTGAGACAATGCACTGATCCTCCTGAACGGATGTATTGCCCCGCGAAGTGAGGGGTCATGGCAGCCTGGAGCCTGGATATAAGATGCACAGCAGCGCCCAATGCAATCTTCCTTACCATCATCACGCCCCGGCACGATGAGCGAACGCCAGTCCTACGAATCGAGGATGGCTGACTTGAAGCTCAAGCGTTTTGCTTCCCGTTGGCAATCAACTCATGGGCAAGCCGCGAATCGTGACATTGACGAGCCTCACAGCACAGACGACGACCCCACAAGCCCAGGCAAAACGGAAGATGCACAGCGTTCAGTACCGAGTGTCTTCAAAGGTCTCAAAGTTGGCCAAGCAGGGATGATCTGGGGATCTGATGGTACACTGCTCGGCAAAGTTCAGGACGACAGCCTGACGGACCCAGAAGAGCTGGAAGGATTCCCCCTCAACGAGAAAGGTGAGGTACTCGATGAAGACGGACACAAGATTGGGCGGGCATTTGTCCATGAAACATTCGGGGGTACCAGGCTCAGAATTGCGCGTCAGCATTCATTCTACAAAATGAAACCAGACGAGGATGGGCGGTACCACTGTCCGTACGCGGCTCTGGGGGTATGTTGGTACAGACCACAGAAGTTGAAGTCCAATTTCGAGTCAGTCATGTCTGAAGATCTCTCTACCCACTAAAGTTGACCGCCGCTCTAGTAAACACCTAGACTCGCACTTGAAGCCATACCGCTGCGACGTCGGCGAATGTGTCGGCACACAATTCTCGTCCGCTGGTTGCTTGCTGCGTCACGAGAGAGAAGTCCACAAAATGCATGGTCACGGACCGAAGGCCTTCCTCGTCCATGGAGACGCCGCCATCCACAGAATGCACGACCCCTCTAAGAATCATCATGGGTGCTCCTTCCAGGGCTGTGACCATTTTCTACGCAATGATTTTGGAGACGAGGATGTTTTCGAACATGTGGAGGGAGCCCATGTGCTGGCGCCTCCAGCTACTGCGTACGGCAGGACACCTTGCCCGGAATCGACTGACAACGTTGGGAGGAAAGGGTTCGATTTCTTTGACACACACCTCAGGCCCAAGCACATCGTTACATCGGGACTTCGGCATCCTCCCAAGCTTGATACCATTCCCACAACCATTAGTCCCGAACAACCAAACTGGAACAACGAGAGAACTATGGTCGATGTAGACTTTTTACACAAGCTGGAGTCAAAGATCAGCGATCTACAGTCCCGTGTCGAAGAGTGTGAGGGCGCTCCTGGCTCTCCTACCAACTCTTCGATTTCTGATAGCGGAGACTCTGTAGACTCGGTCTCTGATGTTAGCCACAAGGGCGGTCGAGCAGCCAGGTATCCACAAGACTTTGATGATGAAACCATAAGCTACGAGCCGGAAGTGGAGAAAGGGAAGCGAGACGCAAAAGCCCTTGAGGGACCAAGCCTTGAGGTCGCGCGATTCAATCACCTTGGCGAGAATCAAAGATTTCAGGCAGAGCGTGATGGAATGTCTACACCCGTTCTCGAATTCCCGCCTGACAGGCCGCTTTTGACCGCCGTATCTGAGTATGATCGCAGCCAGTTCTGGCGAAGGCGAATCGAAATTGCGTCCCCCGCCTTCTTCGACCTCCTCAAGGAAGTGTCTCGGCATAACATTAGCGACCTTGCCCTCCACGAGGGTGTTTTATACCTTATGGAGCCCCTCATGGTTCTGTTCCTCAACCGCAAGCAGCTCACGGATTATGTGGAGAATACCAAGGAGTCCACACAGGTCAAGGAACACACAAAATTCATCTTGAACTTCCTGAAGAGCGATTTCAGCGACATTAGTAGAGTGCTTGACAACTTTGAGTCGGTGACGCCTCCGAACCTTGTCAAATACAGTGACTTGTGGATGCTTTATAGACCTGGCACGATGGTGTACAGTCGTGGCAATGGCGAATGGGAAGCTTTCGTCGTTGACTCTCTCGATGGTATGCAGATACGAAAACCGTCGCCAGACAACGGTCACGCCCTTACCAGGCTCGATATCAGAGCATGGTCCATGAACTTCGACGGTGAGGTATATGGCCGCGTTTGGTCCATTCATTGCGTTGCTCCATTCCATGGTGTTCAGGACATCAGCTCTCTGTCCCTAGTCCCGGAGAAATATCTTTTGGACCGAAACGCCATCAGAGAATCGCTACTATCTCGCGGAAGAAAGTTCTGTGCTTTTCAGGTACAGCACTGTCAAGAGAGCGAGATCTCTCCTTCACAGTCTACTCGTATCATGGTGGATCATCTAACTTATCAGAAGCGCAACGGGTGGCTCATCTCCGTCAATGGAAAGTACGGACCCTCCAGTGCCAAGGACAGGAGCTGGAAAGAAAACAGATACAGCGATTGGGATACAAGTGGCGACGCTTTTGACCGGCGATCAAGACGTTATACACCCCAGCGCTCCCTCGTGCGCCACTTTGAGGATGAATACTGCAGCAGAGACTACGAGATCGAAAGCATCGACAAACCTGAGGACCCTCAAGCTGAACCTTGCCGAATTTATTCATCAGATCGTCCTTCGCATGTCGTCGTCCGCGAGTTCGAGAAATACGATCTGATCCGGCCAGATGCCGAGATGGACGAGCTCACATTGATGCTTTGTCCGCAACATGTGCGTGGCTTCTCCTTTCGGGACAAAGTGTGGAGTAAGTCTATACAGTGCGCTATTTCCTGCGAAATCTAATTTGAGTCTAGAATTCCTCAACGTATCACAACTCAAGCCGGTGTCTTTCCAAGAAAACGCCTGGGACCGTCTAGTCCTCGACGAAGAATACAAAGACATCCTAGAAACCATGGTCTCATCTCATGATGGGAAGCTCGCTGGATTGAGAGGTTCAGCAGGTGGAAAAGGACTTAGCATACTGCTACACGGCGAGCCAGGTGTGGGCAAAACGCTGACTGCTGGTACGTATTCGAGAACTCGTCCTAGCGCCGTTCATTGCTGATGGAAATCGCAAGAATCTATCGCGGAACATTTTCGCAAACCTCTATTCCCTGTCACTTGCAGCGATATTGGAACTTCCCTGCCGGTATTTGATGAGAAACTAGAAGAAATCTCCGATTATGCCACAAAATGGGGTGCCATCTTGCTGTTCGATGAAGCAGACGTCCTCTTACAAGCTCGACGTGATTATGAATGTGCCAATCTCAAACGCAACAATCTTGTATCGAGCTTCGTACGATTCATCGAATACTATCAAGGTATCGTATTCATCACCACCAATCGCGTCAGCAGATTCGACGAAGGGCTCATGCCGCGCATCGACATTACCCTCTGCCTACCTCGTCTGGACCGTGCCCGTAGAATCGGGATCTGGCTCAATCAAATTCAGGACTTGTCCGATGAAGGCACCATCAACGCATCACAGTCTGCTGATTTGCGCACGCTTGCTCGACAGAAGTGGAGCAAGGATGACATCAACGGGCACCAGATCAAAAAGACGGTCCAAACTGCAAGGGTTTTGGCGGAGAGGAAGGGTAGGATGTTGGGAGCTAGGGAAGTTGAAACAATGCTAAAGATCGGGAGGGAATTTGGAGAGCGCGCTGGCCACTTGGAGAAGGAGAGAGAGAGAGAGAGAAAGAAAGATAAGGAGGATCTGGAGGGATTCGAGCAGGTGGAGAAACCTTGATATGAAGGGGAGGGGGTAAGCTTTCCTTACGTTATGGTAGTAGGATACTTGATGACATTTACGGCCATGTTCCCAATCAACGATCTTTTTTTCTGTCATCCGTGACTCTACCATTCCCTCACAGACTTCTATCGCACATGGATTTTCTGTATTCTCTTTCTCAAGCTACACGCCGGTTCTCAAACCAACGACCCCTTCCCCAAAAAAAAAGACGTCAGAATATTCACACGCGTCCTTGCTCTCTTCCGGACCCAATCCTCCTTTCCACATTCTGCCCGGAATCGCCATCGTATTTGCACCAGCGAAAAACCTAAAACAAAAGTCGCATGATTTCAACACCCCCACAACCAGACCCCGATTCAGCAAACCTACGTCCCGTCCTCCTCCTCTTCCCTCCCATCCTCCCACGGCCGCCGCGGCACGTCGAACTGATTCGCATCTGCCCTCCTACCGACCGGCGGACTCCCGGCGCGGCCACCCGGGTTGGCCCATCGGCGCCAGTCGTCCCGCCGCGCCGCAAAGCGGGATTCTTTCGTCTTTTGACCTATGTGGATGGCCCTGGGGCATTGGATCAGCGGAGGGTTTTTCTCTCTCTCTCTCTCTCTCTCTCTCTCTCGCTCTCAAGCGCGTGAATAGGATGGATGGATATGGGAAGGGCTCTCTAAAGCGTGTGAATAGGATGGATGGGGGAAGGGGAGAAGTTCACTTTTGGAATTTTTCGAAAAAGTCGGGGACTGAAGGTCGCCGTTTTGAGGTGTGCGGTGGTGGTGACTTGGTGGTTGATGAGGATGACGATGGTGAAGTCGAGGTGTCGGATGAGGGGGATGAGGTCGACGACATGATGATAACGATGATGGAGCTTTTGGTGGGTCTGAGATGTTGGGAGGATTGCAGGAGGCGGGCGGTGCAGAGAAGAGACTGGAGAAAATCTGCCGGAGGGTGCACAGGCGTCCGAGGCGTGGCTTTCTCTCTCCATCAGATGCCGAGGTGGACCCGACGTTACAAGATTGACAAGTCACAATGGCCAGCGCATTGGACAAACAAAGGTGCGTGCGTACGTGCCGCGGAACTGATTCACTCACCCGAGACGAGGAGTGGCCTGGTCAAACTGCCCAACTCCGTATGAGTTGAACGCAACCCGAGTATCACAGGGCTCCAGGGGAAGGTTTCAAAATCGGCTGCCCGGGTGGCAAAAAAACGGTCCTGTTCGTCAACGACCGATTCGCGGCTCTGGAAGCAGAGAATGTCTCGTCCAATCGGGAGTCTGCAAACCCTGCCCCATGGCTCTTTCGTGGTCGATTCTTCTGTGGTCTCGGGGAACATCTGACGTCTCTGCGATTGTGTGAAGCACGATATCCCGATATGGGAGGAAGATTGGTGGTTTCAGTAGGCGGGTAGGAGTATGCTTTGATGCGTGGATTGAACGGGAGACGGTTCGTTGTTTTCGGATTGGTATAGAAGCTGCATGTGAGGAATAGAGGGATATCAGTGTTCAGTGCACATTGCGCTTTGAGTTGGAGTCTCGTCGTAGGACTTTCCTAGCTTCGATCTGGCTTTAAGATCTCATCGACAATGACAACTGAATGCTGAAGCGCCAGCGTGCAAATCTTGTTGCTCGGGTTGAGCAGCTAGGAGTCGGTCGGTAAACGGCTCGGGCCTCAAAAAGTATGTGCGAGAGAGGTCGGGTGTATGGAGTGAGGAGCGACGTACCTGTTCGTTCCGTGAAAAGTGTCAGATACGCTCGTCGTTGAGTCCAATCTTATTTGATGCACCATTTCTGCTACGTCGTTAGCATCTTCATTGAGAGCATCGGTCTGGAAGTGCAAAACGACAGATTGCTGAGCTTTGTGGTAACGATGCCCTCATACCTGGTATATGATACTCCCTTTTTTGACATCTGCACGCTTTCCAAAACCGACGCGAAAACCGGCGGACGATCTAGCACTCTCGAAGGCAGGGCATCCGTCTGCACCGATTCAATCTTCTATCTCATCTATCCCTCGTTGTTGACAAGTTGCCCATGCTAGAGCTTCAAAGAACGAAATCTTGCAGTGTACAGCTGCGGCTTAGTTTTGACGGTAAAAGTCATTTCTTTGTCGTCTGGCAGAAGCTCGATCTGGGAAGCATCCAGAAGAAGATCTGCGAATATGACTTCGAGTCCATCCTGACGAAGGTTAGCTTTCAGGACGCCAGTCGAATCCAAACCACCATCGACCGCTCTGCCCATATCCAGAAACGAGGTTGGAGCCTACCTGTACCCATCATTTCGGAAGTCCGTAGTAACCAAGACATGAATATCTGCTGGGAACATTGTTCCTGACTAAATGGTAGAGAGCCTCCTACTATCTTCGTGCGTAGCCTGCGGAGCGGTCGAAGAGACACCTAGGCCATTCAGATTGGGCAAGCGGACAGCTTCGTCTTTTGGTCTGCCTCTCAGATGAATTTGAGTGACATTGCACGCGAAAATGTGGAGTGTCGAGTCTAAGACAATGACCCTGATCGCGTCATCATCGTATGTTCTTGCCATTTGCTGGATCGCAAGTTGACGAGAAACGGTCTCGAGCGGTACGCGCATGGTGTCTATCCAGAAGGGGATGATCCTCTCATGGCTCGGTTTAACGGGTTGGTTGGTCTTGCAAACGTCGCAGTCGACACTGCGGTGAAGAACTAGTGCTGCTAGTTTTGCCAGTGTTGACAATTTCTTAATAATTAAGGTTATATACTATTTAGGTAGCTTTTATCCCATCGAGCAGTATGGCCTAGTGGTTTACACTGGAATACCCAAGTTAACTTGATGAGGCCTTACTCGTCAACCGTTGGCCCAGTACAGTATTGCCACTAACGTCGGCTCGAGGGTTTGCATCCAGATGAATATGCCAGCCTTTAATAAGGCTGAGCTCCTGTAGTCTGGGTGATTTTCCTTTTGCTCCTCGGTTCGACGACAGCTGTGGTTGAATTTTTTTTCTTTTTGTTTTTTTGTTTTTTTGTTTTTTTGTCCTTGTGAATTCTTCCAATACTATCAATGCCACCCACACGCCCTCACATGGGAAAAAGCAACGTACGGGACGAAAGATATGCGAAAACGAAGAGGGCAAGGAGAGCTCATCTATAGATTTGTCTCTGATGAGGTGACGAGCCACCCGGTGCACAGCCCTTCAGCGCTCTCGCAGAACTTTTCGCCAACATTTCTTTCGACGGAAATCAATGGGATGCCACCTACTCGAAGGATCGCCGTCGCCGAACTTGAATTTTTTTCCAGTCTAGACTATTGGCAGCCCCAACGAAAGTTCAGAGTTTTGTTCACATAGCCTCGGCGATCAAATTGGTCTGAATTACAATGCGGCTCAGAGCACTGGAAGTGGTCTTTGTCTTCTTCGTGCCGGTCCTGAAAGCTTAGGTTCAACAGGTACAATGCTCTTTGACTCCAACTCGAAAGTCGAGTCCAGCAGAGCAATGCGTCCAGGATACCACACAGATTCCTTGAGTAACCTGCAAAGTAACCCGCTTACCTCCCAGTCGAAGTCTCCACCAGCACTATACACACCATACATGCTAGCCCAAATGCAAGGTCCTTAGCTTTACACAAGGCTTCACCAAGAATAGTTGCCAAAAGTATTACGAGCTCGCCTGGATGATAGCGCTTCGAGCTTTCTGCAATTGTCTTTTCGTACTAGGTCTTCTCCCCTAGATGATGGTACTTTACCCCGGCTATGATCTCGAGATCTCTTCAACCTGTGCCTGGGGACGCCAGATCGCTCTCACAGGCTACCCGATCCCAGATACGGTCACTCAGTGTTAATGTACTCTACAAAGCACTGTCCACGCTCTTTGCCACAATGTCTCGCTCAGTGATACGAATGCCAGATACTGCAACCACACCGGACAACATCCCGAAGAAAAGCCAAGCTTGAAGGAACGGGGCGACGGTAGCGAAGTCTTTGCCATCAAGTCCGAATCACCGACATGCTCAATGTCAAATACGCGCCATTGAGGGCATCCAATGAACACTGCCCCGTCATATGTATTATCAGCATTGCAAATACAGAGAACTTGGAGTGGTGGCCTGGTGGGAGACTGCACACAGGGTAGGCGATCCATAGCCAATGACCGCCACCATCCGAAAATAAATGCGTCGCTAGTCCATCGTCCGCACAGGACTCGAGCTCTCTACGGCGGGTCACAGCGTATTCACCGCCCGCTCGACGAAGATCGAACAAAAGCTCTCGGAAGGAGAGGCATCTGGGGACGTGTCGAGCGAGCCATGAAGCCTCCGTGGTCCAAGTCGTTACATCATCGCCATGTGTTTCATGATACTCTCGGACGCGTTCTACGACGAACGGATATTCTTGACAGCCTCTGTGTGACAAAACCGCTCGCAAGGGGTCGGAGGTCGGCACGCGAAGTCCTAAATGCCAAGGCTTCTGCCCGGATGATGCGCTTAAGATCGATCTGCTTCGGAATGACGCCTAACCGTGGGGCTCAACACCCTTATTGGCGCTCAATAGAATAAAGTATGTAGAAGTCTTTCAATCTATGCGCGCGCCCTGAAAAATGGGTTTAGTATCCGCCGGTACAGGTCCCCTTCCGAAAAGAGGGCTAGGGCTGCCAGTAGCGCTGTCCAGGTACGTTTGAACCCATCCATGATCCTACCCTCGTCAACTGGCTCGCGACCGGTACGATGATCTCACCACTCTCTGCCTGCATGGAAGACTTGAACGTGACCCTGTTCCCCGGCGGGGCGAGTGGGTCTCGAAAGGAACGAATCACACCGTCGCACCGGGCTACAGATGCAGTTCACCTTGCATGCATACGCTAGATGGACCGGGGTCACAGGTGCGATGTGGGGAGCCCGGGGCACTGGTACGCCCCGGGCCGTATCTGATAGGTCCCGAGTCTCGACTGCCTTACGCCATACTGTGATGACCTCCCAAAGACGTCAGAGATAAAGCATGTCAAGGGGTTTTCGGCCCTGCAATCTCGTCGTGAAAGGGATAACCCGAGCCGGGTTGCGTAAAACCCGTCGCGAGCAAAGCGAGCATCTCCAGATGTGCGCCACACTCCCCAAACACACTACAGCCACCGTTCACCCTTTGGCTCCTTTCACTCTTTCCTACGGTGGGCGAGGGAACTCGTATAAGAGCACGCAGGATGCAAAGCAATGTGTACATGAAACCCACCTCGTAGCATCCCGGCCACGCGAGGTCTCCGTGCCCGTCCTGCGACGAACATGGCAGCCCAGACGGCAGATCTCCACGCGAGCCAAGCGCCCAAAATGTACGCCATCTTCAGCATCTTCTTCGCCCTTCCGCTCCTCGCCGTGGGGCTGCGGTTGGTGGCCAGGAGGGTGTCCAACGTGCGACTGTGGTGGGACGACTGGCTCATCTTGGTCGCGACGGTGGGTGTGATCCTCGTGGAAAGCGGTTGGTTCCCAAGGCTCACGAGGTAAAGGTGATTGTCGTTTTGAACTTTGCCTTTTTGAACGAAGGCGAGTCTCGTCCGTGGAAGGACCTACGTCCGGTGAGACTGACGAAACGGCAGCGATGAATAACGGCGGGGGTAGACATGTACAAGCGATAGCGAATGCCAACGACATTAGAAAGTACCAAATCTACACCTTTGCAAACGAGCTCCTATACGCCTCTATCGTCACCTCCGTCCAGTCCTCCATCCTGTGCCTGTACCTGCGCATTTTCGGCATCAACAAGTCTTTCGCCAACGTCGTCTACGTTTTCCTCACCCTGGTCATCGCGTGGGGAACCGCGACCCTCTTGACCACAATCTTCCGATGCAGTCCCGTCTCCGCAGCCTGGGACGCCGATGTACCCAACAGCCGCTGCATGGATCTCCGGACGTGGCTGGTCGGGACCAACGTCCCCCACATCATCATCGACTTCTCTATCCTGCTCTTGCCTATGCCGCAGATCTGGCGGCTGAAACTCTCTACCGGACGCAAAATCTCTTTGAGCGGCGTCCTCCTCGTTGGCGCTTTGTGAGTTTCCCGTTTCCGCCCCATGTGCCCGGTGAAATGGCGGCTCCATATCTAATACGATTAATGGAAACAGTACGTCGGCCGTAAGCATCATTCGCGTCAACGCCAACGCCTCCATCAATAACGACGATCCTACTTGGGACTATGTTGCCGTCATGATCTGGTCCACAATCGAAGGCAACATCGGTGTGGTGTGTGCCTGCCTTCCTACCCTAGGAGCCCTCGTACATCCGCTCCTTCATGGCCACGCTGGGTCCTCCTCTTCAGCAGCGTATGCGCTATCACAACAAAGGACCGCTAGAATGCCACACCGCAGCCTAGAGTTCGACCGCTTGGATGAGGAGATCTCTGGGCTGTTCCCAAAAAGAGGTGTACTTGTTGAGAGGAATATCTTCGTGGAGACGGACAATGGAAACCAAGCGGTAGGGCTTGATACTTTCTGTGTTGGAGGAGATGGTGGGAGAAGGGGATAAGGTATTCGGAGGAGGGCTAAGGAGTGGTTGGTGAACACGCATGGCTGCAATCGAGAGACTGAGATACCCTTGATGAGGACGGAGGCTAGTCAACACCCGCCAGTTTGACATGCCTTAAAATTGAAAGGAGTTTAAGGACAAAAGCTCTCGCATCTGAAATTAGTATTGGGTTTCTCGATGTAGGAAATGCTGCATGGGTCAGACAACATGGCGAGTCGACACAACTCTAGGTTTCTTACTCTGAGAAGAATGTATGATACTTTTATCATATCAAGCTTAGCCCTTCTCAAGCTATGGAAGGGTTGTCACTGGAATTCATATCTAATGCTCTCGCTCCTTCGTCAAAGGCTCTAAAATGCGCGTGCAGTCCACAGTCTTTGTTATGCGGACTTCCATAGTATCTCGATGATACTCATAGTGCTTCCCTCTGGCTGGGAAATACTGTGGAGACAAAAGCGCTTGTCGGTCTTTTCGAGTAAACGAAGCCAGTCAGCTCTTGTGCGCTCGGCACTGTTGAAGCAGGCCGCCATGATCATGTCTAAATTCCTATCAACGACTTTCGTCAGCTGAATCCTGTTAAAGATATACACCACCTTTTCTAGAAGACATACGGTCCCATTTTCTCCGTCAGCAGTGTTGTTGGTGTATCTTCAAGGACGCATTCGTAGAAAAGGATACGGGAGCCGTTGCGCATTGTTGGGATCAGATTTCGCAGCATTTTCATGCAATACGGGTCACTCCAATTGTGCATAATCCACCGAAATAGGTAGATATCAGGATTTTGCAGCCTCTGTTCGGTGAAAAAGTCATGGGCCATGAATTCGACCCTTCCTTTGAACTCCACCGGGAGCGACGCGCGGCCCTGCTCGACTGTGCCAGGGAGATCTTGGACAATGAATGTTATGTGCTGAGTTGACCTGGCTAAAAATTGTGAGACGCTGCCGTTGCCGCCGCCCATGTCTACCACCGTGGCGCCAGGGTGGTCAAAAGAAGCCCAGTCGAAGCCCGAGACGAGATGCTTCAGATCCCAAGTCTCGCCTTTGGTAAAGAAACGCATACCAGAACCGAACCGTCTCGCACGCTCCGGGTGTTGACCTAGAAACTGGAAAATGGACAAGGTGGTCTCATTCGCCATACTGAAGGCCGACTCGTTTGGCTCCCCTGAGTCGCCGTACCGCTTCAAGGCTTCGATAACTCTGGCTGCCGTCGGCGCGAGCTCCGATGCCTCCAGTCCAACCGCGTCAAAGAAATCGGGGTCTGTAGCCATCATTCGCGAAGCTGCTGTATGTCGGACCGCGTCAGGAGATACTTCTGCGAATATATGGTTTCCCATTGCGTGGCGCATGAAACGTCGGGCCAAAGCCTCAGGAAGGCCGCTTTTGGAAGAGATCTCATGATAAGTTGTTGAACCCTCAACCTGGACGGCTTGGGCGAGCTTAAATTCATATATCACTCGTAATGAAAGGAGGTCGGTCCACTGAGAATATGCTAGTATGGGCATTCAGTCCGTGATGTTGGGCTGAGAGCGCGTACATTGAATATGATCTCCATCGAGCTGCCAACGGGGCCTTGACATAGCTGTTTCAACGTCTGGGTTGAATTGATGAGTGCCTTTTTGGTGGATTCAAGCTCGGATGGCAGGTCTGCGAGGCTGTCATGGTCAAAAGACGTGGGTATCACATGTTGGGATGAGAGGTGCTGGTCAAGACGCTTCGCATTCGCAAGTATCTCTTCAGCAAGCGAAGTAAGGGTACCCATTTTGATGAAAGGAGATATCAAGGCACAGACAGGAGGGCAAGCAGCAGAGCAAGCGGCAGAGTAAGAGAGGAACGCCCAGGATTCGGCTATTGCTTATCACTGCTGCTGTCGGAAGCATGGGGACTTTTTTGGCATGTCCCCACACCCGAAAGCGCGCCTCCTCTTTCCCCGGCGTGCCCGGGTGCACTGACTTAGCGCTCATCTCGGAAAGGGTGGAGTTTCCAAATGAGAAGGAGGAATTAAATGATTTGGAATTGTCAATATGCATGATGTCACGTACTGACTGAGGTAGCTCGGACCGGAGTCCCAATTGGGACTAACTCATCTCTCAGCAATCAGCTCCGCAAATACCTTACTTTAACCTTAAGGTACTTTAAGATCTCCAGACGCATCCCTGCCAGTCTCGCCAGTACATCACTAGGTACATCTGCGGCTGCTTCAACAGCCTCTATGTGCTGGAAGTTCGGATGAAGATGAAGACGAAGAAGGCTCAAGGCTCGCAGAGATTTCTGCATTGATTGATCCAAAGACGCACTTCCTCAGTAGTCTCCTTGTGACCCATCAAAAATTACTGCTTTCTGTAGCCGGTGCTCTTACTTTGACTGGTAGAGTCAACCACACGAAGGTATTGCACTCATGTATATTTTGCGTTCGTTGAGGACCGCATTTTTCCATGCAGGACAGATGGAGTACGGATCATCTCGGTCCCACTGCGCCTACGAGGAATGTCCAGCCAGGCAGGGCTGTGGGCCTCTTTCCCAAGGGCTGCGGCCCATTGGCCTCCCCACAGTGAATCAAAGGCTTTCTATGCCATCTGATGTCCTCCCATACTGTTGACCTTCCCGGCTTCGGTCCTATCTTGTCTGAGTACTGTCAAAGGTAGACCATTTCTCAGATGCTTCCATGGATGTCTTACATCCAAGCCAGACCTCAAGAACGGCGTGGTATGCAACACGAGGAGCTGCGCGGCTAGCAGGCTGTCATGTTGTTTGGCTACTCCGTCGGCGATGCAGTTCTCCTCGTGCAATTAGCGTGGAAAACAGTTCTGAACTCTCGGAAAGCTTGTGGGGAGCACGATGACCTCACATCACCTGGCCCTTCGACGTTTGGAAATAGAGATCTTCAAGTCAAAGAGCCCAATCGACCGTCCCAATGACACGCGCAAGGAAGAACTGCAGGCAATTGTCGGCGGTTGGAGAAATACAACACTTTGAATGAGAAAGAACGTAGCGCAAAGAAAACATGGCAAAGGGTACGGTTGGGCAATGGCGAGTTGGCGAATATGAGAGGTCTGAGGAGTTACAGGTTGCTGTTAATGGGATGACGGCACCTCTGTTGTCTGCGAGAAACCGTGATGGTTCGGTCCTCACAACCTACGCGAACGATGACAGCGGTCTGGAAAGAGTTTAGAAAGGAACTAGTTGAAGAGGGATTCTCGAGCTCTATCATATGAAAGCACAAGCGGCTCAATAAGGCATATATCAAAGAACTTGAAAATCGAGGATTGCTTGATGATGAGGACCCTCACACCATCCAGGAATCATCAGAAGTGGCTGGTACCGATAACGCTTACCCTGCAAGTTCTTCAAGTGAATCCGAGATTCTCCCAGAGGCTGCTTTATTTGCTCCGTCGAAGACGGAGTCGGAGATGTCAGAGGATGATCTACCCAGGGCCACCGGAAACGGTCTCAATACGGCCACCAAATGATATACCCTGAAATTCAACCGATCTCAAGGTTGTGAAAGCTCCAAGTGATACCGCTGATTCCCACGACCCCGATTGAATCTGTAGGCTATCGGAGTGGTTCAGAAGATGAGTCGGGTGGAGACAAAGAGCAGCATGTCCTTCCTGGTGCTGGAATGCATAAGTCTCATGTAGATTTTTGAGGCTCTGATGTATCTGTTTGGAGGAGCGAGACCATTGCTTCAGGGTTGGGAAATTAGATTCCTCGACAAGTCCATGATTAATTGAAGACAACTTTGTCCCAATGTAATAGCGTCAATGCTTGATACTTGACCCGAAGTCTGCTAGTTTATTCACGAGAGACATCTGTCAACGCTCTGATCTATGACTGAACACACTGAATATGGGAGTTATGGCGATCAACACTGTAGCCTTATGAGAAGAAAGCGGATCCGCTGGAAGGGATCCTGTACTGATACCGAGGTACACAGCCTTCGACTGCTATCCGATGTCAGCACATGTACCGTATTTTGTATAGAGTAGTGGGATGATCTACCGTCTAGCTCTGCTTTTCAATTCCGCTGCCACTGTTGTGACGGGAGTCTGGAGCTCATGTGAGAGCATTGTCTTTCCCACAAAGAACCGAGATCATCTGTCTAATTGACAAGGCTGGTGGCTGAATCCGCCCACCGCAGCCCTGCGGCGACATCTCTTCGATAGATCAGACATGGACGATGGTCTGAGCCAACCCGAAACCCGTTTCGTAATCTCACAGAACACAGCCACCTCCGATGCATCCAGACATCTGAGGCCATTAGCAGCCTGAGCGGATGACAGACCCTCCCATTGGACAACCGCGGCCTTCTGCCATGCACGATCGCGATTGGACCAAACGGACGGGCTGTCTGGATCAGGTGTCTCCCCGATGCAGTGACACAAATGAAACATCTCGGCTACGGCTCCACAATAGAGATAGAATCGCAGTACACCTAATCTCTTGAGCCGTACACAGTTACACCCCAACTACTTTCAATCCACAACCCTCCTTGACCGGGTGGTGTGTCTCGCTTTGCGATGTACACTTCCCATAGCTTCGCTGCTCACGGGTACCGTCCAAACCAAGGTCCTGCTATGCTATGCGCAGCTTTTGAAAAACATCGTCTAAGAGCGCTTCGACGCCCCCTTCTCGAAGTAAGGTACTCCTTTACTACCGGAGGGCTAGTCGTTTCAGGGTCTAGCGCATAGAAAGAGCGAGAGTGTGCGGGAAGGGTGCGCCAAAGGGGGAGAGGATCCTGTTCATACGAGAAGCACCCCGCGGGTAGCGAGACAGAAGCACTTTCCCGGGTGGGGCGCCGCCAGCCCGCCAAGCTTTGAACCTGCACCTGCAAACTGCCCCGAAAGGTGTGAGACGCGGGCGGCTAAAGCCCAGGGGGCTGTATGGCCAGAGGCTGTACTCATCACTTTCGTGTAGAGGACCGAATCGCTGACGGATCGGAAGGATCCCTTGGGAGTACTTGCGGGAAGGAAAGGGCGGACGGGTCCGGTGGTGTCGAGCAACATTGCAGGTCCATAGATTTGGTGAGTGGGGTTGGGCGTTCATGATGCAGAGAGCAAATCCTAGCGATACTCTTTATGCAATCCTGTGGCTTGTATAGACAGGTTTTCAGGCCCCGACAGTCAAGTTGGGTTGAGGTTGGTGAGGAATACCAAGCGCCGGTGCACGGAAGCCGTAAGGCAATCGTTGAATGATACCAATGGGACGAGCAGACCGTCCGGTTGGATGCTGCCTTTATTCGTACTTCAGCACAAGTTGGACAATGGGATTGAACATTGACGGCGATTGAGGTTTAGAAACTCCTTGCTGGTGCCGGAGAAGAGAAGGATACTGTACGATCCGTCTAGTAAATTCTAAATTCAACGGTAAGCCAGTCTTATATTTACAAGCCTTTTGCTTTGCCTCAAGAACGGTTCCAGAATCTATAAGAGTATTTCCATTCTGTGAACTCCTCTGTGTATTAGGTGATAGTTAGGGACGCCCAAAATATTTTGATACTGGCACCTCGTTCCCAATCTCCCTGAAAACCGAACCACTCAAAATCATTGACTCTTCCACACAATCATCTGCAGGCTGGCTCATAGTTCAAGCGCTCCGTTCCATCATCGACATCACACGCGTCGCCGGAATACCTTGCATTGACAGTGATGTTACTTACAAACGTCCTGGTCCCAATGCATGGGTGGTAATAGAAATGTGATCTGAGGCCGGCCAGACACCATCCTCTTCATCCACTATCAATCCTGTCTGGATGCCGCACGCTTTCCTCCACTGCGTTTGAGTATAGAAATAGTTAACCCTTGTACCTTCGAACTCCTAGCAAATTTTGAGGAAACTCTGAATCGTTCCGGTCGGGCTTACAACAGCCGAAAACGGCTCCGACTATGCTGAATATCATTCACTGCCGAGATTTTACGCTAGTCGCACTGCTAGGTCTAGCTCGGAAGGTAAACTCGATTACATGTCGGCGAAGGAAGCGGATCCGAACTCTGATACCCGCTTTCTCATATGTTGGTCACTCCTGGAATCCATCAGGTGCGGTACAGAGTCGAAGAGGCCAAAGTGATTAGCAGTTGCAAAGAGAGTGTGTTCGAGCAACTCGAAACTTCAAGCTCTGCATAGACATGGTAAACTTAGTACATAATCTCTGTGGATCAAGTATCGTCCATTGGTAATGTAGTACGCTTCGAACAACTCCATGGCAGAGGATAGGGAGGAGGATTCTGCCCCCTGCGTGTCGAGAACACATATTTGTATGTTCTGCTTGGCTAGGAACTTCGAGCTGGTTCCATTTTGGCAACACCGGTCCACGCGGATTGCATACTGAAGGGCAAAGAGCAAGGAACTTGTTCATGAGATGAAGCTCAAGGCTATATCTGCATTGCTGAGTAAGTGATTTTCCACCACGTTTTTAGCCTCTTCGTCGGGAAACTTCGTCAAAATCAAGGCGACATTCGGACTTCTTCAAGACTGCGGCTGAGCGAAACCGTGCCTCGGAGTTGAGACCCTGCGATGCATTCGAATACACCCGATAGACGTAGCGTGGACTTAGGGCTCGATCTGCGTGAAGAAATTCGTCATTCAGATGGCCATATGTACGTGCTAGATCCTTAAGTAGCTACCTTTAGGCCTTGCCTGTCTGAATTAAGCAGTGCTTTCCCGTACGGGTTTTATTGCAAGAATTTGTGGGGTCTATTCGATCCTCGTGATGCTGAGCCGAACATGCTTCTGATGCCATCGTATGACCGTACAATAACTCCCGGACTGATCTCCCAGCAAGATATCAAGTCTGTATTAATGGCGCAATTGGAGACCGTGCTAACGGTAGGGATTTGGCGATAAGGCTCTGTTAACGCTGAGCAGTCATTTGCTTCTCATTGGACAAATGCAGTAGTCTTTCATGCACGATCCCAACTGAACCCAACGGATGCGTTGTCCAGATTGGGTTCCTCTCCGACGCAGAGGAACGGACAGAAGACTTCGCTGAGGCATCAACGGCAAAGTGGGGAAACACTTCGGTTTCGCGATTGGAAAGAAGTACTACTGACCATACTCAAGCATACACCATGCGTCTCGATGAAGCCACCAATAAATCAATACTGAAGCGGTGCATAATGACAAGGCTCCATAAAAACAGTTGGCCTTGCGGTCTCGGCAAAGTGACGCCTGTGGCGAAGCTAATGCATGCATGCGGTCTCGCATGCGGTCTCGGGCTTGCCGCTCGTATCATTTCATGCATCATGCATCCTGCGTCTTGAGGAGGAAAGGGCACATGGCGACGTGCCCGAACAGGAAGCCGCGTAGGAAATGCCGACGAGCGGAGCGGCAAGCAACCATTTCAATGGGCATTTGCAGACTTCTTTTTTGACAGCGAAAAAAATAAAAAATGAGATTCAGATGTAGAGAGAAGAAAGTATTCTACCCTCACACCCCAGATCCTCATAATAGAGCCAGTAAATGCCACGAACTCTTTCCAGGCGATCGGCCGCATGGAAGGTATCTGATCTCGCCTTGAACCCCACAACTCCAACCCCGCAAAAGTTGCAGCTCGCAAACAAGTAGCTAGCATTCCACAAACCCCGCGCTCTGATCCTTTTCTGGTATATCCATGCAAAGTCTTCCCAAGCCCTTTTCATATGGGTAGCCTGCTTTTCCACTGTAGCTGGCCAGGTCTATCACATCACAATGCACTTCCCACCGCAGCAGCCCGCGCTGTCTGAATTGTCCTGTGGCGGCCGGGACGTACTGGGCCCTCCTCCGCCCGCTGGGTAGGATGACATCTCTTTGTTGTATCTTCTGATTTCGCGGACGATATTGAAGAAGGCGTTGTCGACGTTGATGCGGGATTTTGCGGAGGTCTCAATGAAGGCGCAGCCGAACTGGCGAGCTAGCTGCTCACCCTCTGCAAATCAAAAACGTTAGCTGATCACCATAGCAGTAGAGCTCGCGGAGTCGTAAAGAGCTTCTCGCGAATTATGGGTACTGGCTTCAAACGTACCTTGCCTTGAGACTTCTCGCTCTGAGTCCAGATCGCATTTGTTACCCACTATGATGATGGGAAAGTAGTCTTTGTCCTTCACTCGCAGTATTTGTTGTTGGAATGTCAAGATCTCTTCAAAGCTTTGCCGTGATGTGATTGAGTAGACCAGTAGAAATCCTTCGCCCGTGCGCATATATTGCTCTCGCATCGCCGAGTATTCTTCTTGACCAGCTGTATCCAGGACATCGAGCAGGGCGACCTCGTCATCTATGACGCATTGCTTTCGATAGGAGTCTTTAAGCTGTGTTAGCTCACCGTCCTTCTAGGAGTCAGACAAGCGGGCCAGGCGAACCTTCTATTGTAGGGTCGTATTCATCGACGAAATGGCTTTGTATGAGCTGGATAGTCAAACATGACTTTCCCACACCACCTCCACCAACCACCACAAGCTTGTACTCTCGAAGAAACTGTACAGGCGGAGTGTTAGAACGCATGGCTCGAAGACACATTGGGATATCCCAGGAAAGGGAAAGGGTCACGAACTCTATTACTATTACTAGTCATGGCTGCGGTAAATTGTATAGCTCAATATAGATCGTCCCTAAGAAACGTGGAAGTCGCGTGGCCCGTAGGTTGATTTGGCGTATCCGACTGGATGTCGGATGACGACAGGAGCACAAGGGTACGAGGGAGCTGTGGCGGGGATTTTGCAGAGGTCCGCTTGTCGCTAGAGAATAGCCGCTCAAATGTGTGTAGGAAGGGAAGCTCAAGAGACTTTGAGGAGAAGGTTGCGAGCTTTGCGAGAGACGGTCTTGCGCTTGCGACAAACAGATCGATTGGGTGGTGTGAGATCTAAGACACTCCAGGGTTAAGACGTATGGTGGTACGTGCTCTTGGGGCAAGAGTGTGACGAAAGAGCTTGGCCTTGATAAAGAGGTGAGGTTGATGTAAAGAGGAAGTGTGATGGCGTTGGTACCGCTGAGGTTCTGTGTTAGTGAAAGTTTCTGCACAAGCATCTCATGGCACCTGCAGCATGGACAGGGAAAAAAGTGACAGGGGGAGCATACGGCCGTCTTAGTGCCGACTTTAGCGCAGACCAACAGGAGACCTCCGCGATAGTTCAGATAGCTGGGACCCCCGGGGAAGATGGGACTGGGTCCCTTGGGAGAGGCTTTGGGTTGACCCGCCGTTCCCTCTAGTTCCGGCAAAGGAGGGCGATGAGGTGATCTGATAGGCAGATTCCAAGAGCGCCTAGAGAGCTTGGGATCCCCCGCCTGCTTATCCTGTCTAAAGTAGCTTGACGAAAGACGGATTACTTGTCGATGACCAGCTGCCTTTTCTGCGAGGGTTTTGATAAGGAAAAAGTGCGAGGGAACGAGCTCAAGTATTCGCACAGAGGTGGTGGGCAAGGAGATGTGGCAAGGGGTTGATGCTCAGCCCAGATCGGCCGGAGCATGTTGCAAGGCATCCATCCACTACGCACCACAAAAAATTCTGTGCCATTACTCTGCAGTCATCAGTATTTGCATGGGCGATAAGGCCATAAATGAGCTTGGGACGGCTATTACGACATCGTCCTGCATGAGCCATGTGCTTGGGCTAATTAAGCTCCGATATCCAGTTGCAGGGCCACTGACGATCTCCGTGCTTCTCCAAAAGATCATCCATGCGACTGTTTCATGTTGTTGCGTATTATCTAGTATAAGGCTCTATTGAGAGACTTGTTATTCTATCTCCCAAGGAGCTCTATCCTGGATTTCATTCATCTGGATCGTCACTTTGGTCCATCTCATCTTCTCTTTCTACCCTTTTGCCTTGCACATTTTTCTCTACCTCCTCAACTAAACTCAAAAGATAATCCTCGTCTCTTCCAACAAGCGTGACAGAGTTCCTCTTTCTTCCCCAGCGTGGATAGCTTCCAACTTTGACTCCTTTCGACTCAACTTCCCCTGCTAGCTCGGTCAGGTAAGTCGCTACTGCACTTTCTGCCATTGGAGTAGAGATCAGTATCCGGTATACACCCTTGCCTTCGGGATCCGTCAGCCGTGGTACTAAACCGGGTTTGAGTCCTTCGAGAAGCTTCTCAAATAGTCTGGGGACTCCGGGCAAGATATGAATGTTGCCGTTGACAACCGAAACAGGAACCCATAAACTCTCGTCGACAAATAGTACCTGGCCCTCATCGTCTCTTGAAGTATCCATTGGTAGCCTTATCATCCGTTTCTTTGCTTCCAGGGCAGGCGATGGTACGTCGTATGAGAAATTGGGTTGAGAAGGATGCGGTTTCGAAAGCTTCTTCATTCGGTCCAAAGCCTCCTGATGTTCCACGAGTTTTAGTTCAAAAGCCTTTGCTACCGATTGATAAGTAATATCGTCATGTCTAGTGGTGTCTTGAGTAAGCTTCATAATGCGGCAGGTTCTTCATGCCGCGCTTACGTTGGGCCAATTCCTCCACTGCTACATGTCAGCAATGTAATCCATCGACTCTCTCATCGGCTCTTTCATTATCTTGCCTTGTGACCACAAAGTCGTAGTTGTCACTCATCCGTCTTGCAGCTTCTACTATCTCTCCCTCGTCATCTCCTATCACTTCTATCCTTTTCAGATTCATGCCCAGTTTGAAGCAGAACTTGGCAAGATACGCCGAGTTGGTATCGACAGTCTGATTTGTGTCTGTTCAGCTGGGAGGATTCTCCGCGTCCAGTCGCGCATTGGGGCACACCTTGCCACCGAGGACCTCATCGCCAATGATAATGCATCCTGCTGTATGTATCATGCGCTTACTCTTCTCTTCTGCTGTCACTGGTGTCATGATGCTGCTTCTTGGGAAGGCGCTGGAAGCTGCTGCCGAGGAGTGTGCGTAGTAAGGAAGTGGCCGAGACAGATGTCGACTCAATTGGCTAAGTCTTGCAAACATTGAGGTGTGGACAATAGGTTAACCGTCCAGCAATGGAGTACATGGACATTATATATGTCATCAAAGTCAAGATGCAGCAGTACGCGGGGCGAGATCTGCCGAGATCGCCAAGGTTTCTCGGATTTATCGGATCTCATGAATCTAAAGGAGGATCTGACGCGGGCAGCTCTTCAGAACTGCACTGTCATCAGCTGCTCATATCCTAGAATTAATACCTTGGGAGACGCTGTTCTTGATATTTATCGAATATGGTGAGCCAGAGCTGCCGCGCGCACCTTTCATTAAGCTGACCGTTGCAGTCTTCGGAATCACGGTTGTACACATTTTCACCTGAGACCAAAGAGAAGCTGCGGAAGTTTAGATTAGGGACTTCAAGAGCAAAGGACCCCCAAGCGGTGATCTGTACGTTCTGAAATGCCCTCACACCGTATGGACACCAAGTCAGCCGCCACATGGAGAAACAATCAGCTGACCGCTTTCTACAAACTAGACCAGATCGATAAGCACACCTTGGAGATCGCACAAGTCGATGATGAAATTTATACCAACATGCAAGAGTTAGCAGATGAGCTGCCAGATCACTCGCCACGCTATGTTCTGCTCAGCTATCCCCTGAATCTGGTCCGTTCTGCCGTTGGTCCAGATTGAAGACTGCTCGTTTACACAAAGCTAGCCATCTGGTCGTCTTTCGGTACCCTATGTACTGCTCTACTATCTCCCGGTTACCTGCAATGCGGAGCTACGAATGCTCTATGCCGGAGCAAAGGAGTTGATGAGAAATACCGCAGAAACGGGGAAGGTCATTGAGATGGCCGAGGCTGAAGACCTGGAGAAGATCGAAGAGAAGTTAGGTGGCGAGCAATAGCCTTTAATCAAGTTTATACGTGTTTGGATCTATGACGGCCTCTTGTACATCGCGCCACCAGTACCAGCCTATCAAAGATTAGCTCAACACGAGTGTCACGACTTCTTGTGCATGACCGTGGCCGCGGCCTGAAGAGAAATCAGCAAACATTGCCGTGATGGCAAGCATCACATGAAAGGAGATGGGCGCAGCAACCCTTACCTGGTGATTTGGAAAGATAAGCGTATCAGCTACGACAACATTTTCCCTTCTCGCTGCATTGAATACCACGACTTCGGCAATATCATCAGGAGTGAGTGGTTCGCAGCCGCTGCCGAGAAATTAGCTTCTTGTGGACTGGCAAACGGTAATATACCTACGCATAGACCGCGTCTGCTTTGGCTTTATCGCCATAAAACCGTACGACGGAAAACTCGGTCTCCACTTGGCCTGGATCTACTTCCATCACTCTTATCCTCGTAGCAACCAGCTCTCTTCGCATGGCATCTGTGAAACTTCGTATGGCCGCCTTTGTTGCGCAGTAGATCGAGCCGCCAGGGTATGCTTCTCTGCCCGCTATCGACCCAATGTTGATTATGTCTCCTCGTCCTCCATCCTCACGCTTCTTGTAGATGGGAAGAATGGCTTGAGTCATGTTGATCAAGCCAGTGACGTTGGTGGAGAACATGACATCGATGTCTTCATCAGCTATGTCTGGAGCCTTTGCTGTGCCTTTGACAAGACCACTTAAAGGTAGTCATCAGCATTTGTTCTTCAAATTTATGCATAGCCACTTTTGAGACGTACGCATTGTTTACCAAGACATCAATGTCCCTGAATTGTGCCGGCAATGAATCTACAAAGCCCTTCACCTCACTCGGGTTGCTGACGTCCAACTTCACTGGCAGTACCTGGACCCCTGAGCCAACTTCTTCCTTGATCTCTTCTGCAATCACTTTCAAAGTATCAATCCTCCGCGCAGTCAGAACCAGCTTGAGACTTTTAGGCGAGGTTCGAGCGAATTCCATTGCTGGATTTCGTCAGCGTGGTGGTTGTCGAAAATTGAGGTTGCGCCGAGACCTGTGCTTTTGCCAATCCCAGATGATGCTCCTGTCACAAGGATTGTCTTGCCCTCGAGGCGTTTCGCCATTGCGGTAGCCATTGTTTGTCTTGCGGTGTGCGAAATGAGGGGTATGTTGGGAAGAAATACTCGTGAGCTCTGGGATTGAGGCTTCAGAAAGTCATGAAAGAACAGGAGGTTGCGGCGAACAGCTCTAGGAATCATGTGAGAATGTAGTCGCGCTCAATTGGATGTATGGGGCAATTGAAAGTGGCGGGATACTCGTAGTCTCGTAGCACTGAGCAAATACAAGATATCGTCACCGACAAAGATCTTGATTGGGCAGATCGCTAAACGCGTAAAGTCGCTTATTTTCGATTGCAAACAAGAAATTCAAGCACGTCGTCTACGCCTTGCCCTTGGTAAGTTGAGGGCGCAAATTACGGTGAAATAACGTAGCAAGGGTATGTAGGGTCTCGATTCAAGCCTTTGGGAATTTCGGCGTCCAATGACACTCTCTATGCATCGTTCATTAATCCCAATGAATGGGCAAACTACTAATTTATACCTCCACCAATTGATAGCCCTACTTGACGACAAAAGTGTACAATTCGTCTACCTTCACAGGGGATGGACGGCAATAAGTGGCAGGATCAAATGTAATCACAAGCAACTAGGAACTCAAGACAAGGTCCATGAAAAGGAAGGCAAACCTACCGTCATCATTCATATACACCATAGCCATGCCAAGGGCCTTGGCTCATTTCCAGTCATGCAATACCGTCTTCTCTCATTTCGCCCAATGAATTTATTTCCCCTGCATTCTTTCGCAATCTAGTGCTCCTTGGCTTGTGAATTGAGGGGGCTGGCAATTTCGATGAACTGAGTCGTAATTTCGTGGCCGCCATCGCGCTCTTTAAATATGCGTAGACATTTCTTCTTCTTCTTCTTCTTCTTCTTCTTCTTCTTCTTGTCCATATGCACGAGAAGCAACATTTATATACAAATACGTCTGTTGTATTCATGAGCGTTGATAAGGGCGTAAAGTCTCTGCAACTTAGAAATACCGGATGCAACAAGTGTCACAGGAAGAGGGTCAGTATCATGATCACTACCTTGTTGAGAAAGCTAATATTTGAGATAGTGTCGCTGTATATCTGATTAATGGGCAAGCAGGAAGCTGAGCTTGCAGCCTCGAGATGTTGTCGACTATGAGATGTTCGTGCGATGACTGTCGCAAGCACGAGGTCAGCTCCGTTTCCCCGGAATCCCACTCCCTGCTAAAAGGCGACGCCATAGCGGTTTGATGTCCATTGGGCAGCACCAGAACATCAGCTTCATACCCGCCAAAAAGCCCTTCAGTCGCCACTTGAGCAAGCTGATCTCGGATAGAGCTTCGACCTTATGAACGAGGGTCCTACTCTTCTGCGATAGAGTATGCTGCAAGGCTATGTTCGCCTTCATGCGTACCGGAAGAAACCTTTGCTTCTCAATGTCGTTTCGAGCACTGGTCTGAGTACCCCTAGCTCTGCAATCCTTCTGCCCCTGGTTTTGGAGCATGGACGATCGTGCTGGCAGACGCATTCACTCATGGAGTTGGTGGACAAGAGGTGTAGGCCCCCAGAGAGGATGTGTTAGGAATGTTCTGCTGCGGAGATGGTAGGGCTGTAGAGGAGAGGGCAAACTTCCTTTGGACTGTTGACACAGGTATGCTCTCAACACCTCGATATCTTCACTCCTTTCTGCAACCTGATTGGCCACGAGTCGAACACAGCGTGAACCCTTCTTAAATTCCACATATTTGAACCCCTCCTGCAGTACAACTTCGTTCTTTCTCCATGCTTCAACAGCAAGTTTTCAACCGTTCATAGACATCTTTCTACTCCCAGCACCAAGACTTTGAGGCATATCCGAGGTTCAGGCTTTCATACTCTGATCTTAGTTGACTGCTCTGCTTCGTCTTTCGATATTGCAACAGGCGAGGCTGTCTGCTCGTGGTGACCGCTCTGTTGTGCATACTGTTTTGGTGGTCAAACCATCACAGCATCCAACAACACTCGCTCACAGACATATCTGAACCTTTTTTTAACACCCTCTTACACTGCACTGCATCATCACTCGAAGTTGCATCTGTGAAGCTCTCTGATTGTGGTCGACACTTTACCGTCAACACACATCAAGGAGGATACAGTCTGTCAACATCCATCGATCCATCCTCCTCATACTTGCGTATAGACCTCGTCCAAATACCATGTGTCAATCAAAAACAACAACTTCTATCATTACAGGTATGGCTGACTCAATAACTCAGCCAAGCTGGATCCCAATAATCCAGCCATCTTTGTTTCATCAGGTGATGAAGAAGTATGGCTATGTCTCGGCAGATTTCAACTGTTCAATTGTCTATGGGCCCAAGGTAAGAATTCAAAGATATCATCAATATGATAGGATACCAGCTAATTGATGCAGCCTGCATTCTTCGAGGATGGTCAATCTCTAGCGTCTATACATTATCATGTGGACGCTTGCTTCTGGAAGGGGAACACCTTCATCGATGGAGCTACCTTCCTAGTTCCCTCCAAGCTCCCAGAGGCAAGGTCGCAATGTTACAGTGTGGACTTGGACGACACCACCGGGGTACATCACGTCACCCTCCGAAAGGCAGCTCTTCAAACAGGTTTGCCGTTGATCAGGTTGTCAAATGCCAACTTCTCCAGTCACGACGTCGAGTTCTCAAACGGAGAGATGATGACAGTGCCAAAGCGACAGACTCGCAAGACTCCGTCCAAAGTATATGAGTGGGAAAGCTCCATCGCCCAAGCTAGGCCTGTTCGCAACATCGTCCGTCAGATCCAATTCGGCATGTTTGGACAAGACAGTGAAGTCGACGAGGTCGAGCATGTCCACGATCAGACAATCTCTACTCCTGCCGGATCGGACAGCTCCATCACAGGGTTCGGACGTGTCGTAGGTCAGCAAACAGCGGATGATCAATCAAGACTTTCCAATTTCACCCAGTCAATTATCCACGTCGTGTCTGGGGGTTCAGCGGCCTCTAGTTCCATCGGAGCCGAAGTTTCTGATGCCGCTGCACAAGCACAAGAGTATATTGAATCTTCAGTCGACACACAGTTGTCGGACAACTCGAGCATATCTCGGCGATCAAGCGCTGGAAGCCAGGGTAACGGAGATCCTACGTCAACCGTCCCTACTAGTCCCGCGTCGTCGACTGTCTCAACGTTGCCATTCTGGAAGTCGGCATTGGCGAACTTACCGCGGGTTCCCATCGCGCCAGGGAAGCCCAGTTACACAACCAAAGCGCTCGCATTGGAGGTTCAAAAACACGATGACCTAGGCAAGACCGATGACCAAGAACAGACTGTTTTTCGTCGTCTGTCTTGGGGTCTGAGAATTTCAGACCGGCAACTCCTCCACTGGGACGAGATCCAGGATGGTGAATCACCTTACCTCGAGAAATTTCCTGCTCCTAGAAATGGTCTTGTCATGACTCAGGAAGGCCAAATCGATGTGGCAGAGGATGTTAGTAACAACGTCCAATCATCTCTTACCTCGGCTCCGCTCACGTCAAAGCCTGTCGAAGCTTTGCCATCATTCTACACCAACGAGACCTACATCTCTCAATGCTTTGACGCTCTCGATGTCGTACGCATCGAGCTCGTTGGGCGGACGCATTCGCGACTCTTCCCTCTCGATCTCGTACTCGAAGCCAAGGGAAAGCAGCATGCCACAGACGCGCCCAAGATTCAGCAATTTCCTCCAGTATCCGATGAGTTAGACGTTGAGATTGCAATTGATAGCGCTTCAGGAGAGCTATACCTGAGACCAAAGATGAGTGCTCCATCAATGGTCGTCCAGTCCATTTCGGCCACCACGGGCACAAATGTAGCGGCTGGATCTAGTGTCCCGGCTCAAGACCAGCCATCGAGCGATAGTGCTTGGCAGCCACACCGACTGGAGGATATTGACTTGACCGCCGTATTCAACCAGGGAGCCACTGAACTGGACGATGAAGAAGTCTATGCAGAGCCGTCGACCATCGCTTCTCACGTCATTGGGAGCCGTCTCGCACAGACACAGTATATTCCATCAGAATATGCAGACCACGTCGAGTACATGATACAGGCTCACCCGTTCGTACCCAGGATTGTGGTTGAAGCCAATGAATACTGGAACTTTATTAAGGTATCCATCAATGGTACGTGGTACGCGCAAGGGTGTCCAAAAGGCTTCCTGCCACGACGATCTTTGTTCGAAAATGACTCCGACGCTGTGTTTCGGGAGTTGCTTGGTCTCGGTAGCAAGCCCCAGGCTGTTGTTGAGAGGCCTCAAGACCTTCGAGTTGGATTTCCCGTTCATCACTTCAACTTGATCGACCAGCCTGTCTTCCAAGATTCTCGGAATCCCTCGGCAGTCTCATATTGGGCTGTAATCGCAAGCTATCGGAAGAAGCAGATCGAAGACGGTGTTAGCTGGAAGGCAGTTGTATCATCGCAGGCAGCAAAATGGGTGGACCCGTGTACTTTGGACCGAGGCGTGGAGATCCCTGATGCAAGGCAGAATTCAAGAGCACTCCGCGATTTTGTCACTGGCCAGACCACCATCCGATATCTGCCTTGTGGTACTTGGATATGGGATGAATATGATTCCGACCAAGAGATACCGGAAGTCATGAGCACAGAAACCCGTGAAGCAATGTTAAATGCGTCCTCAGCCGCAAACACGTTCCACGGTCTGCAGCGACCATACTTCATTACACCGTACGTTGGAGATATCAACGTGAACGACGATGGCACTGGTCAGCGTTCTTTAAGATTGAAGCAAGGGCGGGAATGGAAGACCTCGGAGAGTCGCAGCTCTACAAATCTCCGCTTGGTTGACAACGGCACTGTGCGTGTGTATTCCTTCAAGGGAATGGGAAAACCCAGAGTGTTCGAGGTCTTGGAGAAATACGAGACTGCGGACATCCTGGTGATTGACATGCCTTTCAAAGCGGAGCCCGCAAATGCCCTTGAAGAGACACCGAATGAAGCAGGTGCTGATGAGATCGAAGACGAATCTTCAGAGGCAGAGACTGAGTTGGACGAGGAGCTAGCCGTTGATCACGAGACAGTAAATTACGTCAATACGTCCACAAGCCTCATGGTCATCAAGTCGCCGGCTGCCGAGAAGCCCCCCAAAGATTTGGTACAAGCGCCCGTCGAGGATAATGCGCAATGGTCCTTGAAATCGGTACTCAAGCAGCTTGTCAGAGAAGCAGCGGAGAAGGCTGCAGAGAACTCGGACAAATCAAACCCTCCAGACTTCCAAACAGTGACACACGACGATGTGGGTGCTTTACGTGACACCCGCAAAGCAAATGTGGCTCCGGTTGATTCAGAACCGGATCAGTATCTTGCGGAAGTGCTTGGACCTAACCCCAACGCCTCAAAGATGGTATCCGGACAAGGCAGTGTTCTTCGCACTGCAGATTTCATAGAGACTTCGGAGTCACCAGTACCGTCGGAACGTCTTCTTTCGAAACAGGTCCAAACAGATCTTGAACTGGAAGCGGCACCGCCGCCTGTGCACAGGGTTGCGAATTCTGAGCTCGCCCATTGGTCTTCTTTCCCCCAGCGTATCATGCGCGGCGAGTGGAACCACAACACTATTGGCGAAGAGAGTGAAGAGAAAGAGCGCGATCCAGGACTCGATGTGGATTCCCTGGCCATGATACCTGACTGTGCTGAGCGATTCAATCTCGCCTATACTCTAGACCGGACGATAGTGGATCCAGAATTTGACGAGCATGTCGCCATGTTGCTCGGACCTGGCGTCCTCGCCCAGAAATTCATGTCCGGACAAGGCGTCATCCCATTTACTACGAGTGGCATGATGACTCTGCTTGGACCTGGCGCCGTTGGGAAAATGATGGATGGCTATGGTATTCCACGGGCCACGAGGGGTATGACTTTTCTTGGCACTGGTGCAGTTCCTGACATAGCATACGCTATCCTGGCTGAGAGTGATGGGGCGACTCTCCTCTTCTCAGATTCCGTTGACAATCCGATGCCTAGGTGGGGTGGTATTCCTAGCACCACGGATTCCACAGATACTCGGGAGTCGCCTATACCATCAGGGCGCAATCTGTCGCCTATGAAGATGTTCTCTTCGGCGCTGGACCAACCGAAAACTCCTCCTCAGAGCCCTGAGGCGGTTGAGACCCTTGGAGTGTGGGAAGATGACGGTAAAGGTGGCTTTAGATCTCCTGGCAAGCACTGTCCCCAGTATGTGACTAAGGATTTGAACAGTCAAGGCGACGACGTCAGCGTCTTCGACTCTAGGACTGAGGAAGCGCCAGCTGCTGCGCAGACAGCTTTCTATCAGGCCCTGGTGTTGGCAAATGCGAAAGCGAAATTCACGGTTGCTGATCGAGCAACCAACTTCGAAGACGAAGAAGTGTCTTGGACGCCTGTACGGTCCAAATTAGTGGTCTTATCTCCTATCCAGGAGAACTCTCAAACTCCAATTCAGAGAATTAGGCCGCCTACTGCCCCCAGATTGCCTTGGAACCCCAACTTCATGCACGGTAGCCATCGGACACGTCTCCCTGCTCGCAAGCAAGCCTTCAGCTCGGCAGAGCGCGCTGTAGCAAAGCCACTTTCAGCCGAGAGCAGCAAGACTCATTCGCGAAACACCTCGTTCTCTTCGGAGGAAACCTCGACAGAGAGCGGATATACTCACACGCGGAATACGTCGGTCTCAATCACTTCCTCTTCTCCCGAAGCCGTGTCGACCGAGAACGGAAATACTCATACGAGGAACACCTCGCTCTCAGAAGCTAGGTCGCTTGAGGAGGATTTCAACAACGAGCGCGCTGTTAGGGAGATAGTGAAGCGTGAAGGATCCGCAGCCTCGCGAATGACACATTTTGACTCTCCTGTCACAGTCACTGTCGCCCTCGGAGCAGCTGCTCTGGGGGATGCGCTTGCTTCGCCACCAGTGCAGCACGAGGCAAAGGGTCATACTTCCCACTATCTGCTCGTCATTGCGATCGCCGTCGCTTTCTTATGGCCTTTCGTATGAGCATCACGCGGAGGAAAGAGAGACGCTCGGAAGACAAGCGAAGGGATATTGGAAGGATGGATTGTTTTGCTCGTTATCAATTTTGAAAATTGTTGTTGGCCTGCGTGGATGTTTGAAGCTGAGGCTTATTGGTCTGTTTTGAGGTATGGGAAGTAAGCATAGGATTTGTTTCATGTACGTACTTAGGGAAGGGAATTTCATTATTGTCAACAGCTGCGAGAGTATTGAAACAAATCCATATTTCAACCCATCTGTACCTTGTGCCTGTTTAATGTTTGGTAGACCTCATCGGAGAAAATTAGGTGCACTCCCGGGGGCACTGCCCGACTAATCGTTCTTAGGCTGAAGCAAGGCGGGCGGGATCCTATTCCCCCCACCGCCATAGACTTCCACTTCATCGCTTCACTTCACAGCAAAGCCAGGCTTCGTATGCTACAACTTGTGTTTCACGCTGGTGTTTACAGATCACTAACATTGTAGTCTGAAACGCATTCTGGACCATGTGGTGTAGCCCAACGGAGTTGCTGAGTTACAGGAGTCTTATTGATAAGCCACATCATACAGGGATAGCAATGGACCGTACTTCCAAGCAGCATTGAGACACCTGGGCATAGATGCCGCGTATTTGAGAGTCGTGGAAGACGATCAAGGGAGGTTTGAAGAGGTTATAGAAAAGGCTCTAGCTACAGGCTCGTACGACGCTTTCAATACGACAGGAGCAGTGTCCGTTAGGAAGTTTGACTTCATCCGCCAGGGCCTCACCGACTTCGAAGCCAAAACACGTTTCCGTAAGGTTGCCATCAGGCCTAGACATCCTGTCCTCTTTGCTATGCTTTCACCACACGGACAAGACGTCAAGAATAGTATGGCCTCCACGCCCATGAAGACAGAGAGATGGGATCGCAGAGCAGCGAGAAGGATCCCTTCTTTTGCTTGCCAGGGAATCGCCTGACCACTGTTGGCTGCTTCAATTTCCTAGTCATGCCACATCTCCGATTCTTCCACGGGCAACCGGACGAAAAGCCCATCGTGCACAGCTCAACGTTCTTGGCTCTCCATCACAGCGGTCCAATTCCTCAGACGCCGTTCGCAAAGCCGTCAGAAAGCCAAGCCATCTACGCTTGTTCTGGCATGGAATAATCGACGGTACAACAAGCCAAGTCACCCTGAGTAAGGACCAAGGATCAAATGAGGTCAGACCATTGCTTTCCGCCAATTGCTGGGTCGTTGCCCCTAAAGGTCCAGAGCAGATCTCGCGTGGTACTTGGGCGGACTGCTATTCGTCGCTGCCATCCTCCATTGGTGGCGACACCCCAAAGAGAGATTCAACGGATCAGAACTCAAGTTCTGAACCACTGCGTTCTGCAGCCGGTCCTTGCTGGATATTTGCGTCTATGAAATGGTTTGCTCTGCCGCAATGGATACCGTGAAACGGTATGGATGAAGCTCCTCCAAGCCGCATGCCGCGGAATCAAGCCGAAGGGTTCGCTCCCAGCTTTGCAATGCTCATTGCAGCACCCCAATCCTCTGTAGTATTGGCGCCAAAAATCCAATTTTCGTCGTGTGGAGTCAGAATCTTCCCGTCCAACTCCTCAACAGTCATGCTAGGACCGCACTTTCCCGCAGCTACGTTCTCTGCAAGTCTTCCTAATGCTCGTGGGCTCCATATTGCAAGAAGAGGTTCTAACAGACCTTGCTCATTACCAAAGCATGTCACAGGCGGGACGTACTCCCTCATTAATTGCTGGAGTGTGTGTGCTGTCAAGAGTGGATAGTCACAGCCGACAATGAGCCATGTGGCCGAAGGTGCGCAGATGTGTGCAGCGATGAGCCCCGCCACAGGGCCCAAAGGGACGCTTGTGGAGTCGTAGATGGGTTCGATGTGCTTTGATATTTTGTGAGAACCTGCTAGATCCATCTCTAAAGTCTGGTCCTCATCGCGCAACGAGATGTAGAAGGTGTCTGTAAGGGGGAGAGCGTTCACCAAATGTTCAAGAGTATGTTGGTATGCTGGTCTCCCATCGCTATGCGGCATAAGGTGCTTAGGTGTTCCCTTGCGGGTAGAGAATCCTCCAGCAATGAAGAGTGGCTTGATGTTGTGTGTCATTGCGCTTCCTGTTCTTGCTTCTGATGCGTGAACGTCGATGAATCTCATAGGCGTCTCATGATATATAGGCTGGTGCCTTTATCTATTCATTTGAGAACGTCATGGCGAGAATCAAGGGTCGCAGCAAGGCAGGCTCTAAACTTACACCAAATCTTGATGAGGTGGACTCAGCGTGTGAGCTACTAGGGGGATCCTGGACGCTTAGGTGCACCACCCGGGGGGCTTTGGAAGATCCTCTAGGGATCAGCGGGGTCCGGAAGGCCGGGTCGCTAGCCCCCAACTTTGACCTATGCATGTTGCTGACAACGTCACTTGTTCGGATATATTTCCCCACTACCGAGGGTTGGTGACAAAAGTCGTTGCACACCGATCCCCGCTAAGCCCTACCAAAGTGTGCAACGACTTTTGTCACCAACCCTCGTACAATATCCAAGAGCTCGTTGGGTCTAGACCTCAAACGCCGCTAGGTTTCCAGGACACATTCAAAGGTAATAGAGGATTAATATTAGCCGTGCCGTCGGACGTCATGATCAAAGAATGGCATCGACGATGACTGTATCCGACCCGGCCTCGATGGGCCTCTCGTCGCGAGCACAATCCCCAAACCTGCCATGGCCCCCGAAGAATACCAGACTAGCGATTCTATTGAGGGTATATGGGGTCCAAGGACGCCATATAAACATAAGTGGCCGACGCGGGTAGATGAGGTGATTACTGAAAGGCCCGGAAAGTGGGTACCGAGTGCTTGTATCATGTGCAGCTAGGCATTAAGAGAGTAGGTGCTACGCCTTAGCGTTAGCATATCAAAGGTGAACCGCGGTATTGACGACCTGTCTAGCAATGGCTGCGGATTGGACATCGCGGTTAAAGATGGCAAGATAGTCGGAGTCTAGAGCAGAGCTGTGGTATGTACACCTCGTCGCGTTCCCTCTCTGTTCGGTGCCAAATTTGATTCGCAAAACGAATATCGGGATCAAACAGCCCCTTTACTCGTTAGGCTATCCAATCCAAGTTCCTACGTTAAAGAAGAAATACTAACCCTGAAATCTGCGTAGGACCGTATGAATCATGGGCGTCTGGGCCCTAAAGAATTGCATGCGTATGTTCGTTCGGAAGGCTTACTGTTCTGGGTGTTGTCATTGATACGCCTTAAGCTGGATGTCTACTGTTCGTAAAGAACGCCTCCAGTACCCGTTGATTCGCAAGAATGGCGATTTACAGCGCGCATCATGGGATGAAGCCATGTTTATTATCGTCAAAAAGACGAAGGATCTACAGAAGCGATTGATAAACCATGGTATAAGCTTTTACGCTTCTGGACAGCTTTTTCTAGAAAGGTACTACGTGCTTGCGAGGATTGGTAAGGCTGGCTTGAACACTTTGCATATGTAATGACCCTAGGCTTGAACCATGATAGAGTCAAGAGCTAAGTCTTTGGCAGGGATGGGAACACTCGTCTTTGTACAGCAGTGCTGCAGCTTCCATGCGGGAGTCATTCGGCTTCGACGGTCAACCTGGGTCATATACTGACATTGACATTACTGATTGTCTGTCCATTGTCGGGCACCATCCCTCGGTAATACAGGCTGTTCTATGGTCGAGGATTTTGGACAGGTTGGAAGCTCCTGATCTTCCAAAACATCGGTGTAGATCCTCGATTGTCAGATACCGCGAAGCGGACGACTGTTCGTTTGGCTCCCTTAAAATGGAACAAATATGGCAGTACTGAACGATATACAACATTTGCTATTTGAAATCGGTGGGATTGATGAGGACTACGTCGCAAAGCACGTGATTGGTATCGACGATTTACCGAAGAGTGTCGAAAAGTACAATCCCAAATATGTGGAAGAAATCACCGGCATTCCAGAAGAAAGCTTAGCAAAGCAGCCTAGATCATTGGTACCATGCTTTCGACTGTCTTACAGGGCGTATATCAGTCCAGTCAAGCTACCGCAAGCGCCTGCCAGGTCAATCATGTTAATCTGCTCTGCGGCTGCATTGGACGACCTGGCCGCGGACTCTATCAAATGAATGGCCAACCTACCGCACAAAGCAACGAGAGGCTGGGTGCGGTGGAGAGTATACAGGACTCAAGAGTTTTGAGATCCCTAACCATATGCAAGAGCTCGCGGAAATCTGGAATGTTGAGTATCACAAGATCCCGCATTGGAATCAGCCTACTCATGTAGAGTCGATACTAAACTTCATCGAGGGCGGAATTATTGAAATCTTTTGGATCAGTGGCACCAAGCCTTTGGTCAGCCTACCGGATCTACCTCGAGCTTGGAAGATCCTCACAAAGGGGAAGGTCTTCATTGTCTGCCAGGATATCTTCATGACAGAATCTACCGCGATAGCAGATGTGGTTTGATGGCCGCGCAATGGGGAGAGAAAACCGGTTGTTTCACCAACGTTGATCGGACTGTACATCTTACTCACGAGGCCGTTGAGCCTCCAGGTGAAGCAAAGTCTGACCTCGAGATCTACCTGGATTTCCCGAAAAGAATGAACTCTAGATGCAAGGATGGTAGCCCACTTACACCATGGACCTAGTCTTCACAAGTCTTGGATGCTTGGAAGCAACTGTTTCATGGACGACCTTGAGACTACAGTGCGATGATTTTTCAAAAATCACCGGAGGTTCAGGCATCCAGTGGCCATGCACAGAACGATACCTTCATGGAAAGACAAGAATTTTCGACGATGGGGTCTTTTTGACCGATATTGATTATTGCGAGAGCCATGGGCACGATCTTGAGACTGGGGCACCCATGACTAAGGATCAGTGTCGAGCAATGAATTGGGCCGGGAGAGCTATTCTAAAAGCTGCTGATTACATTCCCTTGCTGCACTCCCCTGACGCCGAGTACCCTTTGCAGCTTTCAACAGGCCGACAAGTCTACCAATGTCACACCAGGACTAAGACGGGGGGGTCCAAGGTATTGCAGGATGCAGCCCCATCACTTTTCGTTGAATTGAAAAAAAGGCCGCGGCAAAGTTCAATGTCGAGGACGGCGAGATCGTCCTTGTAAGGTCCCGTCACGGCCTGGTAGAACTGCCGGGCTCCATCACCAGGGTCGCCAGAGGCCAAATCTTCACCTCTTCCACTTTGGCTACTTCGACAGACCAGGCGATCGAGCTCGCACAGCAAATGAGCCGACTCAAGTACGTACTTCTCGGCGTGGTTCCTTGCTTCCTCCTTTGTCGCCCATATTTGAGTCTTAAAAGATATCACGGAAGCAAAAGATTCTGTTCAACCCCTCAGATCCTTCACTTAAAGACCAAAGCTGACCCCAGACCCTGCGTAGGACGCCCGTGATCCCATCCCCATGAACCCCATGTCCAAATCCGGCGCCATCCGCATCGAAAAAGGTCCCCGAACCCTACAAAAATCAATCAAAATCCCCACCAAACAAGCCCCAAACCCCCACCATCCAAGAAATCATCGCAAAAAAAGATACCCCAAACGCCCCCCAAACCCGCGACCCCAAGCCCAAGGACCGCGAAAACCACCCCCCCCCCCCCTCGAACCCTGGCTCCGCCCCCCCTCACCTCCTCCCCGCCACCTACACACACACCCACCCATCCGCTGAATCCTCCCCCTCCCCTCCAATCCCCAAAGTCGCCCAAAAACGACGCCGCGGCCCGATGCTCCTCCGCCGCATCACGACCGAAACGCACGCGGGTCGAGCACAAAAAACCTCGAAAGGACGGCCGGCCGGCCTCGGGCGTCTCGAGCCTCTCCTCCGGACCACGAGGGCGCGCGGTCACTCGTCGGGGTGCGGTGCAGGTACGTGTATGATTGCGCGGCGGAGGAAGAGGAAGCCGCGCAGGGGCTGCGGGATGGATGGATGGATGGAGGGGTGGGGTGGGGAAGGGATGGCTGCGAGGGCTGTTGATGGAGGGGGGTTGTGTTGGGGAAAAGGGCGGGGGGTGGGGTGTTTGTGGGTGAGGGGAGGAGGGGAAGGGGAGGGGCTGGGTGGAGGGAGGGAGGGGGGGGGGGGGGGGCTTAGACTATGAAGGGGGCCTGATATCATGAAGACAGATTTATAGTCGTGGCATTCACGTTGCCCAAACACGTTTCGGAAACCATCATCTTGCTGCAAAGCTCATTGTGCATTCCCTCACCCCTTCCCTACTATCCCATCCACCCACCCCGTCATCAGGCACTCTCATCCTCATTCCCCACCCCCCCTCCCTTTTTTCCCCGCTCAAGCAGCAGCCTTAACCTCCTTCTCCACCAACGCCTCCAACCCCTTCTGGTTCGCCCCGACCACCTCGCCCACCTTCTCCCCGCCCCGGAACACGATGAAGGTCGGCATGGCGCGCACGCCCAGCTCCTGCGCCACGTCGGGCAGCTCGTCGACGTCGAGCTTGTAGAAGCGCGCGGCCGGGTACCGGTTGGACATCTTGACGATCTCGGGCGCGATCACTTTGCACGGGCCGCACCAGGTCGCCATCTGTTGGTCGTCAGCGTTGTTGTTCGGTGCTGTCGGTGGTGGTGCTGTGGAGGGGGGAGGTGTTGGATTGGGGGCGTTTTGAAAGGGGGGGAGGGGGTGCGGTAGTGTAGATGGATCTTTGAGGGTTGGACTCTGGGTCGGGAGAAGGGAGCGCGGAGAGAGAAACGGGGAGGTGAGGGGGGTTTTGATGGTATGGAAGTGGACGTACGCAGTCGAGGATCATGAGTGAGGGCTCGGAGAGGGCGGCGTCGAAGTCTGCTTTGCTGGATTTGGAAGAAGATGTTAGCTGGGGAGCAGCAACAGGCGCAATGGGGAATCAAAGGTATGGCGAAGGTGAGGAGGAGTCTGTCTGTAGACGGATGTGGATGGGCGTTGGATGTCTTACGTGGTGAGATTATGGACACCCTTCTCAGTGCTCGTCATCTTGGCTGCTGTCGAGTGGAAGCAGTTGATGTGATGTTTGTTCAAGGGCAACGACGTTGCAAAAGTCTTTCTTGCTGCTGCTGCTGCTGCTGTTGTTGTTGTTGCTGGTGTTTTTGTTGTTGTGAATATAGTTTGTCTGGTTGTGAAGGAGAAGAAGAGTCTCGAGGTTCTAGTAAAGGATGCCAGAATGCCAGCTTTTTATGAGTAAAGTAGGCGAGAGGTAATTAGATAAGCTGGGTGAGGGAGTTGTTCGGAGAGGAAAAATGATTAGATTGATAGGTAATTGTGCTAGGAAGAGGAGAAAGATCGGTGAGATTCTAGAGTTCAAGGATCGAGTATCGGTGACGTAGTGTGGTGTAGTGTGGTGTGATTATGGTGTGGTGTGGTGGGATTGATAATAAAAGGCTTCGACGGGTGGAACGGCTTTTTCTTTCGCGCATTAGTCATCCTTCTACTGTAAAAAGCTTCCATGGTGAATAAGTAGAGATTTGGAATCCTGACTTTGAAAGGGACGACTTGAATACTAAAGTATTAACTTGTTTACGACTACTCATCACCCCGTACTTTTATCATTCCTGCTGCAGTGTTATCTCCAACCCGAGACGCGAGACGGAGACTATCTTGCATTGGCGCCTACTATGATCTTCGGATTGCATTCTTCCCGACCCTCTGCATCTTGAAGATGGACATCTTATCATCACGCACGCTGCAATTACAGGGAATCCATCTCATCAATTTCTTCTTATCAATACATAGATAGATACGTCTCGGAAGAAAATGGCCTCGGGGAATCTCCTGCGCAATTGGCATGGAGACGACCTCGAGTAAGCGAGTGTGATCCTTGCCTTCTCGCACCGCTCCGTGTATGACAAATACTTTTCATGCCCAATCGAATTTGATGCTTTGTATGTTGGCATCCCAAGAAACATAGAGAACAGCCTTTCAGCTTCCTTTCTTTCTCTAGGCTATCGTCATCATCATCATCATCGAACCTCGGCCTCCTTGCAATATTCACGAAGCCGAAGGGCGGTGTAGAGGTGTATGGGATGAGTCTGGACGGCAGGGGCTTCCTCGACCGTCTTCGAATAGCGAGCGAGAGCGATGACGGCCGTTGAAAGCGCGTCAAACGCCCAAAAAACATAATGGGGTATAGTAGCGAGCGAAGCCATTTTTTCCATGCAGACTCCGATACACAAAATTAAAAGATATGAAAATATTTGCTTGTGTGAACAGTATACCACCTTCTTCATTCAGTCAACATCTGACTCCGGAGGGTAGCCAAGCCTTGGCGACGGCATACCCGAAGGACCACCAAGAGGACTTCGCTCCCCCGACGATGCTGACAGCCTCTTCATGTCCGCAGACGACCTCGGCGGCAGGTTCAAAAGCCGTGCACTGCCGGCGCTGATGTGCCGAGCGTGCCCTTTGCCCACATCCACACTGGTCGCTCGCTGAATCGAAGAATATGGGTTCTCAGGGCTCACGGGTGAGTCTCCTGATGGAGATGATTCCCCAGATTCCTCGGCGTTCTGGAAGTCATTGAGGAGACCTTCTCTTGATTTCGCTCGCTTGCCGGGTCCTTGCCGCACGATCGTAGGGTGCTTGCCGACAGCGCCATGCCATTTCCCTTCTTCTTGAGCTATTGCCGCTGGAGCAGGATGGAATACAGATTCATCGTCACTGTCACTACCAAGACGAGCCACAGGGCCCATATATGGCCGTCTCCTTTCCGGTATCTCGGGAGGTGCTTCATCTCGAGCTGGGGTGAGAGTCCCCATGTACTTCTCTTCTTCTGGAGTGCCTGCAAGATCGTCGTCGGATTGTCCGAGTTCTTGAAATTGTTCATGTAGAGATCCGCCACTCTCGCGGAGAGGCTGAGGTTGGGACAATCTCTTGACAGGTCTGCCAGTGAGCCACGACCCTTCAGAGTCGACGGATGCCAGTGACTGAGAGAGAATTGCGCTTGATGGACCTTCTGGGGAGTTGGCGCGGCCGCGAAGGGATGCGTGTCGGCTCAGTGCTACTTCCTCCCGGAAAGCTGGATGAATGTCGGATAACGGTTTACCAGAGGCTGCAGTAGCGCCCACGATGTCTGTACCTCGAGACCCTGGGATATCTGGAAGCGGAGACTGTCTGCTCACTTCCGGAGATTGCATCCGAGAGTCTGGTGGCGAGATGGGTAACTCTGGAAGGTCTTCCCTGAACCTTGACTGGGTACGTATAGGGGTTCCTGACCTTGCCCGGGGTATCCTTGTGAATGCTGAGGGAGGCATCTGCCGGTGTACTGATTCTTTCGAGGTGTTTGAGAATTCCGAAGGAGCCACTCGTCCTCGATCGGTCGAGCCCCTCTTTGCCCTCGTGTCACTGCGGCGGAATATGTTTCTCCAGCTGGTCGAGAAGCGTGCGCTGGTGTCTGAATCTCGCCGATGATCTGGATCCAGGGGCTCGGGTATATCGGGCATATCTGCTGGCGCCAGCTCCGAAAATTGCGATAGGTTGGACGCCTCATGGATGTGACGTGTAGGAGAGGTTGGCGGTGACATGCTAGCGGAAGATAGCCGAACAGCTTTGGCGGTCTCGAGCACTACATCGTCACGATCATCTGGCTCCGGAGTAGGGCCTTCAAGGTGTGACGTTGAAGCTCCCATGACTGGGTCATGGAAGGGATCCTCAATGGGTAGATGTTCCCTCGAAGCATCTTTGAGCCATGACTCAGGTGTCTTGACAGCTTGCTCTCTTGTAGGCTCTTGCAACGTAGTTGCCAGATTTGGGGCAGTAGAGGCTCCTCCAATGCTAAGACCAATATCCTCCTCTTCCCTTGCCCTGTGATTGGGGTTTTCGTCAGCAACATCTCCCTCTCTGCCTCCAGGCTGCCTTTGCTTGTCAGCTCTCCTCTGGAGTCTCCGCTGCAGCTTCTCGTGCTCTGACCTCCTCTTCTTTTCCAAACGCCGTTGTTCTCTCTCCATCAGCTCTCTTATGCTGCCAGCGTCCATATCGTCAGCTAGATCATCGACTCTCTTCTTGGACCGCGTCGCCTCTTCTAATATCATTGGCTGCTTGTCCTTCCTGGTAGATGCCCTCGAAGGCCCCAGGCTACCAGATGCAGATCGTGGATTCTCTGAATAGCGTATGGTTGGCCGTGGAGAAAGCGCGTCGAAAGCGCTGACCTTGAAAGCGTGCTGATCCGAGGCTACTGATAGGGCTGATTGCATAGACTCAGCCATGGGTAATGAGACGTCTGATATTGGTCTGTCGAGATTACGGTTCAGGCCTCCAGGGATCTTCCTGCTATCCCGAGCGAGCATGCCGGGGTTATGGGAAGTTGGACGTTTTGGTATCGGTATAGGCGAGCTCATCGCTTTGATCTCTTGCTCGCGAGCATGGTCATCTGCCTTCCTCTTGCTGGATTTCCGTCTCATGATGCCCCCCTGATCATTGGCGCTTCGTTTGCCGTTTAGTGTTGGTGGTTGCATGACGCTGAACTTCTCTGGCTGCAAGCTGGTGGCCGACATTGGATTCTGGTAGTAATAGGACGGTATATCGCCACGTTCCTGAGGAGGATGTGAGGCCTGTAGATTCGACCTGTTGGCGCCGCCCTTCTCATTGAGCTCATCTTGCCTATGCGCCTGGGGAATGGCAGGAACGGCAGGTATGGCATCGACCTTCTCCGAGGTCCTCTTGGACGACTGATATGATTTCTGAAGTTTGCCTGACGAGCTCCGTCGTCGATTTTGGACCTCCTTTTGACTGGCTTTCCGTCCTAGGGTTGCAACACTTGGATCACTCGTTGCTTGAGTCGGTGCTCTCCTTGCAGGTTCGGATGGTGAGGATTTGGTAGCAGCCATTGCTCGATCTTCTGATTGCTTTAGCTTTCTAGATTTGCGGCCAAAAGGCCAAATTGCCATGTCGCCTTCAGGATCCTTTAGTAGCTCCTCTCCTCCACTGGCTCGCCGCCTTTTGCGACGCCAACATATGAGGGCCGACAGCTTGAGAGATTTGCGGGATAAAAGCGCGAATCAAGTCGCATTGATGGATGTAGATCTGTGGAATGATAACATCTCATGCGCGTGGTAAATTGATGTGGGCCGTGGGGCATACGGTAGAGTACTATCAATGGCGGAAGGTTCACGTCAGAATCGGGTTGCGACCGGATGTGTTGTAAGCGATGTGGTAGCTGAAGTGGATGAAATTCTTGGTGCAAGTAGAGAATGACGTGAAATTGAGACTCGAGGAGTGGAGAAATGGCTCACGACAACAAGACAGTGGTTGTCGGCCGACGGCGCTCTACTCCGGGTTGATCTGATGACATCTGGGTATGCCTGGTTGTGGTAATGATTTTGCTGAAGGCGATTTCTTGGAAGTTTGCACCAAATCGCAGCGGCTTGGCGCCACAACCCTAGCGATTGGCCAGAATTTGAACAAGGGTGTAGCCGATGAACCTGGAGGTCTTCACTAGGTCTTCCCCCCTGGAGCACGCGAGATGAGATTTTCAAATCCTTGTATCACCGCTGTACAAAAACATGCAGGTCGTTCTGTATTTAGCAGAATGATAATGAGATGCAGTATCGACCTGGGGAAAGTCGCGATCTGATTGGTAAAAGATTTACGGGTTCAGGGGTCTGCGTTTTGGCTGGCTTAGCGGGATCATCTCACTTCCCAATTCCCATCTCCTTTATATTCTGGTAGACAGACTATGATACAATAGGATAAAGCAATGAATGATGAATGACATTGTCTAGTACCTAGCCTTTGTTCTAGATCGATAGCGTGCAACACCACTCCGAGACACACTAGCGGTCCAATCGTTTATTACTTTGGAGTAGCTAGCATGGATCAAGCTTCGGAATTCATGAAACATTCAACGTTGAGAAAACAATTATTTTCTCTATCTGTGTCTACCTATCCTGAATCGAGCCTCACACATGCGTCTAATGACTTCTGATGAGGCTTCACCACGCCAAAATAAAAACAACTTCCTTCCTTTCGCGCATGGTATCATTCGTGCCAGTAATGATTCGCCATATGTCCAACGGAAAACGCATCGTTGCCCTTGACCCCCGAACGCCTTCGCTGTAGACAATTGTTGGGTTCGTTGGAGCTCTTCCTAGACCAGCAATGTCTGCCTTATGCAGTCCTGTTAAAATCCTCGCTCCTTGCCGATGCCGTCATGAATGAATAACAAAACTCCTCGCTGATGCTGCCCGCCAGGGATGTAGATGATCCCACAACAGAAACACCTGTGTCGCTATGCCGCCTTGCAATGGAAGGGTAATGGGGTGTACCGGAGGGTGATGTAGATGTGAAGCACGGGAATGGGAATAGACGTGTGAATTGGTGTAGTAGATTTTGGAAACATGTTAAGCGGTGATGATAGTGGTTGTGACGATGATGATGACTGTGGGGGTGGGTGGTGTAGAGGCAAATGTCTTAGATGTGAAGGACCTTGATGCCCATGTCGATGACGGGGGTGTTCTGGTTCTGTTTCTGGGTCGCAGTGTACAGTGCACTGTTTGGATGTGCACCAGCAAGCCGAGCTGCTTTCAGAGATGCAAGTCTGTCGCGTTCATCCCGAGAGATCAGCCGCTTCCTTGGCTTGGCGATCACACGGGGCTTTTGGGGCTTCTCAGCATCGGCATCGTAATCGCCGATGTTCGACTGTACGCTAGAATTGCTAGAGTGTTGAGGAGGCTCGTCGGCCTGCTTCTTGGGTTGAGAGAGCCTCAAGCGGATAGGGCCTGGTTCGGCTTTGGGAGCAGCGGAGTAGTCTGACGCTGATGTGGAGACTGATGCAGATTCGGAGTCTTTGTATGTGGAGTCATTCCGCCAATCCTCTTCTTCGGTCTCATCAGGGTCGTAGGATTTCTCTCCTTTAAGGTTCGTGAGAGCTGCGGAAAGTTGCATGGGATCGGGAGACAGCGTGTTGGCCTCCTTTGTTCGGACGGTAAGATTTTGCTGGGGTTTCCCATGGCCAAGTGGCTGAGGTCGACTGGGACGGCGGTTCTGCTTCTTTGTGGGCTTCTGTTCCATATCCTCATCGCTATCTGCATCACGCTCTATGCTAGAACTGCCGCCGCTGCTTTGAGACGATTCCGGCATGAGACTCGAGACGGCACTGTCAACATTGCCTTTGTAGTCCTGCAAGGCCTTCTCAATGGCAGCACGGTCTGTGAGGAAAGGCAGCGACCGCATGACTTCGTCAACCATCCACGGCTTGACGTAGGTAAAATTGGCGAGCTCTGCGTTCATCTCGGCTTCAGCCTCAGCTGATGGTTTGGCAATGTTGACGTTGGGCGGACCGCTATGAGGACCAACGGCGTTGCGAATGGACGAATAGTGCTCCCATGCCTACGGATCTTGTTAGCTTTAGCCCGGCTTCGGGTTGGTAAGTTACTCACATGGTGAACAATGCACAACATCGGAGCCATCTCTCCTTCCGCTTTCTCACACCTGACATAGTAAAAGAAACGTCCTCCCTCCGAGAAGATCATGATATCCACTTTAAAGGCTTGAGCAAAAGCGATGATCTCCAGGTTGTCCCCATAGACGCCTGTTTTGGCCATTGTCTTCATGTGCTGTTTATAAGCAGCGTCGACTTCTTCGGGAGTAGGTCCAGCGGGAATGGTAGAGGTGGCAAGAGAGCCATGGTTCTTGCGTTTTGGGTTACGACGAGAGCCGCCACCAGGGTGGACGACAAGGAATGACTTGAAGCGGTCGGGGTTATTCTTCATGTACTCGACTGTAGCATCACGAAGTTGCGTGTTGCATGATTGGTCTCCGTAGAGCTGGTCAGAAAGGGCGTTGAATAGGCAATTTCCTGCAGTATTCTCTCAGTTTAGATGCTAGGGAAAGGAGGGCAATGGGTTGGAATTCCTACCATTTCCGACAGTATCAGCAGCGTACAAGCCAATAGCTTTGAGCTCAGGAAATTCGTTTTTGCGTCCCATGATGGGCGTGATGAATGAGTGTAGGTCGAAAGAATGTGTGAGTGGGGTGATATGATAGTGGTGCGTTGTGGGGACTTGTATAGTGGAAAAGTGGGAGCAGGGCAGAGTACGTGGTAAGATGGTAAGGATGAAAGGTCGTGGTTCATGTGAGCGACGGTGGTGGAGGAATAATGAATTAAATTTTAATAGTAATAGAGGGGGTTGGTCTTTTCTCGTCCCAATAGGAATTTCATTCACATGAATGAAGGGGGTTGGTGTATTCCCCAATTCATTCACACGTGAGGCAGCACCAGAGCGTGATGATGAGCCCAGCTGCTTCGGAGTTTGGCTGCTCTTCGCTAAACGTACTTATCCCCTGAAAGCGCTAGCCCGCCCTATGAGGCTGAATAGTACTTCGCAGGTTTTTTATTCAATTCCTGAGGTACTTGATTGACGTAATAAAGTACTTTCAAGACACGATTTTCGTTTGGTGACACTATTATGTGAAAAGCTGACTTGTTTCAGAGTCATTTGTAGAGCTCATTTGAGCGTCTGGTGCAGCTTACACTGTATGCAAGTTGCCACTCCGTAACCCCCTCATTGGCACATGCCGCTTTTGCTTTTCCACACTCGGATTCACTTTCTTGGCATTTGAGTCATTTGTGGATTTTAAAACCATTCAAGAGGCGGCATTTGAGGATATTGATCTAAAACAATGTCAGAAACACGAATTGTCGTAGTTGGGTAAGCCGGTGATGAGAAGATCTATCGCCACACTCGCCACCACAAGACTGACACTGTCCACGAGCATAGTGCAGGAGTAGCAGGTCTAACGACAGCACTTCTGCTGTCTAGAATTGCCAAATACAACATCACTGTGGCTGCAAAGCACATGCCAGGTGATTACGATATAGAATACGCATCTCCGTGGGCTGGTGCAGATTATCTGCCGTCAGTGATACAACCTCTCTTGCCATTCCTGCCGCCTTGCAGTCTCGAATAGTACGGTTATCGCTGACAAGGTTGTAGGGTTTCTGCTCCAGGTACTGAGGCTGCAGAGTGGGACAGAAATACCTGGACAGAGTTGGAAAAGTTAGCCAGGCATTCGCCTGAGGCTGGCGTGCATTTTCAAGGTCTTTGCCCTGGACCGTCCTCCACTCCGTCCGCTGATCTCTTTCAGATGCCTTCAAATATATTCGTAATACAGATTTTGAGGGCAGCGAGGGTTCTGCATTAGGGAAGGCGATGTCTTCAGATCCATGGTACAAAGACATCGTACCAAATGTAAGCATATTCTCGGTATTTTTGATCGGGTATTATTACCGCTTATACCGTTCTCTAGTTTAGGAAAATCCCCAAAAGTCAACTCCCAGCAGGATTTGATGATGGAACCTGCTTCAGATCCGTCTGCATAAACACAGCTATATATCTGCCGTGGCTCACATCAGAGTGCCTTAAAGCAGGGGTTGTCTTGAAGCGCGGAGTATTCGGGCACATTTCTGAGGCGGCACATATGCATCACTCGGGTCAGAAAGCAGAACTAATAGTCAATTGTACAGGGCTTTCAGCCGGTAAAATTGGTGGTGTCGAAGACAAAAGCATGGTACCCGCTCGAGGACAGACAGTGCTCGTCAGGAATGAGGCCATTGGTATTGTTAGTTGTTCTGGAACCGACGACGGCGATGATGAAGTCTGCTACGTTATTCCGAGAGCTGCGGGTAAGATCTTTAAACTCTATCGACAAGAGCATCAGAAGAAATAACACACTGTAGGCGGAGGTACAATACTTGGTGGCTGCTATCAAGAGGGTAACTGGGACTCCCAATTTGACCCGAATTTGGCAAACAGGATCATGAAGCGAGCTGTAGAGCTTTGCCCTTCTCTAACAGACGGCAAAGGAATCGAGCATCTCAGCGTTATTCGTCATGGCGTTGGACTCCGACCAGTTCGTCTCCGTGGTACTCGGATTGAGAAAGAGAAGATCAATGGGGTCTGGGTTGTCCATAATTACGGGCATGGTGGCTATGGGTATCAGTCGTCGTATGGCTGCTCTCAAGCTGCCGTGAAGCTTGTGGGAGAGGCATTAGCTGTCCGAGCAAGACTTTAGATCTGCATTAGCGAATCATTCATCGCTATAAAGATCGTAGAAAAACAACGCGCTCATCATCGATTTTTGAAGAAAGCAATGAGTGAGTGTGCTAATAACCCACGTCTAAGATAATCACCATAAAGGTCTACCAGGCGGGAGTCCCAAGAATCTCAAGTCGTGCTTTAACACTTCATGAGAACCAGCACGAGCCAAAAGCGTGGCGAGGTGAAACGTGAGACTTAGGTTTTTCGAGATTGTTCGTCTGGGTGCTGCGCGTTCTCCACTAATGACTGACAGTTGTTACCGTTATACAGTGAGTATGAAGCAATGAGCAGCGCTGCTCGGCAAACAAGCAATGGCGTTCATTGACTTGCTGAGGCTAGTAGTGCGAACCTCACTGTCAGCCTCCGGGCCGTCTTTGCGGCCCATACCGGTAGTTGATATGTCCCCGATTTTGACTAATCAACATCTGCGTTTCTGAGCCGCCGAGATCTTGAAGCATGAAGTAATTTCTGCAAGCCCATGTTTCGCCACCCGCATACCAGGCCTGCATTTCTTTTTTGGACACCCAGACTCTGAGCTTGCTCCACTGGCAGCCTTTGACGGCTGTTAGTACTCGCGCTCGTTGTTTGAATAAGCTTGTACGTCAATTGCAAGCCTCATCTATGGAATTGACCTACCTTTTTGTGTTTGATCGATGCGAATTATATAACATGTTTTTTATAGGAAACCTCTCTTGTCTTGATCCTTGCTGTTACAACTGTTGTTCAAACCTTCCTCAAATTTTATTGCTGGGATTGATAGGTTGCCAGTCTGGAATTCCATGATCCAGCTTTTATCACTCCTGTCTCTAGCGATGCGTAGCCTGAAGGTACTAAGTAGGATCTTGACCTCTGCAACTCAAACCGCGGCAGCGGCCCTTCCCAATTATATTGGCAATGCGGTTATCCTCTTCATTGGATTTATCTCCGTGCAGGCACCCAAGTTTCATTATGCGAAAAGTTTGGCATCAAAGCTGTACAAAGACAGCTACGCGTAGAGTACATCCGTCAAGATATCAATCAGCGAAGTTTTCCAGCTGAAGAGAACCCTCCCACCTTCTCATTCACCATCCACAACCCATGTATCCCTACCAGAACACAACCATCATTAATTTAGCGTACTGGACAAATGCAGCTTAGGCTTTCTCACGTCTCCTCCGTCACAGCTCTTCCTTTTCAGGGCTGGCGCCGCCACCGCTCCTTAGGAAGACATACTAGGAGACAGCGAAGATAAGTGTGTCTTCTCTTCTACCACATTTCACCTATTCTCATTCATCCCATATTCACTTGGGACTATATCCCATTAATTTGTATCCTGCGAAAAGGCTAAGATTCTTGGCCTATCCCGAACAAGCATTACTGACGTGTGGAGAAAATGCTTAGTGGGGACAATGAAGATGGAGCCGGGTCAGGAATCGATGACGGCGACGGCAAGCCCACCTCCCAATACACAAACCCCGTCTACGTCGACCACATGGGCGCGATGGTGACCTGCTAGACCATAGCAACAGCATCGTCGACACCCAAGATCAAGCCACACTCTTAAAAGGCTGGCTCGCTTACAGTGCACTTACCGCCAACGGCGGAGGACCTTACCTAGCCAGCCTGAGCGAGACGGTGTTCTGCACCAGAGATTCTGGGTATGACGGCTATGCTGGCATCGCTGGCAATACCCCAGCGGATGGACATCAGTACTGCAACAGCTGCTTGACAGAGGGCATCAACAGTGGGGCGGATGATATTTGGTGTCAGGTCAACGACCGGGCGGATGGTGGGACGGCGACTCTCGAAGATCACATGTATCATGGTGGGAACCCTAAAAAGGGTCCCTCGGGTATGTGTACTGTCGACACTCAATGTGCTGGAAGAGGCTGGATGGTCGGATGTTAGATGTTGATTATGGAGGGTATCGGGCAAAATATCCCATCTTTTGTAGCACAAATGGCATCAGCAGTACCTAGATAACGAAACAACGCATGTTATTCTCTGGGTAATTATGGCGATCCTTGATTTCCTCACAGTGATCACAGAGATTTGATACACAAAACAAATAAGCTTACGTGCTGTACTAAGGATATTGTGAGGTTGTACGTGTGCCAAGCCGCGCAAGGCCTTGGCAACTGGCAAGTCCCTGTCTTTGGCGCCCAACCTCCCAGCTTGCTCGCGACAACGTTCAAGAAAGTTTCCAGACATTCTACATAAAGCTGCTCTTCCTTCCTTCCCAGTATCCATATTGCCTGTATCGAATCGACACATTACTACAGCAGACGACCAACGCTTCTCAACCTATCCCCTAACAACTCCGTATGGATCTCTCAAACATCTGTACGTTCCCAGCCTCTTTGAGATGCGATTTGGGCGCGCAAACGCTTTGCGCGACGACATCGCTTCTACGGATCAAATACTAATCTCAAGCTCTTTCTTCGCAGTTCGGCTAGTCAATCTAGCTGTTGGCGGTTTGATGATCCTCGGAGGCATTGGGCAGTTCTTCCCAATTGGATTGTAAGCCTTCATCCCTTGCCTTCTGAGACGCTTTAGCTAATCCTTTGCGATAGCCAAAGTGTTATCGTTGGATGCTATGTTATAATATTCGGAGCCGGTCAGCCCCAAGCAGCTTACCGCTAAAGGCACCCATGCTGACGATTGGTTATCCAGCGACCCTCTTGCTCGAATTTCAGATCCCGCCTTATATGTCGAGATGGGCGCCATTCCTCTTTAGCTTTCTTGGTCGCGGCATATGTGAGTTGGGAATGAGCTTGTCGGCATTGAGAACAGGGTCTGACACGGAGCGCCAGTCTACATCTTTGTCGGAACAATCCTGCTCCAAACATCGGCCATTCGTGTTGTCCCTGGCTCCATAATTGCAATCGTAGGCCTCGGCTATGGCATACTCGAGTACATCCCATCGATTGAACCGCCGCAGAACATGAGAGACGCCAGTGGCGAAGTAAGGCTTTGAACCCTTCCTTCTGAGACACGTCAACTTATTCTTTGCGACAGTGGGGAGCCGAGCAAATATGAGAGTCTCAAAAGGGAGGAACTACATGGAACGGCGAAGGGAAGGAAGAGGATTGCGCTTTGATATATCCGAACTACCTAATCAATATGCCTGTATCTACGGTTGAGAGAGAGAGCCATAACGTAATGGTATTAGCGGTGTGTCTTGGGTGGGATGAAGAATTTTTCTGGGCTGTTCCTGGTGTTGCATGTAGAAGAAGGACTGCCTTTTACCGGAGTCCAACCCATCGCCCGCTGGTCTATGCTTGGTATTGTTCACAATCCTAGTATCCTACACATAGAGCCTCGCCAAGGCGGTAAGGCCAACCTTACCAACACTTTCTATGGACATGTACGTTGACACATTGTTTAATCTTATCACCTAACATGGAATTTTGACCAGAGCATTCGTAGCCAATGAGAGATGGATCAAAGGGATTGATAATGCAATCCGGGGATTTAGTGTGGCTTTAAATTTGCTTCATGCGAATAGGGTAAATGCAAGCGAATCCGATCGGGTGGGTCACCGAAACCCAGGCGCCACTGGTGACCCTCTTCAGGTTCGAGTTTGGCTAGCCGATATAACCCGATATAATGTTCACATTCACTCATCGACCTCCCTTCCAACCTACCTGAGGTACATCTCGACATCTCTACATCTCTACATCACTAAAAGAGGTGACTCCGGAGGTATTCTCGGAAGGAGGAATAGACCAACTCCAGAACCAGATTACTGTATTGATCCTACATAAGGTTCATTCTTTCCCGTCACTTGCAAGATCCGGCAAGCCAAGCTAAGCGTGTAAATCCAGTCTGCCATACGAGGCATCCGTCGCGTGGCCCTCGATAACTCCGAGGTAGTCTTCCCGGATTCTCCGCAATCTTCTACCAACAGCATTCACATACAGCCCAGGCCTGTCACCCTTCCGCTGAACACCTTATCAATCTTCGCTTCAACATCACGACCCACACAAACATACCCTTCTCTTCACCAACATGGCAAGCTAAAAGGCCTCATTGAGGCGCTGGCATAAGAGATGGGTCCGCAAGACACTTCGATACTACAGCAGCAGTACCACCATTTCCCGAGGCAGTCCGACGTTGATTTCGAAGCGGCGGAGCAGCTCCTACAGCATTCGCGAAGGGGCTGGGAGAGCAATGGAGACAGCATGCCTGGCTCGGCGTTGGAACCAGAAGCATCTACAACAAATTTCGCGGAATTAAATGGGGATGGAGGACTAGGGGATGAACCGATTGAGGATGAGAACGGAAACGGAGAGTCTCCCCTACAAGAGCGTCATGCAGACGCACAATATGCCCCCATCAATAATCAACCTCCTCTGGGGCAGGTTTGCAGGTATGCACCAAAATACGCACTCCGAGTGTGAAACTGTTGTCTGCGGTAGGAGGCTAACAAACGATTTTCAGCAATTGCGCCACTACACGCACACCTCTTTGGCGTCGATCGCCAAATGGTTCGACTATGTGCAACGCTTGCGGGTTGTACTCAAAGGCACGGAACATATCTCGACCAACAAGCATGAAGAGGCCTTCTTCAAACCCTGTCTCGGCGCACGGTTCGGAGATGGATCACCAAGAGCCTCAACGAAGTGTCTCCCCGTTGGCTAACGACGTGGGACATCACCACCGATCTACCTACGTAGCAGCGGGTCAGATACCCAAAGGCTCGTGTCCTGGGGGAGGGCATTGCAATGGTGCTGGAGGCGCAGATGGCTGTAACGGCTGTCCAGCGTTCAACAACCGAATTTCAAAAACAACGCAGGTTGCTTATAATCCCGTACCAGGCGCAGCCACCCCAATCGATCATCAGCGAGGCGACGAATCGTACGCTGCAAATACATCCCAAGAGGATATCAGTCCACGACCCTCAATTGCACCAGATACCTCTACAATCGCCCAAAGCACTACAAGTCTTGTACTTTCTTGCCAGAATTGCGGCACAACTATCACGCCTCTCTGGCGGAGAGATGAAAGCGGCCGAACGATATGTAACGCGTGCGGTAAGGGTAACGTTTTGAACACGATCTCAGTAGCTAATTCTTATCAGGGCTCTATCACAAACTTCACGGCGTACATCGACCAGTTGCTATGAAGAAATCCGTTATCAAGCGGAGAAAAAGGGTAGTGCCTGCTACCAACGAGCAAGATCCAAACGCTTCTCAACTCTCAACCTTTCCCGTCTCACCGTCGCCTACTCCACAACATCATGAAAGTCAGGAAGGTCGGGGCAAGCAACGAGCTTTTTCAAGCATGGAAGCCGGACCTCTCAACCTTGACCTTCGCCCAACTCCAGGCCATCTCGATAGTCCAGAAGTCAGAAACAGACAGCGCATTGAGTCTAGCATGGACCCCAATAGTCCTGCGAACCTCACTCTTCGCCAGCACGAGCGTCAGTTAGAACATCAGCACCAATACGACCCACCTCCTATAGGAGTAGATTTCACAGGCTATCAGTTAAACCAACGACAGGATCAGCGACGGCGACCATCGAGCCATCCACAGCAAAACCTTCCCTCTTTATCTAGCATGCATGATTCGTCTATGCATCGTCCTTCCGACCCTGGATCGTATCCTCGATTGAGCCCACTTCCAGGCTCTTCGTCTCGGAAGCGAAGCCATTCCAACACAGACCAAGACAACCCCTCACCATCTACTCCAGAGAGCGGAAGCGCAAAACGTCTAAGCTCCATCTCATCTATCTTGAACCATCCTCAATCTGCGGTTGATGAAATGCCGATCGATCCTAACCTATCCGGCATAGGCCACCAGCAGCAGCAGCCGCCGCCGCTGCATCGACATTCACATCCAGAATCTCAACCGCAACGATATCAACTACCGCCTCCCAACAACGGTCCCAGGCAAAGCACGAGCAGTGATCCGGGTGGGTGGGAGTTGAGAGAGAAAAAAGCAAAGCTGAGGATGGATTTGGAGCAGATGAGGTTAGATCTCAGAGCAAAAGAGCGGGAGCTCGAGGAGCTGGGTGGTGATGGTTGAATGCATTGTACAGACATATTCATGCTCAGGAGATACCATTGGCCATAGATTGGAGCGTCGCATACAAGTCAAGCTTTATTTCTGGAAGCGCTCACAATGCTCCGCTCTAAATGAGGTATCCTACAGACACAGTTTTGATGAAAATCCTTAAGCCGCTGCCGATTTCGGCTTCTTAGTCCCATACTTTGACCGTGCGGTAATGCGATTCCCAACGCCACCCTGTCCATAATGTTAGCCCATCAAATTTGACCAACCACATGAATCTTTCAATACGTAACTCACCAGATCCATTGCTCCTCTAACAAGATGGTACCTCACACCGGGACAATCCTGACTCCTTCCCCCTCTCACCAGCACGACACTATGTTGTTGCACATTGTGCCCTGTATCACGACTCAATCAGCCAAGCATTCCCTCTTTACCATCTCCTCGGAACCCCTCCGCGTCTCCAGTCCCCCCACCACCCCTTTCTCCCTCCCCTTACCCTCCTACCACCACCCGAATAACGAGGAATATTCACGCACCCTCCCCAGGAATATAACAAGTAACAGCCCTCCCACTACTCAGCCTAACCCTCGCCACCTTCCTCTCCGCGGAATTCGGCTTCTTCGGCTTGAAATTGTTGACGACCCTCAAACAGACGCCTTTCATATGCGGTCGGTTTACCAGCGCTGGCGACACGGGATGACGGGCGCGTTGGGGCTGGCGGGGCTTTTTGAGCACTTGCATCAGGGTTGCGGAAAGGGAGGTTGTTGTCGAGAGGGTGCGGTTAGTGATGGTGTTGAATTTCTTGAAAGTTGACGGCAGAGTGGGCCGGAACAGCGAGGGGAGGAGGAATGGGAGGCGTAGGAGGGTGGGCATGGTCGATGGTGGCATGGTTGATGGTGAGAGATGAAGATGGTTGGTGAGAGCAAGTCGAGCGTGATGGGCGCTAGTGGCTGCCAAGATCACACCACAAGGCTGAGCTAGAAGCGCCACCGAGATATCACCCGTCGTCCAAAACTGTTCGAGCAACTTTTACCTCCCGTCTTCTCCAATCGATAGTGTCGGTAACAGTCTCACGGGCCCGCTCTTCCATCTATCAGGTACGAGTACGGCTATTCGCACGGACTTTATATCACTCATGGTAGATGTTCAGGCCTCTTCCCCTTTGGACACAATGGTTAGGGTTGCTACACAAACCTTAGGGTCAATCAGCTTAGTTCAGTTCGCTATACCAATGGCAAGTCGGCGCGGGGCACCGCGACAGTGGAACAACCTGGGACTGCACATCATGATGCCACGTACTCTATGGGTACATTGGTCTCCCGACACTCCGAGCAAAAGCGTGGGAGATGTGTGGGTCTCTTTATCTAATCTTACGGATCGTCGATTTTTCACCAGGCGAGCAAGCCACCCACTTGTGCCACTATGCAACCGGGCCGCACTGAGGTAGAAGAGTACTCCCTGTGCCCAATGAAACGGGTATATTGATTGTACTGCTTGAAGAGCTGACACCCCTTCGATAAAAACTGGTCTCGCACGGTTGTTTTTTTTAGAGGGAGGAAGAGTCTATGGCTTCAAGACTGCCTTCAACACTCAAGAACGACCACGACCGAAAAATGCCTCACACCCTCAAGTATTCCTTTGGGCACCATATCTCAGTTTTACTTCCTGCACGACGGCCTTACAAACACAGCATATTTGATATGCATCAAGGAGGATGCTTCGCACCCCTGGACTTTGGTGACATTAAGTTACTTTTTTGCAAAGTACCTCGCTTCTGATCGGAGACTAATAAACTTCCCAAAAGAGTACGTCGGACCGGGTCGTGTCCCGTGTGACACCTCGAAATGTAAGCCACCAAAGCTTCGACAACATTCACACTCGTCGTGGAGCAGTGAACCTTGCCTGCTCATCAATGATTGTTCACTTTCGATCCGGGATAACCTTGTTTGTCCCGGACAAGATGGGACGAGATTTCACGCTTCCGCCATGGGCTTATACATACTCTAATTATAACCCTGTCGATAGAAGTTGATGCTCTCTATGCTACTGGTAACGCCTTGTGTATGTGCTATGTGCTGACGGCAGCTTTGGGTATAGATCAGCAGTATTCTTCCTAAAATCGAGATTACGATAAGGCTACAAAACGTGTTTGAGTCTCTCTACCTTCCTATCACAGCCTGACAGGCCAGCTAAGAATACCGATTCTCGCAGTCGCAATTCGGGACTCTTGACGGTCTTTCCTTTCCGTAATCGTCCTCTCGAGTCTTACAGCCGCAGTGTACATTGTCGCTCGTTAACTCTAGGGCATCCCGGTCAAGCGAATTTCCGTCCCCACCTAATGAAGAACGCCCTTCCTGCAAATCACATAATTTCTAGCCTTGCATTAGATCCTGATCGTGTAAACCTGCTCTGCATAGCGTTTCTCCAACGAATACCGCTTTTGGCCTTTCGAGAAAGCTCTAGACCAGCTGCAGAACAGTTTGCAGCGCATACTCGCATCCTCTTTCTTACTGGTCATTAGGTCGGCAATTGTGCCGAGAGGCTCCCTTTCCCACGTTGTTGGTAGCCGCCCTGAAAAGCAATGGATCTACAGACTACGGGAGATATGAGGAAAATACGGTTTTTACTGGTCGAAACGAATATATCTGGGCTTCTCAGAAACTCACCCCACACCCTCTAGGAGCAGCTGAATGCACTTTACCTCAAAAATTCCAGATGAAATGCGAGCTAGCAGTTGACCCAATACCTCGCAGTAAAAGTGGGGGGTCTCCCATGTCAACAGACATAAAGGTTCAGTAGCCAGTATGTCTGATTGTATGTTTTTCTTGGCTTCGAGTCGCCTGAATCTCTCCTTCTTCTTGGAAATAAGCACGTGCTCAAGATAGAAGTTGTGGGGCAATACTTTCTCGATTATGTGGCTCCAGTCTGTCACTCTCGTACTCGTTGCAGTACTTCCGGCTTGTGCAATAGGACAAACGGACCAAACAGCTGCAGCATCCCCGTCAACAACAACCACTTCAGCAACAACCACTTCCCCGGGTCATTTCGATGCTGTTACTTCTTTGGGTGGAGTACTCGCTGGAGAGATCTCTTCTTACTTTGCTCAACTTCTCCCGTCTGCCACCTCGCCCCCCACGCCGGACGAGATCAACGAGCCTCTGGACATTATCATCAATGGCAGAGTATATCCTCCAGTCATATATGATGGGAATGTAATCACGTAAGGACGTTACTCTTGTCTCATGGTGGAGAGACTTACGCTGTATGTAGACCTGAAGGCTTCAGTATTGACTGTATCAACTGCGACGTCTTTGGCAACATCAGTCTCTCTGGCGGTGGCAAAATCCCTAACGACCCATTCCCCGGCAGCCAAATCCCGACCCCCACCGATGTCCTTGAAATGCACCCCGACTTCGACTTCTCAGGTCTCTGGGTGGGTGCAACATTCGATGCATTAAGCGCTCATTTCGACTTGACCGTCAACCTAACTGCATTCAACCAAACGTCCAACCAGACGAACGAATTCCTTATACCTTTACCTTCGAAAACTTTCACGAAAAGTGTATGTGCTCGCCGTTTGCCCAGATGGTTCTTGGCTTATTCTACAGATTGGTGATTTGACTATCACGGCTACTCTTAATCCGGAAATTTATGGATGGATCAATACCACAAATAATGTCAGCTTTACATACGGCTTCGATTTCGAGGTAAGTGAGTTGTACAAACTTTGAAGACCAAGACTAGATCATTTTGGCATAGATTCCGCCCGGCTCTGAGCTGCTTCTTCCGTTGGAATCTCTCAATCAGTCGATATCTCTTGGATTGTAAGCATCCTATTCTCGAGTGAATATCTTCAAACAAGCTAATGGTACCAGCAACAAATCGACACTTACTCCAATCCCTTTTACATCTTCAACAAAAGATCTGAACATTGGCGTTGAGTTCTCCTTCCGCCCCTCTGTCAATTTCGTCGCCTCTATAGGTGGGCTTCCTGTCTCCCTACAAGTTGCCGTGACCCTCGACATTCCCAAACTCGACGCCACAATCATGCAAGTCCACAACGTCACCGTCTCCTGTGACCCTGCCCCAGCATCCCTCCCTGCGGATCAAGTCTACCAAAACCTCACTCTGGTCGTCCCGTCGATCGGGGTCGACGCGCTGGAAGTCTTTCAAGAGGCATTGAACCTCATCCTCGTGAAACCCTCGGACACCCAGCCGTTCTCGCAGAATTACTCCACCAGCCTCCCGACCGCGTGCTACGCCTTCAGTAGGGCCGAGAAGACGTTGATTGCCGCAGCCCAAAGCAAGCCTTCGGACACTTCGTCCGCAACGAGCACCCAGGTTCCGCTGTCGGTGATTTCCATGGCAGTGATTCTGGCGGTCTTCATGGCGATCTAATGGCTGAGTGTCACAGATGGAGGTGGTGTCGGTGCGATTGATCAGGGCTGCTGTCGCTGGGTAGGGGCATTAGGGCCTCTGTTGTGACTATGGTGGATGTCCGAGTAACGAAAACATTATAATGGTTCCATATCTTTGAGCAGTCCCCGTCGGGCGAGCGATGGATCGTCTTCGAGGCACACTGTCTCTACCTTTGTACTTAGACGGTTCCCGCTGTGGCCTGAGGTCTCCGGACAGGATACCCCTCTTGCGAAGAACTGTGGATTGACAATTAATGATTTTGGTATGAAAGATCCCGCTGCCGCATGATATTCTGCCACGAGTCCCGTTGTTGCAAAATAATCGTATTGCGAAGTGGAAGGTTTTTTTTTCGTCCGGAGACTGAACTACTCCCCTCCCCCCCCCCAAAAACCCAGCGAGCACATTCTGGTCCCAGGTTGGCATTGTAGGAGAGGTGGTGGGTCAGAAAGTCGTAAGAAAGTCGTAGGGATGGATTGGCTAGGCTGCATGTTTAGGGCGAATCATAGTGACGGGCATAGGCAAGACAGGCCTGTAGGGGAGGAGCGGGCGGTTGCATGAACGACCATGTGTGTAAGCGGTTCATCTGGTCTTGTAAAAAGAACCCGAGTTCTTCTTCTACGTCTATATGGTTGTATCTATTTTTCGACTCTAGCGGTGATGTTGACCAAATAATTATGCAAAAACGATGGTGGGTTTCTCTCCAATATGCACGAGCTCGGATGCTCTCGGTTAAGACCTTAAGAAGGGCCCCCACGCTATTTAGTTCTTCTCTTTGGCTTTCTCTGCGCTTTCGGCTGCCAGCTCTTTGACGCTGGTCTTTCCTTCACTGTTGGTTTGGGCGGTAAGTAACCAGGCTTTTGTGGTCACAGGTGGGATACAGCTTACAATATGGCCTTTGTGGTTGCGAGGATTGATTGCCAGTCCTCGAAGACCGTGAAAGGAACACCTTCTCGCTCGCAGTATGTGATGAGATCTGAGGCCAAGTCAGTCAAATCCGGGAAATAGCAATTGATTGAGCGGTCAGCTCACCGTGGCCCTTCTTGGCAAATAGCAGATCGGTCTCCCTTGCTGCCGATAGATCTGATACTCCATCTCCAGCATAGAACATGGTCGGTCGTGGCTCGTTGGGATTGTCCTCGAAATACTTGGCATAGGGTCGGATGGTCAGAGACTTGTCGTGACCGAAGCCACTTTCATCATGGAACTTTATTTGCCAGCCGGCTTCCTCTGCCATTTTCTTTGGGGGCCTATCCGCAACCTCATTGCTCACGATCTCAATGTCATTACCTTCTGGACCGATCAGATGAACGAGAAGAGCTCGAATGATTGGTGTCATGCCCGAAGAGAGGACAATGACTGGGACACCATTCTCTCTCGACCATTTGTAGAAGTCGTTGAAGTATGGGTCGAGTTTGATGTTGTCGCAAAGTGCTTTGATGCAGTCAGGGAAAGGCGTTTTGACGCTGTCCATCATGGCTCTGAAGGAATCCCTGGAGTGCTAATCAGCCCATCAGATATCCTCTCCTTTTCAAGGTTGCGATGCATACCGAAAGGTGTCTTTTCCCTCCAGGACTTCCTTATTTCCCTGCCGGCGACGGTCCCCACCAAAGCCAAGATTGTCGGTCTGAAGGTCATATGAGCGGGATGGGCTGGAAGGATACTAGGACGGCATCTACCATCCAGTCATTGCTATCATGAAGGGTGATTGTGCCTGTTTTTTGGTCAGCCATTGCCAATTCCACGTTCCTTGAATGAATGGACTGCACCATCAAAATCGGTGAAGAAGATGCACTTGGGCTTTGCTTCCAACGTCTGAGGGAAAGGCATCTTGGAATCGACCCTATCAACGAACAGTCACAACGATGGAGTCCTCAACCGAATGCTGCGGAATTGATCAATGCTAAGGTAAATTACTCTTACAGTATACATTCCGCTGGACTTTTCGCACCAAGCTTTGGCGCGAAAAGCGGGGCATCAGCTCGTGCCAAGCTCGCCAAGGCACTGTTTACACTCCCCGCTCTCTCCGCATACTTTCCACGAGTCATCATTTCGAATCGTTACTCGTGTCAAACTTTTCCCACTTTCATCAAGCTTCTGTCAAGTATCTTGTCTTTGACACTCTGTGGCTTCAAGCATGTCGTTCAACGCTTTGCCAAACGAGCTGATCTATCAGATATCACAGCGAGTCCAACCAGCAGATCTCGAGAACTACGGTCGAACAAGTCATCGCGTCAAAGAAATCGCAGCGCCTATCCAGCAGGAACACAGGCAACTAAAAGCGGAGTATACAAAGATCAATGTCAACCATGTCGCCGCCGCAAATATGCTGTACGAGATGTGTGCGCGGCCGTGGATCGCGCTCTATCCCGAGTCGGTAGAACTTCGAGGCCACAGAAGCTGGAGGAACTTTGAAGGGCCTCGCAACAAAGAGAGGACGGCGTTGGTGGCAGAAGTTATTCGCAAGAGAAGCCTTGTGGAGGAGGCTGACTTGAGGGATATTCTCCGCCGAACCAGACTCATACCGGCACATGAGGTGGATGGATGGCTGGAAAAGATCAATATAGGCGATGAAGACTATCTATTCGCTCTCATGCTTGCCTGTCTCCCGAACATTCGAAGGCTCACGATTCGGTTGGACCACACGAAATTAGAGCAAGTGAAGGAGATGATACGATTGATCAAACGGCAATCCCTCGATGTCCACGGTGACAGAGCTCTGTCAAAGCTCAAGGCTGTATACGTATTGGAGAAGGACACTTCTGAGAACGGCGTCTGCGATCTGGAGATGTTCCCTCTGCTCGCCTCACTACCGGGCATACAATCCATGCATGGCCGCAACCTGGTCGGAATGTACCGAGACTGCTATCGAGATGGTTGGCTTGATTACCCTGGCGCGAGCCCGACTATTGAGCATATATTCTTGGAGACCTGCGGCATGAGTGTGGAAGGGCTCGAGAAGCTTTGCAATAGTATCGAAGCATTGCGAAGCTTCAAGTACATTGCGCATCGTGCAGGATGGGGACTGCACCGTATCAGTGATTTGCTGAAAAATGCAAGAGGTACATTGGAGGAACTAGTTCTATCTACCGGTTCTGGGCAGAGTCGGTTCATTGGCACTTTGAGAGGCTTCACGGCGCTGAAATATGTCAAGGTTGACACTGACATGCTCTTCCAACGGGGCAAGATGTCAAGGGCAGTGGACATTCTTCCGGCTTCGATTGAGACAGCAACGATCGCGGGCAACAGTTTGACTCGTCCACACGAGGAACAATTCCTGTCCGATCTCTATCGTCCCAGTTTCTCGTACCCGAACCTGCGGAAATTACAAGTGGATGACAGTTGGGGGCACAGGGACATTGGGAAAGACCGCCTGAAGTTCCAGAAAGAGTTTCACAAACAGACGTCTTCCTCGTGGATGCTCCGCTATAGGTAACTTCATTTTGGGAGTTTAAGGTGTTTGGAAAATGGTCTTTTTGCGAAGGTAATTGTGTCATTGTGCTTATATGATCTGGGTTGCTCAGTAAGCATCTAGGGTATCGACTAGACTTGGTGGGACAAAATCTGGGCTTTCCACTCTTTACCATTTGGTACTCCTTCCTCCTGCCAGTGGACGCTTGGACGTCATACATTATAGCACACAAGAGCCCATTAAGTTCGAATTTCCCGAGCCTTTCTGCGCACACGTGTTCCTCCATCCGGGCGACTGTTCCTCAGGACACTGTGGTCTTAGGTCTTTTCGCGCTTGTTTTCGGACAATATGGATGACCAAGGCCCGCTTGTCTATGTGTTTCGCCGTGCTAATCGGTGCCACATTCATCAGATGTACAACGCATTCCTCGAAAAGTGTGAGGTGCTCGTCCCGTGCTTGCTGCCAGTCTGGACGCTTTACCTCCGTGAGCTCCTTCTCGATTCTCGAAGATGACGTCGGCCCTTGAACTTGACGTAATGCAAGAAGTGCGTTAGAACGGTACTTTTCACTTCGTCCTGGATCATTCTCTGCTTGGCCCTTTTGAATCTTTCGGCTTCTGCTGGCAACTCTGTGCGCGGAAAATCTTCTAGGATCATCTTCTCTGCCTCTTCAAGGCGCCGGCAAGTCATGGAGAGCCTCACGACTTCTTTGTTGGCTCCCATCGCACCAAGACAATAGACACTATGGAAAATTTTGATGGTCTAGCTTTGCTTGGAGAAGAGGCCTCGGGCATACAAAGCTGCCATGATCAGGTGCAGAACTCGTTGAGACGGTCAAAAGCATCTTCGCAGATTGCCCGGTCCTTCCATCCGACTACACTTTCCGCGGCGATCCAGACCCTTCTAGATGTCGTTGACTAGGACCCTCAGCCTCTTCCATGCTGTGCTTTTTGATTTTCGTTGGCATACGAAAAGGTTGAGGGCCGATGATGGGAAGATATGTCGCTTAAGAATGGAAGGCAGTTGGGTTGATGAGCTGGGAAGGAGCAGAAGTATGCTGATCTTAGATGGTTTCTTGAGTGCCTGAAAGTTCATCTATGCCGTTCAGCACGTAGTGAACGGTAAACAGACATGGTTGAACATTTAGGGTCAAAGGCATTAGTCCACTCAGTAGGGATCACTGTGACCAAGACTTAGTGCACTGTTTGATCCCTTGTGTGTTTTCCCTGCGTAAGCCCTAATTTTTGAACCGGACCTTCTCCTCAATATCCATCTCTTCAGATCGATTGGCACAAATCGCGGCAAGATATGACCCATGACCCTCTCCGCGATTCCTCTACGCGTAAGCCTATGTTCTGCGCGTGTCTTGCGCCGCCTAAAATCTCAATGCAACAATTCGTAAGCCGAGCCTCAGCCCAAGCTCGATCATGGCTATACCGAATACCGAATACCGACCATCGAGCATCCATCCCCCGCAACGAAGTCAGGATTGCACTTCTCTCTCAACGCAATGATTTTTACCACCATTGAGATCAACGCACCGCCCTCGAAAGTCAGGAGCGTGGTACGTCCCACGAGCCTCCTCTGCCTTCCCTATCACCTCGCACACTAACACCCACCACCCCTACCAGCTCCTCGACTTCCCCAACCTCCGCACCTACCACACCGGCCTCTTCAAAGGCATCACCCCTCTCGACCCCTCCTACCCCGACCCCTCCGCCCTCGCCCCCGGCAACACGCTCCTCCTCGAGATAGGCCCGCCGTTCACCGGCACCATCACGCAGAACACGCCCGACTGCTTCGAATGGAAGGGACCGCCCAACTACGGCATCCTGTCGGGCAAGCACACGTTCACGTTTGAGGAGAGCGAGGTGACCCCGGGGGGCACGACGTTGGGTCAGAGTGAGGAGTTTGCGGGTGTCTTGTTTTGGGCGATGAGTCCGTGGCTGATGGGGAGGATACTGAAGACGGCGTATGAGGGGTTCAATGAGGATTTGAAGAGGGGCGTTGAAGGGACGACGGAGGGTGCGAAGTTGTAGGGCTTGTCTCGTGTGAGACACGGCACGTGGTGGTGCCTAGAAGCCAGCCGTTTCTCGGTTTCTCCCACACTAGAGGAGATATCCCTCGGTGATTTCTTTGTAGCAACTTTAAGGATCAACGAAGTTTAACCCCATATCTCTGCGGAAATATTCTTGAGCTGTAGACCCTACTTAGACAGCCAGCTTTATAGAAGATGAATTACGAGCAGTTCAGTCCTGTACCTTGTTGGATTAATAGCTGCCACCCTTCGCAGTGCTTGCTCCGGATCCCCAGCCCCTTCGGCGATCTATGCACTGGGATCTAGCCAATGCCTCTCTTTGAATTCAGGCTCTAATATGATGGACAACCAGAGCTGTCTGGCTTTAGCAAGCCGCCAGTGGAGCATCTAGAGGCAATTGCGAGCTACGTTATTCTTCCTCGCACCTCCTCACAGCCACAGCAGTCGTCGTCTAGCCACGACAACTCTCTTGTTCCGTTACAGAGGGAGTAAGCTAATTTTCTCTGTCCTGGGTATGAAAAGATCACTAGACCAAATCATCTGAAGTCTCTGTGTCTCTTTTTTTTGAGGACGTTTCTGCAGTAGCAACGAGCCGAATGTATCGAGACATCGAGCCCAGATGTCGTTCAGACGATCTAGACTCTGCCACTTTCCTAAATTGAAAACGAAGCCTCTCTCATGTGCACTTTGTGACCGTCGGAAGTTCTTGAACGAAGAAGCTCCGGCTAGCAAGGCTCTAGGCCAATTCTCCACGCAATACCGGAAGATTCCTTCACAAATTTCAACTACTGCTTTTACAGCCTGGGTGGTCGTCCAGAAGCAGGAGATCTGCTTTATCTCTGGAGGCATCAGAGGAGCCTGCGGAACCTCGAGATTCAACCCTTGAGCCAATTATTCCGATGTGAAAGGGATGCTCCAGGGTGGAAGACACAACAGTCACTCGATACGATTAGGGATTTCAAAATCAACCCTGGAAATGATAGTAACACAGAGTTGTTGCCAGCTTTGTTAGAAACTGTTAATCTAGAAGCGCTGCGTACATCAAGTTTCGCAAGGTTTGAGGTAAGGGGCTCCCACGCAGACGTCCCACGTTGACTCGGGTTCTCGAAAGCCTGCTGAATCGTCTTCCTCGAACGTTGAACAATTTGGAACTCGGTGCGTGGGCATGGCACCGACTTTGGCTTCCATACGTCGACTTACCTTCGAAAATATTTGCCATCCGATGGTACCTAGGTAAAGCAGACGTAGAGTCTTCGGTGTTGGTTGACTTCATTCGACGGAATCAGGGTCTAGAAGTATCATGGATCTATTATCCCTTTCCCAATGAGATTATGAACCGTTGGCTACGACAATCGCCACGAACAGGTAGAGCATGAGATCGCTATATAACAATACGCAAGCTCCACCTTATGAAACCTACCTAGCCTCGTCTCCGCACCTTGAAGAGCTGACTTTGAACATTTTTGGTCCGAGGACAGTCGAGCACTGCGTGGAAAAACAGACATCCTTGAGCTGACGAAGACAGGTGGTTCTTACAGGGTTGCCAAAAAGAAAGAGATCCTGAGTCTCAGGTAGTTACCTCACCAGTAGGGCTTATCTTCGTCAAAGGTCCTCGGCTTGCCACTAATTGCACAGTTGCGTCCATGGTTTCATCCTCCATATTCAGCTTCTTCCATCTCCACACATTCATTATCATAAATAGATACGGTTCCGAATTCCTGCCACTTCCCAAGAAAACAGCTCCGAAACAGAAAGCAGCGGATACGTTCCTCGGATACGTACGCCGAGGTCTGGCGTATCAAGCCGGTCCAGATATGTGACTGACGGTGCGCTCGCGAGCAGCAATTGTAACCAGTCAGAGACGGTGGAGGCGGTATGTTCCAAGGAAAGGAGGAGTTTTGACGACTCGGAGATGAAGCGATCTCTCTCCGTCCGCTTCCCACACGAGATTCAAGACATGACCGTCGAAGATCCTCTGTGAAACAAAACAGGAGACCTCGGCATCCACCAAGAATCCAACGCTCTAGGCGAAGAGGCCTTGAGGCGTATCAGCCAGGAAGCGATCCGCAGAACCTACAACGGCGGTCCTGATCACGCGAATGCCAACCTTCTCGAAGCCCGCGAATCCAGAGGAATCCGCGGTGTCAAATTCCGCTTCCGTTCCCATATGTCTAGCCGCCTCTTCGAGAACCCTGCCCACCATAACCGAATTCCAAAGAGGACTGCGCCTAGTCGCGCTTTCTAAAAGTACTTTTGGTAATGCTTCATGATAGTCATGCTGCAATGAATTTCTTCGGTCCAAAGAATTCCTTTGATGCTTGCGTTTTGAAACAATGGTTGGAGATGCAACAGGCCGTATCGAAATCATTAAGACATAAAAGATTGTGATTGAAACAGAATGAAAGTGAAAACTAATACCCATATCCGCGAAGGACTTGCCACCAACTGTCCGAAATTCTGATCTTTCAAGCTTCCCCTACGTAGCAAGGAGAAAGGAAAGGAAGGAAGCAAGGAAAGGAAGAAGGCAAGCAAGGCCCATACATGGCGTCAATTCCCCCACCCCCTGTCTTTACCGCCCGCGCTCTGAGCTCTCTGACTGATCCCTCCACTGCACATCGGAATCACAAACGCTCATCCTCTCCGCGATCCTATACCTGACTCTGAAGATTTCCTGTCCGATGGGGTCCGATGCCTATCCTCCGGCTACTGCAACCCCTCACGGCCTCTCTACGTATAGATAGCCTCGATAGATACATCAACAAACACGGCACTTAGTCAGTCAAGCTCGGGCCCCGGCGCGTTCCGGCTCTATCTGGATGGCCTTTCTATGGTCTATTTATCTTCCTGAGTCGGGGATCAGTGTCGTCTCGGGGATTTGGAAGGATATGGAGACAGGGTCAAGAGTTCAAGAATATGTTAGCTCGTGTTTGACGTTGGGGGACTCGAAGTCGATGTGATGTTCTATAAGCGTATATATGTACGTCAAAAAGCCTTTCAGTCTAGCTGGAGCGGTTCGGAGGAGCTGAGGCTCAAACAAGCTATTATATAAGGGTGGAACGGAGTGATATGTCAACTCCCCGCGTCCCTGTAGTTGTCGTGGCTGATTTGGAAAGATGAGAATCCTGCTAGACGATTTCTCCAGTAGTCCTCACTGATCAAGTTCCACGCTTAGAGCAAAGATGCAGCATCAACCAGGTGATTCAAGAGCATCCATTGCGCCTCTCCCACTTCACTCGCGCTGGTTCCTTGGGGCCAGAAAATAATGACTGGACAAGCGTTCGCCAAAACCGCATAACGGGCACAAAGCGGCCACTCACCGAGTAATCCGTAGCTACAACGCCCTCCTTACCATCTTCATTCCTCAACCTGAACTCCCGCACCATAACAATCAGAACAATACTCAACTGCAAATACGCAAACTGCTCGCCAATACACCTATGCCTGCCCGCGCCAAAGGGCAGGTACGTGCTATCGGCTCCGGTAGACAAGAGACCGTATCCGTAATCCATCTTCTCTCTCTCCCCGTCCTTCGGATCCGCCATGCTTTCCCATCGGTGCGGATCCCACAATTCTGCGTTGGGGAAGTACTGGTCGCTCTTTCCCATAGTTGCAGGCGCAGCGAGGAGTAGATGCGAGGGCCGGACCACCCAGTTGGTGCGTGCAACCGGATACAAGTTCCTAAGTTTCCGTATGGAGTGGATTGGAGGATGGAGGCCGATGGTTTTGTGTATTACGTGCAGTGCTTAGGGGGACTTTTTGGACGTTGCTGTTGGTCAGAGCAGTGTCACTTAGATCGTGCAGCTGCTCTTGGTAAAGCTCCTTTGTGATCTCTGGTTGCGCTGCGAGTTGGAGGTTTATCCACGAATTCGTGACGGAGGATCAGTGCTGCCTTGCCGTCAACAGGCCTATCTATTAGGTGTAGCGTCTTTGTAGACACTGGTCATCAAGTTCCAAAACATTTCTTCGCTGTCCTTTCTTTCCGCTTCGAGCGTCTTGCTGTAATGATGCCGGTGTAGATTTGGATTATCTTTCTCTGAGCTATATCTCGGAGATTGGTGGGCCGGAAGCCGTCGTCCAAATCGTGGTATAAGTCTCCGAACGTGGTCTCAAGCTTTTCACGGAGCTCTTTTTCTTGCAAGGATCTAGAAGCGGTAGTGAGGGTGATTTGATTCAAGATTCGAGGCAGTTGAACGCTGCCGCTCGAGTCCCTGAAGTGGGCGGTCCGATTGATGAAGGAGCGGATCACGTCTTTCATGAGTGAAACATCGGAGCGGAGAGTCTTAGAGATCAGGCCGAACTTCATGAATTAGTGAGGAGGATTAGAAGAGCTCTTGGGAAGGTCGTTGTGTAGCATACTTTCTCTGCTCTATGAACTTTGCATCTCACACATCGTAGACAAACTCCTTGTTAAAGACGGGCGTCGTCAAGACCGAGTTTATCTCTTCAGCGTTCACGTCTTTGAGATCTCCGCTCAAGATGAATTGGTTGCAACTTGACCAAAGGTAGATAGTATTACTCCTACGAAGAAAGATCAGTGTGAGAGTATCTCTATACTTGGCAATCAGTGTTAGTATTCACGTATCGAGGTTCGCCAGCACATTATGGGCAATGCAAACATGCACCTTGGCCTTGCATTTAAAGATAAGCTTTGAAAGCATCGATGCCGTATTCTACAGTACTGCCAATCATTGGTAGCCAGTGGAACACCACGGGCGGTTCATCTGGGGTTTGAGTAGTGTAGAGTATGCTGAAAAATGTTTACCAGAACCACAAGGACTCAGATGCAAGCGAGTGCAGCGACAATGCTCCAGGCGTGCACAGGGACGATGCCTCCGGAGTGAATGATGCCATGTTGATGACTCTAGTAGAAGTCAGACCGGATGAAACCAGTCTGTACCTCCCTTGCGAGGACTAGCACGTACTGTATCCGAGGTATCTTCTTAGCTTTCGAATGCACGAGACCGAAAGGAACCTAGCTTACTACCTTCTACCGCTCAGAGGAAGTCAAGAGGAGATTTCAGAGTACCTACTTCCTGGGTTAATGGCCCCCAAATTGGGCTCAGGTCAGGCGCACTTCCAAAGCAGATGTAAGCGCATTTGGGCCTGATAGCCCTAGGGTTTGCAGATACCGTCTAGCGCGGGTTACAGCTCGGTAGGGGTGAAAAAAAGTTCGGCAAGGGTGAAGCTTCGGCATATACTCGCTTCACCTCGAATAAACTTATAGCATATACTGAACGTATTCGTTTCACCTCGAATAAACTCGGGCCGAGTCTAAAATAATATCGATACTATAAAGAGAAATAAAGGTATATACTAAATATATACTATTAACTTCTAAATTTCTAATCACTATAAGAATTAATTCTCTATTATAATTCTCTACTATTAATAGTTATAATAGATAAATTATAATATATCTATATATACTAAGTATCAGCTCCGTATATTCTATATATAGAGATTTCTATATCTCGCACACGTAAAAATCGCTAAATTAAATTTAATTTTCTTCACCTCCGATAAGGTGCTAGTATATACTAAGTATATCCCTTTCACTCCGAACAAGGTGCATATACTTAGCATCTACTCACCCCTGCCGAACTTTTTTTTACCTCTACCGAGCTGTAAGCCCTAGCGCGGGTTATAGCTCGATAGAGATGAAAAAAAGTTCGGCAGAAATAAAGCTTCGGCATATACTCGCTTCACCTTAAATAAACTTATAGCATATACTAAACGTATTCATTTCATCTCGAATAAACTCGAGTCGAGTCTAAAATAATATCGATATTATAGAGAGAAGTAAAGGTATATACTAGGTATATACTATTAACTTCTAAATTTTTAATCACTATAAGAATTAATTCTTTATTATAATTCTCTACTATTAATAATTATAATAGATAAATTATAATATATCTACATATACTAAACATCAGCTCCGCATATTCTATATATGAGGATTCCTATATCTCGCACACGTAAAAATCGCTAAACTGAATTTAATTTTCTTCACCCCCGATAAGGTGCTGACATATACTGAGTATATTTCTTTCACCCCGGACGAGGTGCATATACTTAGCATCTACTCACCCCTACCGAACTTTTTTTCACCCCTGCCGAGCTGTGAGCCCCGTATAGCGGGGCGAGCGGGGGGCCGCCTTCCGAAAATAAGGTAAGTAGCATTAGGGCTGCTGCTAGCGGTGTTCTGAGCGTTCAGTGCAAACCTCTGTACTACATAGTACCAATATTACGATTACAATGAAAACACGGGGGAAAAAGAGGGACTTCCAGGGAACCCCTAATCGTGACACACACTCGGCTCCGGAATTGCAGCGAGGTAAGTGCGCCGCACAATTAACGCATAATTCAATGCCCGCTTTACCGCAGGCTGAAACATTTCCCCTTTTCTGCGCAGCACCACAGTGTAGTCAGCAGTCTGCTTGGCACAGGCAACTGTAATTACTATCTATGAGCGACAAGGATCTGAGTCCAGGTAAAATGCACGACAATGCGCCTGATTGGACATCCGCCATCTCCCCACAATCACCATCCACAAGGAAGCACTACCCGGAGCGCGTCTTCCGCAGTTGCCGAACTTGGGCTTCCTACGAAAGGACGAGCACCCAAGATGAAGCAGAGCCGATTCAGTGGCAGCGCATGGTGGAAGGTACCCCGGCAGTCGAACACCCTTCGCACTGGCTATTGGGATATCATGAGCTGTTTTCGCACGGATACCGCCATGTCCATTGGCCAGTCGAAAATGCATTCCGAGAGCGATTCTTGTGCGGTATAGCAAGTCGCCGTGCGAGACGACGTGTTGGGATTCCCATGCTACAAGCCCTTAGACATGTTCCTTTCATCCGATACATATTGACAGATGTTTGGTTCGAGGCGGTCCCGGCGCGTTGTGCGGTTTCTCTGATTTATGAAAGCAAGCTATATACATGATTGACCGAACGACTTATTTCTTTTTGCCAGATAAGTCTACCATTAAACAAACGTTATCTGCTATAGAAGACATCTCAGACGTTTCTTGCGCAGTCCAACCCGGTACCCGAAATGAATATTTCAATCCAGCCGTTCCATTATCTCTCGATCTCACTTGGTAAAGCAGCTCCGCTCTAGTCAAGATGGAAAAGACTCCTACGTTTGACCACGCGGGATGTCAACTTGTGGGCCTCTACGAACCTGGTTGGGGGACGTGGGCACTGGCGGGCAGATCTCGAGGTCCCGTGTAGCTGGGAGCATCCCGGACTGTAGCCAATAGTACGACTACCATGAACCACAGCTCTCTTTTCATACAGTTCCCCTGTACGGATAATCTATATAATGCAGCGTTGACGGCACCTTGGGAAGGAGCAGGAAGAGTCGTAGGGAGGTTTAGCAAGTTTTACACAACGTTTTACACTTCTCCATGCGCGTATGTCCTACTATGTTGCCAACGCGAAGGAGTTTGATCACCTTATCGATCTCAACGGCCCTTTCGAAGTCCACCTACAACTTCGCAGCACTATGATAACTTCCCTTTGTGTTAAAGATCTCGAAGTCTCGGGACGTTGCTGCCTAGAATTCAATATCCTTTAGAAAATGGAATCTCGACTTCAAAGCTGGGAGAGTCTACGAACGATCTATCTCTGCATGCGTGCGGGTGAAGAGATTGGGTACATAGAATATCTATTCTATTTACCCGCGTTTGAGTCTCCCATTGAACCAATCTGAAAATCAAAGTATAACACTATCTTCCAAGTAAAGCAAATGAAGTCATACGTTCTCCATACCCATGTTGTCCCACGGTGATTATCACGTACCGAAGTCATTCCACCACACCTACCCAAGTCACCTTCTGCCCCATCAAGCCTCTTGCAGCCGCAGCGGACCAATGCGGCTGGCCAGCAGCCAAACCCCCGTCTCCTTTTCCCAAACTCATTGCCGGCCTTGTAGAATCGAAGGTGACAGTGATCATACTCAGTGTAGAATTTGTATCACGCCATTTACCCGGAAATTCGAGCCTCAGACCCTAGGGTTCCCCACCTGTGAAGCATTCGCGGCGAACAAGTCATGGCATCGCAGACTCAGCAAAGCTGCGGCAACGGCCGAACGTCTAGCATCATAAGTACGCACGTTGGAGCAGATTTAAAGAAGGCGTTGACATCAAGGAGTCCATCAGTTTTCAAATGTACTTTTCTTTCTCAAGGACCGGCCAGTAGCTCGTTAAAGAAGCTCGATGAAACTAAATCTGGAATGAGGCTTTTTTTTGACATGTACCACATTGTAGAACATTAAAACGCACTGCAAGCCATTAACTTGCCGGAGGAAGAACCGAATTCATCCCTGAACAGCCTGTTGCTGTCTCACCTCACCCTCCTTATCTACAGGGCTCAGTCCCGCTTTCGCAGGACCCATAACCTGCACCCCATCTTTCGAAAACCGACTGCCATGAATCGGACAATCCCAACTCTCCTCCGTCCCATTCCAACACACGACCCCTTTCAAATGCGGGCACAGGGCCGAGAATGTGCTCACTTTGCCTTCGCCATCTTTATACACGGCTACGGGTTTGCTCGTTTTGGTGTTCAGCACACCCCCTGTGCCAGGTGCTAGGTCT